CTCTTTCCCCACTGTGCTTCCTGTCCTTCCTCATAAACCTGATACACTTTATTCGAGACCCACCTCCTATAGCCAATGAAGTATTCAATTGCATGAACTGTGGACGGAAAATTGTTGCTGGAAGATTTGCTCCTCATTTGGAAACATGCTTGGGGAAGATGATCTATCAAATGAGTATATTATGCCGACATTTGTTTGTGATTTCTGGTCTTATGACCTCTAGTCCTTTTTCGTCTTCCATTTGGAAAATGATGTAACAGGGCATGAAGACTCGTAAGGCTACGAGAAACACAACAGGTGCATAGAATTGGTACTCACGAGGCAGCCTTAATCCGAATAATTCTTCTTATTCAAATTCTGCATGCTTAAACTGGTTACCGGGTGGTCACCCGGTATTGCATGTAAGGGAAATTCAAATGGCATTTTCTGAGATAATGTGAAAGAATAATGAAGCTGAATCTATGACAGGTTTATAGTTTATACAACAACAACATCAGCATCGCCTTAATCCTAAGTTTATTTGGGGTTGGCTTGAATTCTTTGTTTCCACTCATTTCGGTTTGAAGTTAAATCTTCTTAAATTTGCAACACTTACAAATCATTCCTAATGACTCGTTCCCAAGTAAGACTAGGTCTACCTCTCCATTTCTTTTCACCTCATCCCTATGTTCTCCACTTTTCTAACGGGAGCATGTATCGACCTATGTTGTACATGTTCAAACCATATTAAACGTCTCTCTCGTAACTTATCCTCTACACCTATTACTTTCTCTCTAGTACTCTCATTTCTAATTCTATCCATTCTTGTATGTCCGCACATCTATCGCAACATATTCATATCGACCTGATAAGTGTCCCACATTGGAAAATGAGAGGGATTTGGGCCAATATATAAGTAAGGGTCAAACCTCCACTCTTAAGCTAGCTTTTGTGGTGGAGTTAGGACCTAAACCTTATTAATTGGTATAAGAGCCTGGTTCTCTACTTTCCGGTGGACCTTTGACGGGCCGTTCTCCTGCGGACATGCGGACGACTCGGTGGTTGTGGGACGGTCGGGGATGGACCGAGAAGCCGCCAGTGACCGAGAAGCCGCCATTGACCGAGAAGCCGCCAGCGACCAGATTTGCCCCAACGCCGTGGACGTCGCTGTCTAAAGGGGGCGGTATTGATAAGTGTCCCACATTGGAAAATGAGAGGGATTTGGGCCAATATATAAGTAAGGGTCAAACCTCCACTCTTAAGCTAGCTTTTGTGGTGGAGTTAGGGCCTAAACCTTATTAATTGGTATCAGAGCCTAACTCTCTACTTTCCGATGGGCCTTTGACGGGCCGTTCTCCTGCGGACATGCGGGCGACTCGGTGGTTGTGGGACGGTCGGGAGACGAACGGTCGGGAGAGGAATGGTCAGGAGAGGAACGGTCGGGGATGGACCGAGAAGCCGCCAGTGACCGAGAAGCCGCCATCGACCAAGAAGCCACCAGCGACCAGATTTGCCCCAGCGCCGTGGACGTCGCTGTCTAAAGGTTTGTCCATCCCGCTTTTATCTTGTGACTAAGATAGATTTGTCGCAATCCTTATCTTTTTGAAGGATTGAACCAAACATCTACAGAAGATGAGTATAAATCATAATGCTAGGTTTCTTTTAGATTTACAGAAGAGGGAGGACGAAGAACAGCAAAAAAAAGGTCCTTGAGGGTTCATTTTAAATTAATCACCGGGTTAACATCTACGGAATTTAATATGCACATGGAACTGAGATGATGGGCTTCTTCTCAGGCATTGGTGATTTTCTGCAGTTGGTATACACATACATAATGTCTCAGATGCTATGTATATTCAGAGAGACCCATAGAGGTATTTGTCTTTGTCTAGCATCTCCAATCAAACAGTTCCCAGTGTTGAGAAATGACTGTTAGAAGGCTTTGGAGCAACAGAGAGGGATAAGCTTCCCACTTCTGCCAATGCCAACTCCTGCATTGCAGAGCGTCTCACAGTTTCTTGTCCTCGGCCTCAGGACATCCAATGTTTCTATGCGTCCCTGGACGCGTCAGGGGAACAAAGGGGCGCTTCATGTCTGATCTAGTTTGTTGTCATTAGCATCTGTATCATCAACACCATGAATTCCTCCATGTGCGTATCTCTATCCAACGCAACAATATAAGGAACATATCCATTAATCTATATATATATATATGTGATAAAGCCAATGAACTTTGCATGCGTCTTTTCATCTAAACACTTGGCGACTGGATGGTGGTAACATTCCAACGTAATGTGACCCTCTTGGCATGACAAATTGCCAACTGCACCTTTGCCTCTTTACAATGCCAAATTTTGAAGTAGTGAGTGACTGAAAATTGGGATGGTGGTAACGTTCCAATTTTTTTTTTGAAGTCCCAAATAACCAATCTAATAACATAGGCACGGAATAGATTAATCGAATTCGATATTAATACTTCTTTTTTTTTTAAATTGAATTCAAAGCACACCAAACCAAATAAAAAATCAATTTTTTAGTGAATATTTTCTTAGTAAAAACCGAATCAAACCAGCCGAATTCTATATAAAAATCTAAATGTTGTAGTTTTTCTAAAAGGGAAACAATTAAACCCACAGAGAAAACCGAAGCGAATTCCAAACTTGTCAACCCTAAAAAATATGGAGTATCAATATTTGTCAGAAACATATATTTTATATTTTTCAATGTATATGTTTTATATTTTTCATGTAATTCGTTATTCGGCTAGAAAATAAATTACTAATCTGAGCAATAAATTCTATAACTAAATATCGTGTAAGAAACATAATAAAGCCAAATAATGCGAGATGACTACGCAAAAGAAAAAACATGTAGCAAGAAATGACCTCCGCGATTTATGAGCACAATAGTGCGCGTCAACGGCCCATCTAGCGTTTTGGGCTTCCAATTGTGATAATATGAGCCCATTGTACCTTTAGATTCCGTTCATACAGTGTGTCTTGTGCGCATGGACTTACGAAGAAACGTGTTTATCGGCAGTTAAAACAAACTATAACGAAAATAAAATTATATATACCTGACCATTTAGCTTACTGATAGCTATTCATTTTCTTTAGAATGTCTCAGACAGTCATGGGAATAAATTTTTACTGTCGGATATTGCCACAGACATATACATACCTAATTAGATTTAAAAACAAAAAACAAATGAGGCCATAAAAAACGGGCTAAAGAAAAAAAAAGAGTAGGCGATATATCAGAACCCATCGGACTTTCCTGGGCCATACAAACCCGGACACAAACGCAAAGCTAACTACCACGCGCACGGATCGCGAGTAATATGCACGCGCCATATTTCGAAAGGGGGTTATCCCACGGAATTTAGCCGAATTTCTCAATTTTGGAAATTGTGAGTTAAAGAGGCGCGTGAGAGCTTCCTTTATGTTGTTTATTGTTATTTTTTACCTCTTTTTTTTTAAAAAATAACTTACGGGCTTTACAAAAGCCAGGGTCAATTGCTGACTCACCCATTTCAACTATGCATTTAAAATCCGTTATATAAATCAAATAAAGGTACTTGTTCTCACACGGTTAAAGAAATACAAAATATCTCAATTTTAGTAAAAAAAAAGTATATACAAACCTTGTAACTTTTATTTTTTTAATAGAAAACCAACATAAATTCTAACGTTAAATCCTGATTAAAAAAAAATTACTAACATATTCAGGCCACGTTGAGGTAATAAATAATTTTAAAATAAAAATAAAATATATAATATAACAATAAAAATTTAATATACATACATACATAAATAAAACAATGACAAATTTAAAAATTAATTATAATAAAATTTTACAGAAAACATATATATACACATAAATAAAACATAAACATAGATACATACACATACATATATACTGTTCATATATATACACACATAGATACATATATATAGGTAAACATATACATATATATAAAAAACTTCTCCATACATATATATACATATACATATTTATATAAATGCACATGCACATGCATAATGTCTATGTATATACATGTGTATATATATATAATTAGATTAAAAAAATAGTCTATAATTAATGGGCTAAGGAAAAAAAGAGTAGGCGATATATCCGACGAACCCATGGGCCTTCTCCTGGGCCATACAAACACGGACACAAACACGGATACAAACACGTAACCACCAAGCGCAAGGATCGCGAGTAATGTGCACGCCCCACGGAATATGGCCGAATTTCTCAAAATTGGAAATTGAGTCAAAGAGGCGCGTGAGAGCTTCCTTTATGCGCTCTTCATTTTGGATATTATTATTTATTTACTTCTTTTTTCACGACTTAATAACTGCAAAAAATTTACATTCTATTCTCACACTGTTAAAAAATATACAAAATATCTCAATATATAGAAAAAAACACAAACCTCCCAAAAAAGCTCAATTCAAAATTTTAATTTCATAAAAGTACCCGACAAAAAATTCGTTAATTTCATAAAAGTTTCAATTTTGTAAAAATAAATTTTGCAATTTTTAAGAACAACCAACATAAATCTTTATGCTGTTGAAAAAACAATCCTACACTTTTGCCCTAACAAAATATATTTTTAATTATTAAAAAATCTATAATTATTCTAATATATTCTTATATAGCATTGCACGGGGCCAGGAACCTAGTTTCACTTCGACTTCATCTTCACGAGGGGAAATGGATGTCGAACCAGATTTCGGTTCGATCAATGGACACCTATGGACCCGTTCACCACTTTTTTTGGTAGAGGGGGACCAACAATCTTGTGAATCCCTCTTCAAGCCACGGTCTGTGATGTGTACTACAACAGTGCTTGGACAATTCCTCTTCCCAGGTCAGATAATTCTCTCCAACTGCAATCTATCTAGTTTGGACGAGGTAACATGGCAAGTGACAGGGAAGGCAACAACTCCATTCTCCACTAGAGAGATCTGGAAATTGGTGAGGGATCCATTCGTCTCTGTTTCTTGGACTGATCTTATATGACATAAACATCATTTTCCCAAGCATACATTCACCACTTGGCTCATCAGTTTGGATCGGTATCCGACAAGGGTTAGAAGACTGAATGTGGATCCGAGATACATACTCTATCATGTGTATACTCACCCAGCATTGTCGCAACCTCACTAGGTAGTTAGGTAATCTGTGATCCAACTCCCTGCAAACCCCTCTTGGAATGACACACTCCTTGCGCTAGGTAACCATGGATGCATGGTAAAGAGATTCACGATTCTATCAATATGGCAGATAACAACCTATTTGATTTGGAAGGAGAGAAACAATTGACTGCATCATGGTCATTTCTCGGATACACCACTGCTGATCAGAAAAATAGACAGTGCATTCCGCACAGGTGTTGCAGCGCTCAAACCATCTGCCGTTGAATTTGCAAGGCTAAACCTCCAGCTTCGGTTCGCCCCAACTTCTCTACACACTATGTCCACAAATGTCATCCCATAGGGGTAGATACTTGTTCTCCTCTTGAAACCGTCTTGAAATGCCCTATAGCTCCAACTATGTACTCCTCTTAATTAATTAATACAAACATTTGTCCCAAAAAAAAACCGACGGATCTTTGCAACATAGCGAAAACACACATCCCAAATACCCATAAGACCGGATATCTAAAAACCTACGGGTCTCAAGTACACGTACCCATATATTATTATATACACAAGTAAACCTACGGGTCTCAAGTACACACCCACATACACCTACATATATATACACACACATAAATCTCTGAACTTTATAAACAAAAAAAATATCGAACCTTTTAAATTAATATAATTGATACATCAAATACAAAATTAATAAAATAATTCAAATTAAAACCTGAAATATAAAAATGCTCTTAACGCTCTTAACGAATATCTCAATTCCTAAAATTGATAACAATTACCAACCTAAATTACCAACCCTGACTATAACGATAATACATAAATTAAACATAATTTTTCATTATAAAAAACAAAAATTATAAATTAATTTCAATTTCATGAGTTTGATAATAATCTGAAATAATTCAATATTTAAAATATCAATTTAAAACATTTTAACAGTTATATATCAATTAAATATTTACTTATAATAAAGGTGTTCATGTCAGATTAATAAAAGATTCATCAAACGATTCAGCCAGGGATAACTGTATAATTGAAATGTTAATCATCATCCACGAACACCATTAGCCTATCAAATTCCCAATACATAGATAATAGAGGAGCCTCAGACCGTCCTAGTTCAAGCAATTTCTCAACATTACTGTTTTTGAATTTCAGCATCAACCATTTAAACTCATCATCACCGGCCCCTCCCTATAAATACTCGACTAGAGATATGGAAGCAATCGCCAGATCTCCCTATTTCAGCGATTGTGTCATTAAACCAAGCGATATCCAGATCGAGAGAGCAATCGAGAAAAACATATTTATGTGGGCTTCATCCTCCATATCACGCTTCGCCATTAGATATTTCAAAGACGAAGGTTTACCTCAATAAACAAAGTCAATTGCACAATAATTAGAACAAAAAACTGTATGAGGAAAAAAAGGAAGAACTCAGTCCCTTAGATGTTCATAATGATGTGCGATCATCACCGCAATCATTACAGGTCTGCAAATTACTCATCACCGTTCTTCGAATTCTAAGATACAAATTCAGATCAATTGTAGTTGCTCCAGTGTACTCCCACTTCAACGAGATGAACACAGAATACTCTCATGATTAGGGAGAGATATAAAAAAGCACGCAACACGATTGATTTTGCTTCAAGGGAACGAGTCGTATGGGAACTGAAATATATCCGCATAGACCATCTGACGAAGCAATTTATGAACACCGCATCCAATCTTATCGGATCGAGAAAAAGAAAATCATGGAAATGAAATCGAATCATATTCCCAAGAATTCAATCGGAATCGAAATAAAAGGTCGATATAATTTAGTCACAAAAGCCCTAAATCACTACGACGGAAACAAAACCAATGAATAATCCTCACCCAAACATCCGCATCTGACGAAGCAATTTATGAACACCGCATCCAATCTTATAGATCGAGAAATAGGCAAATCATGAAAATGAAATCGAATCATATTCCCAAGAATTCAATCGAAATCAAAGGTCGATATAATTCAGTCACAAAATCCCTAAATCACTACGACGGAATCAAAACTAATGAATAATCCTCACCCAAACATCCGCATTCCAAGAAAAATCCATAGCGATGGAACTACGGATACGATATTGCACAGCGGCGGGAACCCTAGAAGTCGGATGAAGTGTGAGTTACGAACCGCGAGTGATGTCCTCTTATATAAGCAGTCAAATATGTGAGAACCCCTGGGCTCGTGATCTGTGAAACCCTAGAATTTGTGATAAATTACCAAAGTAGACTTGGGCCAGTTCTTCCGTATAAAGTGGCCCAATTTATACATTTCCTAAGGCCCAATAAAGAAAATTATAGGTGGATGTGACATTCTGCTACGAAGCCCAAATAGATGGGTTGGTCCATATACGGACCTTGGTAGTGAGATTACATTAAAAGTCACAAAACAATACGTTATTTATATTTTTTGTGTAAAATTATTTATATTTAAGCAACAACACAGTCACTAATCACCTCTATTGCAAAACGCTTGTGTCATGCGTGTAAAATAATATGTAAATATCATTTGTGCAAATTAACAGATATGCACAATTATAAATTGGTATTGTCTAGAAGTCAATTATATTACTTTTGGATTGATTAAAACAAATTATTTTCAGAATTTTTTATTCTACGGGTAATGATTTACGTGCAAATTTAACTAAAAATGTTCAATAGATTCCGACTCGTCATCTACTCATTTGGCATACATGGATACGAAAAGTCATATAGTAGGCCCAGTCAATCGTATTTGCTTAAAAGACTTGATCATCTTGTATTATAATAATAATAATAATAATAATAATACCCAAAAAACAAAGGAACTTGGATGGTCGTGTCGCCGCGCGCCTAAACCGTCGAACCGGTATCACCATTGATGTACTTTCACGCCATTATAATATATATATATATATATATGGGTTAATCCCACGAAAACAACCTCAAATTTATTAAAATGTTTCACATAAAATCTTAAATTTGCAAATCCCCAACAAAAAACCCTGAATTTGGTAAAAACTTCCACAAAAATTACACACTTGCTATTTTATTCCATATAAAACCTTTGACTTGTTTGACCAAAAATTTTACTGACATGGCACGACGGATTGTTGACATGACGCAGACTTAATTGTCACATCAGCGTCACGTCATCATTTTAAAAATTAAAATATAAAATTTTAATTTTTGGTCAAATATATATACATATTTATTTGTATATATATATATTAAAATTTTAATTTAAAATTTTAAATATACAAATATTTTAATCAAATAAATAAATTTATATATATATATATATATATTTGTACATATATATTTTTATCAAATATTTTAATTTTTAAAATGAGAATGTGGTGCTGACATGACAACTCAGTCGGTGCCATGTCAATAATCCATCGTGTCACGTCACCGAAATTTTTGATCAAACAAGTCAAATGTTTTATATGGAAGAAAATGGTAAGTTTGAATTTTTGTGAAAGTTTTTACCAAATTTAAAATTTTTTGTGTGAGATTGCAAATTTAGAGTTTTATGTGAAACATTTTAACAAGTTTAGAGTTTTTTTTATAGGATTAACCCATATATATATATATATATACACGTTCTCTTTCTCTTGAACCCAATTCAGTTCATGAATTTGGCTTTGCATATATATTAAACACGTTTTTTTGTATAAGTGGTTTAAGATCTTTTCAAAGATAGGATGGTTTAACTTTAACCCGTTTAGAATATAAAAATTTAATATGACGTTATTGATCGTCGAGTGGGACAGGAGACGTGACACAATCGTGCGATGTTCGAGTTTTTCAAACTATTACACGCTCTAATATGATACCGATTCCTTTCCAACATTAAATATACTAAGCTTCGTGTTTAGCATTTTTTTTCAAAATATTTTTTATTAATAAATTTAGGCCCATTTTTGGCGCTTAAATCAAAGAAAATCCACAATGAACTATAGAAGATTTAACATAATAGACAATTATAAAATGAGTAGTTTGAATTCGTGACTTTGTTTTTTTAAATTTAAAAATGACATATATGATTTAATCAATTGAAGTTTAACCATTGAATAAATAATTAATCCATAATATCTTTATGGAGTGAGAGATGTAATTAAATATTCAAAGGATGATGACGTCTTGGGCCACAACAAGACTTCACATTCTACGCAGATACCTTACTTCTACTATTTTTTTTTTATTTTTTATATTTTACAACAATAACTGTTCGAACCATCTAAAAGTCGAATTGCAATTATTATTTTAATAACTGATAAAGTATCCTTTTTTTTAAAAAAATGAAATAGGTGAGATGATTGATGACGTTGAATTATGTGATGTATATATTTGTTGTATGATTGATTACATATTAATTGTCAGGATTGACGTCTATAGAAAACCATCAGGGTTCAATCCCATCAGTGAAAGTATATATATAATTAAACAATCAAATATTAGGTGAGTCAGTCCTCCATTGGAAGAAGACATTCAGAAGGATTTCTCTCGATTCCGTAGAAGATGAACTTCCAAATTATATATATATAAGGGAAAATCCAAAAAAATATTTAACTTTTAAATTTTGATAAAACAAACATTTAACTTTTATACTATTATTAAAAATAAACAAAATGACTGACGTGATACAAAGAGATGTAAACACATCAGAATATTTTATTTAGTTTTTTTTTTATAATTACAGAAAGTTCATGTATTTTTTTGAAAAGTTGAGTATTTTTTTTTTGAATTTTTTCATATATATAATTAAATACGAAACTCTTTTCATACTCTCGTACACTAATATATAGACGTTATGTTTATATAATATAAATTGTTGTTTAGGAAGATTAATGGGCATAGTTTGTGCATTGAATTGCTCGTTTGTTTGGGCGAGGTGTGAATTTATGAATTGATATTCTCTTGTCGTGGTAATAGTAGATAAACGATGAATGGAAACAAGAGCCATCGTCGGTCCAACTATTTTGTACTGCCTTTAGAAGTCGCGTAATAAAGCCAACTCATCTATGCCCATGTTGGATATTAAGTGTTAATATATGTAATGATATATAGAGAGGGTGGTTGAATACAGATGGTAATATTACACATACGGACACGCACAATGGATGGATTTGCGAATGAAATAACCCACTCGCGTTTTTGTGGGCATCGTCATGCACGTTTAACTGCGCCTCAACCACCCGGTTTGTTGCATTGCGGTACATGTATCAATGTTCACCAAGTCATCGTACAAAGGCACAGCATTACACGCATACATAGCGGTCCAGCCAGACACGTGTCCTGTACCAGAAGAAGAAGTGTTTTTGGACTGTTGTGTACCCTCGACAGATTTATCCACTTTGCTGACTCAGCCGGATAACAATAACAACACCGTGAAAGTTGGAAGCTACCCTCAATTACTGAGCACCCACGCTCTCCGTATTTATCCGGTTGCCGGTTACTTTGCGGGCCCCACTGCTTATCGCTAAACACGGCGCCGTTTCGGAGATCTCGGGATTTCTCTATAAATTGATACCACCGCTCGTGATCCCCGGACACAACATCCAACGACAATTTCGACTAACCCACTACTTGCCGTTTTCTCCTTCTCTTTATAGACTTCTGTCCGTTTCCTATTATTCCGTCATTTTTTTTTCTCTGTTTCTTCTCCTTTTTTTAGATTTTTTTTTTTGTAAATTACACCGGAAATTTCGAAAAATCAGTTTGTGCTTTGGTGTCTCCGTTTTTACGCAGTTATTTTCGACCATTTTTTTTATTTAAAAAAAAAAGAGAGAGGGGAACAAAAAGAAGAGACAAAGAGACATGTGTGGAATACTTGCCGTTTTGGGGTGCTCCGACGACTCTCAGGCCAAGAGAGTTCGTGTTCTGGAGCTTTCTCGCAGGCAAATTATCCGTCTTTCCTCTGTTTTTCCATTTTTACGGCACCGTAGATCATATCTGAACACGAACACAGCGATGGATTGTTGTATGCGTTCTGAATTTCTGTATACGACACAGATTGGTGAAACAGCATCATCATCTTGCGAGTGTAGACTGTTAATTCTAACAAAGACTAACTGACGTGGTAAAAGGCCATCGCAGGATCGTCATGGTTTCTTTTGTGGGTCACTTTCAATTGTTAATGCCATGTTTTTGTCTGTGTTTATGTTATATGCACGTGTGAACAGTGGTGCTTCCGCAATCAATTTGGACATATTATTGGTTTAAGGCTTCTCCTGAACATTTAATCCTTGATTTTTGCTTATGAGAAATGGCCCTTTTCTTTGCGCACGTGAAGAACATTCGGCAGATGGAATTGTGAGTTGAAAAATGGAATCTTTCGTACCGGGAACTGGGAGTGAAAGTGGAGAATGTGTGGTGATGAATGTTTCAGATTGAAGCACCGTGGGCCGGACTGGAGTGGAATCTATCAAAGTGGAGACGCGTACTTGGCACATCAGAGGTTGGCCATCATCGATCCTGCGTCCGGTGACCAGCCGCTCTTCAACGAGGACAAGTCCATCGTCGTCACGGTACACCTTGAAAGGCTGATTTTCGCTATAATATGTTATCTGAAAACGGGCTGAGAGCTTGTGTGATTGCATGAAGGTGAATGGTGAGATTTACAACCACGAGGAGCTGAGGAAGCGTCTGAAAAATCACAAGTTCCGAACTGGGAGTGACTGTGATGTCATAGCCCACCTGGTGAGTGACACTTGCTCCTTGAAAATTGAATTCAACGTTTTGTTTCGATATGTCGAGTTTGTGTTTTCCGGGCAAAGTACGAGGAATATGGAGAGGACTTCGTGGACATGTTGGACGGCATATTCTCGTTCGTGTTGTTGGACACACGTGACAACTCTTTCATGGCTGCTCGTGACGCCATTGGAGTCACTTCCCTCTACATCGGCTGGGGATTGGATGGTAACTTAACCCACAAACCATATTTGCTGGATCAACAACCATCAAAGTCTGATCCTGGTTTTTCTTCTCAGGATCTGTGTGGATATCGTCGGAGTTGAAGGGATTGCATGACGAATGCGAGCATTTCGAGGCGTTCCCTCCCGGACACTTGTACTCCAGCAAATCCAGAGGCTTCAAGCAATGGTACAATCCTCCGTGGTACAACGAGGCTGTTCCTTCCACCCCATACGACCCTCTCTCTCTCCGGCTCGCCTTTGAAAACGTAAGGCTTCTCCTTTTACTACGGGTTACGGTTCAGGAGATGGAAAGATTGCTGAGAGTGTTGTCCGTCCATTGAAGGCTGTGATCAAGAGGCTGATGGAAAACGTAAGGCTTCTCCTTTTACTACGGGTTACGGTTCAGGAGATGGAAAGATTGCTGAGAGTGTTGTCCGTCCATTGAAGGCTGTGATCAAGAGGCTGTTGACTGACGTCCCTTTCGGAGTTCTACTCTCAGGGGGACTCGACTCTTCCCTAGTGGCAGCCATCACAAGCCGCCACCTGGCTGGTACCAAAGCAGCCAAGCAATGGGGAGCCCAGCTGCATTCCTTCTGCGTGGGTCTGCAGGGTTCGCCCGATCTGAAGGCGGCGAGGGAGGTGGCAGACTATCTGGGGACGGTGCATCACGAGTTCCACTTCACAGTGCAAGATGGGATAGATGCGATAGAGGACGTTATATACCACGTAGAGACTTACGACGTGACAACGATTAGGGCAAGCACCCCAATGTTCCTCATGTCCCGCAAGATCAAATCCCTCGGCGTCAAGATGGTTCTCTCTGGTGAAGGCTCTGACGAGATCTTCGGTGGCTACCTCTACTTCCACAAGGCCCCCAACAAGCAAGAGTTCCACCATGAAACCTGCCGCAAGGTTAACTCCACAATCTAAACTCACTATCTATATCCTATAATGTGATCCATGTATTCATTTCAGATAAAGGCTCTTCACAAATACGACTGCCTGAGAGCGAACAAAGCGACGTCCGCATGGGGACTAGAGGCTCGTGTCCCGTTTCTAGACAAAGAGTTCATCAACACAGCCATGTCTATTGATCCCCATTGGAAGATGGTCTCTGCTCTAACATCTATCTTCAGACTCTCCTCCTTAATAACGGAACTTATCTATTGTTGTTGTTGTTGGTGTTGTTCAGATCAAACCAGAAGAAGGAAGGATTGAGAAATGGGTTCTGAGAAGAGCATTTGAGGACGACGACCGTCCATATCTGCCAAAACACATTCTGTACAGGCAAAAAGAGCAGTTCAGTGACGGTGTTGGCTATAGTTGGATCGATGGCCTCAAAGATCACGCTTCTCAACATGTAATATAACTGATCTAAATCTCCCTTGTGTCCATAGTATTCCTGTTTTTTTGTGACGGAAGATGACGCGATGGGAGCAGGTGACAGACAAGATGATGGTGAACGCTGCACATATCTTCCCCCACAACACTCCCACCAGCAAAGAAGGTTACTACTACCGGATGATCTTCGAGAGACTCTTCCCACAGAACTCGGCAAGGCTGACGGTGCCAGGAGGAGCAAGCGTGGCCTGCTCCACTGAGAAAGCCGCCGAGTGGGACTCCAACTGGTCCAAGAATCTCGACCCTTCTGGAAGAGCCGCTTTGGGAGTCCACCTCTCATCCTACGATGCCAAGCTCCCTCCTAAGAACCCCATCGACGACATGCCCCTCCTGATGGCCGTCAACCCCATCCACACCTGATTCTAATGTATATTTATCTCCATCATGTAAACCTGTTTCCTATTACGACAAGGTAATAATCGTGTCTCTGCGTACGGACATCAATGGAAGTTTCTTGTATCCGACAATTCAGTCGTTGTTCTGGTAATCCACGGAAAAAGGGCCATCCAACTTCAACAGATATCTTCAATTGTCTGATAATAATAATAAAAGAAAAAAAAAATCTCAAGTTTCTATATAGCGCTCCTGCATGCTGGGACTTTTCCCCGGCACGTTCAAGAATCATTGATTCGCTAAAAGAAGAGAAGAGTATAAAACAACTGGTTCCATGTATCAGGAAGACCGGGCAAGCACCAGTGGCTGCAATCTGCAGACTGGTAGGGTTTAGAACGCTGTGAATCGCTGATTAGACCGCTGTACACAGAAGGGTGACCATCTTTCCTCTGAGACGAGAGCATCGTTATATCAAGAAGGAAAGCCGGATTGTGCATATCCCTGAGGACTTCTTCCGTCACTGACCTCAGCTGCTGCGTGTACGAGTTCACCGGGTAAGTGGCTCCTGTTATCGGCTCTGTCTCCCCATAGCAGTTCTTGGATCCCCCGGTAGATGTCCCAGCTGTCCACTCGCTCGGGCTGTTGATTAGACAATCCCTGAGCAAGAACTTTGCAAGGAATGGTAAAAAGCAGTCAAGGGAAGAGAAGTTGGGGTTTACTTGTCGTGGGTAGGAGAAATGGAGAGGAAGAAAACACCAGTTCGGCTTCTGTCGACATTGTTGTCGACCCAGTATGCCCATGTCCGAAGAGCTTTCTCCATGGCCACGAACCGGTCCATGTCTTGGTAATACAAACCGCCTGATTGAATCATGTCCCACCTGCTCGATCAAAACAAGATCACCATAGTTGGTCATAATCGTTTTAGTGAGAGGATTATGTTTCATTTACTAACCCTTGAAGCGAACCACGGTGGCTCCACCAGTGACCGGTGTTGAAAATGAGGAGATCGGCAGAGTGCCATGCGTTGGCATTGCCAGATATCTCGTCGAGCTTGAGAACTCGCTTCCCTTCCACCACGTCTATGTCCACCAAGAAGGGCGCTTTGTAGAACGACATTGTCATCTCGTATTCCTACAATGCAAGCAAGTATTGGACATGTGACTGCATCCTGCATTGTCTCCCTAAGCGAGTATTGGGTGATATTTTTCATTTATCATGATTCTTATCCATGCTGAGGCACAAAGAAACGGGCCATAACGCATTGCAGCTGGTATCACGCAGGCCTAGAACAGTGCTTCCAGTTTTTTTTTTTTTTTTGAGAGCTTCAATTTACCACTTTCTTGGAGAAAGATACATATATAGAGGAAAGAAGAAGAAGCTAAACAAACATGTACTGTTTTCTATGGGTTTTGGAGAAGAAGCGCCATTGAAGGAGTTTGCTTACCAGGAACCTGAAGGTGGAGAGAGGAAGGCCTCTGGTCATCTGGGTCCGAGTGGTCGGCGCAGATGAGACGATCATGCAAATCAACGACTCCCATTGATTCTTGCCTATGGAATCACCCGCGAACATTATGCTTTTCCCCTTCATTTTCAACAGAAACTCAGCACCGTTGAACCTATTACCATTCCATTTAGAACCCACTACAACCTCTCCATAACCAAAATAAAAATGCGCGAACAAGGGTGCGAATTCGGCAGCGTCCAACGATATAGAATTTCTCGACAGGGTTTCAGGAAAAGTTTGATTTTTTTTTTTTCAGAGCAAATGAATCGAACCATCAGGTCACAAGACTTGCAAGAAGTCTCAGATTTCAAGGTGCCATCTTATCTCACTGTGAAAACAGGACACATTATCAGCTTAGCACGGAGAAACTCGAAATTTACCCCGAAGCATGGCATTTACAGAAACAACAATTTAATGGTATCTGGGTCGGTACTTCAGTGAACTCACGAGAAATCTCAGATTTTCAATAACGGCGAGCCACATTATTACCTTAGCGGCGAATGGAGAAACTAGTCTTCAATAGGTAAAACCAGCGAACCGAGAGAGAAAAAAAAGAACAGAATCGAAGAAATATAAAAAAAAAAATCAAGAAGTGAGCACCTGGGCAAGTTGCAATTCTGGGGTTGCCAACGGTACTTGAGGTAGTCGGAATCTGGACGGCCATACATCTGACAATCGAACTCGGGCTCGACGACGTTAGGGCAGTCGGAGGGTCGGTAGAGGGGATAGGAGTCGTCGCGGACCCACGTGCCCATGAAGAGCGAACACGTGCTCCTGTTCCCCTGGAAAGCTGGTCGGCTGGAGCTGTACTGGCTGCTCCCATGGCGGTTCTTCAAGCTCAGTATGATGGCCGGATAAGATTGTTTTGAGTGAAGCATGAAGAAGATAAACAAAATGGCGAAGCTTGAGAGGGGAAGAAGACGAGGAAGACCCATCTGGCCTTCAAGAACTTTGGCGGAAAAAAATTCTTTTTTTTTCTTGTCGTGGGAGAAAAAGGCAAAAGGCTGTAAATAATTGAGAGAGAGAGGGGGGGAAAGGATCGAAGGATTGCTGGATTTTATGGTGTCTCTGTGCAAATGGGCAATGCGTTCACGTGGGTCCTGATATATTTTTCAAATCTTCATATATAAAATATAACTATTTTATATGTTCGGTGGTTTAAAAAATCATTTCTAAAAGCTATAATGAGTCGTGCATTCTAATGTTTTATGGGGAACTGTCAGTGTTAGCATGTCAGGCAGTGCAATATGTAACCATTTTTGGTAATCGACTTTCTTGAACGGAGCTCGAAACTAATTTCGGGACCGGAATAAAACATGTGATTAGAATATGCGGTACTCTCTCCAATTTGAGATTTAAATTCGAAACAAAACAGATGTTGAACTATCTAAATTGGATATATCTAACCAAACTTTCTAATATCTACACAAATTAATTACTTATCGGTATAGACGTATAATTTTCTAAACAGATTTCTCATGAAAAGAATCAAGTGGTCTTTTTGGACAGTTTTTTCAACATTTTCCCAAAAATATAATATCATTCATTTACCTGTTGATATAGTTCCCTACGGAGTCATCATACATAGCGCGTAATTGCATATTAATAGGCTGATCGTGTTCTGACAGGCGAAGACACCTAAACTCAGAAAGTTCAAGTTCGGGCACAAGTGGTTTTAGAGAAATACTGCTTGGGGGCAGGAAAAAGAACATTAATTTACCGAATGACCAAAAGCTTATATTGTAATAATAAGCTTCCTACCTCTCCCATATGCGATGCATTGTACAATTAAAAAAAGGAGAAGAGGTGTCAGAGAGAGGGTAAGCATCGCTTGCCCCCATCTTCTGAAGGAAAACTGGATTCCCGTTGGACATTATCCCTTTCTTCTTCTGTAACAATACTTCCAAAAGCGGTTATCTCCCACCAAGCTTTCCTCGTGTGTTTCCACCTCCCTGGAAACAAAACACACACCGACGGGTTTCTTCTCAAAGTCCAAATCCCAACATCTCAAGATATTTGATCCAGAGATGGTGTGTATTGTATTAGGTTGGATGGCCAAATATCCACATTTGAAACCTTCTACTTCAAGGCTCCATCTCATAATTTTACAAATGACGACCTTTAGACCCACTAATTTACAGTACCATGTAAAGCATTCTCTGCATAGGTGGTGTGTGCATTTGGTCCTATGGATCGTATGGCTTTGCCCTTTCTTATCTTCAGATAAATAACATAATGAATTAATATAGAGAAAGTTGGGAGTTTGGGCATACTCTGGTGACTCTTTGGTCATGCTGGACTCCTCCACATGTTGTTCTTCTTGCAACACTTCTGAGATCTCATCAGACGCTAAGCGGTTCTGCCTTCTCATGCCGTCACAGAGGGGTTCCGATAGAGAAGCTGTGTTGCAATGACGTGAGATAAGATTTGAAAAACAGTTTCCATTCTTTTTACATTTAACAAACCTGTGTTTGGAATTGGATCTGCAAAACTGCTCTTGCTCAAGAGCTTATGGCACATCACTGTTCCCCCGAATTCCAAGAATGTAAACTGCAGAAAGTTTTTCCTCTCGCATTCAGACATCTTTGAAAATCCAAATGAGTTAGTCCAAGTTTTCAGCATGGATGGAACTGCAGGCAAGACCAGCCTCTCCACACCCAAGCTGGTAAGCACCTGAAGATCAAAAGATTTTTAAGATCAAAACTTTGACAACTTAGACATACATCAGGAAGAAGTTCTCAGGAGTAAGTAAAAGACCTTTTCAAGTTCATTCATCAAGGTCCGGCACATCCCAAGCTGGCGATGCTGAACTCTAGTACCAATTAGAGGGATTTCTGCTATCCTTTTTCCAAATATTCTGATGTAGGCAAACAAAAGGGAAGTCAGACTAGCATCTAAATTTTTGTACCACTCACAGGCCTCAAGATTCTAAAGTTTCTGTGATCTTATATGTACATGCTGTCCTGTAGCTATGACAAGGAGCTCTATATGAAACGTACCTTACATTTGCCACAGTAACTAGTTCATCATTTCTTTCCAGAACTACTGTGTAGAATCCTCTGAAATTTCTGCGCAAATAAGTTTTGACATGCTTAGGTCATTGTTCTTAGAGTCACGTATTTACAGGGATAGAACGCCATAAGACATTTCCACAAGTATCAATGCATTCCTCTCTTTTGTGTTTACTTACCCTCTGCTGAAAATAACATCTTCAGCAAGATCTCCCTGAGAGCGAGGATCCTTCACAGGCTCGAAAAGTTCATGCATCACATCAAGAGCAACACTGAGCTTGCAGTGATTCTCGGCCACGGTCTCAATATCAGAAGCACCAAGCCCATATACATCTGATTCCAAGGACTTCATCAGTTTCCAAGTTAGATTCTCCACACCCACTTCTCTAGGTTTTCCGGTAAGCTCCTCGAGATTTGTGAACATCTGGATTAACAATTAGGTCGAGAGCAATGGCAGACTAAACGATCATTCACGTGATTATGAATTAAGAAAGCATCTGATATGTAGTAAAAAACAAGAATAAGAGGCATATAAGGATTGATGTACCGTTGCACAGTCCTTGCTGCAAAACCAGTTTGATTCTATGACTGTTTCCAATGAATTTTTGGCATCATGATTAGGCAAGCAGCACACATGATCTATATAACCACAACACAAAGAAAAGAGGACCTTTAGAATGACCGAATACATAGTCTGACCCTTGTAGGAAAGAACCCCATACATTTAAGCTCGCATTGCTTGCAACTGATAGGCTGGCCCGCCTTGGTATATTTGCCAGTATCCTTGAGATCGATTTGTCCACAGCCACCACAACAGCATGATGGGCAGAACCAATCACCATCAGGAACATTCTAAAGCATCCGATTGAAACACAATAAGAAATCAGGTATCCACTACGAGAAGCAGCAAAAATTTCTTTTAGGGGAGAAGAGAAAGACACCTGTAGCCCAAGGCAAATTGCATGATATGAGGACGGACATCGATCACAGAGAATTAGCTCGCCACCATAGTGACAAACTGAGCAAATGTTATTGTTCTGCCCTGGGCACCATTTTCTTTTCAAAACATTACGTGTCCGTGCTTTTTTTCTCATTTTATAGGCTTCTACCTGGCAATCTAGAAGAGACCTTCCATCATCCAAGAAGATATTGGCTGCTGGTCTCCAGGATGTTCCACCAGCATGAACTTCGAAGCTGCTTACTGTGAAGATTTTACGGCAGCAATTACATTTTATACCTTCGCATGTTATTTTCCCTTGTTTTATCAAAGACATATCTATATTTTGGTGGCAACGTATATTTGCTCTCGGCAGAACCACATTGTTGTTGATGAGCCAGGAAAGTATACTATGCGGACTCTGATGCATGGATCTGGGAGTAATTACCTGTTGCACTCTTTGGCTTGATCTTAATACACGGGTTTTACCTCGACGACTGATGGTACAATTCCTAGGTTCCACTGGCATACTTGACTTTTTCCCCCGTCTCATATTCTGCTTGGAATTTTGCAAACTTGAGATTGCTCTTTTCTGGTTGGAGTTATATTTAAGGTTGGTATGATCCCTCTTCCATTTCTTTTTCAGTCTTCGGAAGCTTCGACATTCCATTTTTGGCTTCATCTTGGCATCGACATCCTTTTTAGACGCTGAGGCAGCTTTACTCGCACAAATATTGCAACTTTCTCTCTTGATATCCTTATATTTCCTAGGTGTTTGATATTTGAGCACTGTTTCAACAGACAGCTTCTTTCCACCATCATGAGTTACCCTCGATTGAGAAGCAGGCAAAGCCAAAACATAACCCTGTCCCGTGTTCTGGGTTTTATGCATTAGTTTATCATAAGGTAGAGAAGGAGGTTTAACTGTCACAGGAGGAGTCGAGGCTTCATCACATTTGATCAAATGGAGACATAGTTGACGAAGAGAATGCTCCGTTTGAGTTCCATCTGGTGAGATGTAGCGAAACCTGTGCCTCCCAGCTTCATCGGTCAGATGTTCTGTGATCCATCCCGTATATTTAAGATGCTTCCGGACATTTATGGCAGTATTCAGCGATGGTTTCCTAATATAATCTGACACAGCCTGTGGACATAATTCAGCAGCACAGTCAAAATGTTGCCAATTTCCACATTGCTTGGGATGCCTTATGTTTCGATTAGCGGTAATGGATTTTGAGCAGGAAACTTCTCCATCACAAATGTCAGATTCTCTGTCTGGAACACAAGTCAAGGCGGATAATGCGTGATGCCTCTGGCGTTCCAGTTTGGTGAGACAGGAAATCTTTCGTTCTTGTGGAGTGCTCACTTGTGTGCTCTCCTCGTAAGAAGTAAATATATCTAATCGGAGGCGTTTGTTGGGGTCATTAGCCAGCTTAGAAGTATGTTCAAATTCATCAAGAAATTGATTCATGGTGATTCTAAGATTATCATCAATCACCTTCAGCACCAAACTTTCCCATAACCGCCTAGTTGAACAAGTCCATTCCCTAATCCTCTCAAAACCCAATCTGTCTTGCACATCATACCAAAGTTGCTTCACCGAGACAGGAAGATAGTTCTCTTCCTCATATTTCTCAATCAACTCAAGAAACAACCAAGTCCCCCGAGGCTTCCATGTACCCCTAAACGCATCCCAGTCCAGAGTAAGACGTAGAGATGAAAGATCAACATTCATTTCATCACCCAAATCAGGCAAAAACACCCTCCTATCCTCGTTACCATCTCCATGGTCAAAAAGCACGCCTTCCCACCACACTCCACGGGAAAACACGTCAACACATTGTCCATAGGGAAGGTTCCATTCATCAATTTTCAGTTTTGGAGGCACAGGTCTTATACGTCCACGGTAGATGTCATATGAATTTGTGCGACTACAGCTCAAACCTTCCACTGATTCAGGAACATCCAAAATATCCATGAGACGATGAGTACCATCATCGTAGAGGAGGTGATCATATTTGACGCGGTGATATTGCTTTTCTGCTGCAACTACGGTTCCTGGATGCCAAGAACCGAGAAATCCTTCCTCAACACTCCTTACCTGCGCAATGCAACGGGTTATATTCAACCACTAGAAACCGCAACTGCCCTAAATCACAAGACGACGTCGAACTATACTCCCCAAAACCAGGATTTTGTGGGTTTATACCACTTGCATGTAGATTAGCCGTCACAAAAACATTGAAAATCGATGGCAGAAACTGATAAATCTCCAATCAAGAAAAATATTTCCCAGATTGAACAAGCATTTACACATGAGCCGACTACATGGAAAACTGTGGAGAGACTCTACTAAAATAACAACCAGGGCAGAATAAAAAGGAAAAAATCAGAGTTGATCTTATCAACTCGGTTCTATGATTGAAGTCAATAAAAGAGTTATATAGAGGGGGAAAGCACCTCAATAGAAAAAATCAACTAAAGTCGACATAAAATGTTCAAGTTGAACAGTTTGAAACAATCGAACCGTGAAAACTCAAAAAACCTCCCTAAACCCTACAACCAAAGGATCATCACAGAAACCGAATTCCGAGGAGATAGAAGCCAACATTGGATGCACATACCTCCACTTTTTCGCTGACGAGGAGATTTCTCCGGGTGATGCTCCGCTCGCCGCTACTGTTCCGGAGATTGGCCGGCTCTTCACCGCCGGCTGCCATTGATCTGGAAAGCTTTCGGGAGAGAAAAAATCCAAAAAGATTCGCTACCTTCCGGCTGTTTGGGAACGGAGAAAATGGCAGAGAATCTCACCGTTGCATTCGAGAGCCATCCATTTGCATTGCAGCACCCCTGTGTTTGTTTCCTCTTATGCAGCAGCAACTACTTTCTCCCCAAGTAACACGATTTTGGTGAAGAGAACAAATAATATAATATTAATAAATATAAAAAAAAGGCCCAAGTTCTTTTTGTGTACTGTGAATAATTATATCTTTTATTATTATTGTTATTGAATTGAATGCTAACAAAAGGAAAATCTAAGGCCGCAACATCTTCCCATAAAATCAAAATCTTTGATTTACCGAATCAGTGATCGCACTGTTTTCCTAATATTGTAGAAATCTTGGCCGTTGGTTTTACCACATCAGACGGCTATTGTCCAGCGGCACAGAAGAAAAAGAGGTCAAGATCCAATGGGTCGCGGTCCACTGTAAAGGAATGGTTTCACCCTAATTTTGAGCTGGCAAATTTTCGACCGTTGGATCCTCCACGTATCCTCGGTAGATCATAAAAATCACTGAATAGCCGGTAACCGAGTCAGTTCCATATCCACACACCATGAGCATCCACTATGACATCGGCCCATTCAAAAAATTTGGGCCAGTGGAAATTTTAATGTCTTTTACCTTATATTATTTCTCAAACCCATAAACATTTTACACAAATATAAAAAAAAAGTTTTTTACAATTTAACCTCCGATATCTTTCTGAAACTAGTTTGGTTTAAAAAACTTTATGGCTAAATTAATATAGTTTTATACTTAAAAAAAGCTGGTTATAATATAGTATATAAAAAAATTCTTGGACCCTCGAAGTAAACTACAACAACTATATTACTATTGGGTTAGTCATAGATATGGTCTCGTTGAAAGCATCCATTACTGTTTCGGCCCATTCGAAATATCAGGCCGATTGAAATTTCAATTTCTTTTACCATTATTCTTTCCCAAACCCATAAATATACTTTACTCTACTGCGTATTTTTTTACCCAACAATAATCTCCCTAGAAGAAAAAAAAAACATAGTTTCTGTGAAACTAGTTTGGTTTATAAAACTTTATAGCTAAATTAATATAATTTACACTAAAAAAATCTTATCAATCAAAATATGATTCAACGGTCCAAATACAATAAAAAAAGAGATTTTTTACAAAGAAAAAAATGTGCAGGAATGCCCAAGCTTTGTCGCGCCATTCTCGTTGAAACAATATTTTTATGTCTCTGGAATAAGTCATACATAATAATGTAATGTACAAACGACTGACTGACATAAATACAAACATTATTAATTTGTGAATAGGGAACCAAAGATTTTAGACCATTGAATGTTGAGACCGAGACGACGTCGTTTTCGGGCCGAGTCCAAGCCCTTATCCGTGGGCCACCGAACGGCGACGGGTCGACGAAAATGCTTCCACGTGTCATACATTTCGCGTCGTTGTCGGCTATCCAACGGAAAAAAGATATGATCGTGTGCAGCGAGGACCACAGTGAACAAGATAGTCTCAACCATTTACATTTGGCCGCGTGGACAATACTCCAAGTGATGCGACGGGTTCATTGGAATGGTTCGATGGGTCCTACATATTGCATCTTCCATTCAATTTTAGTCAGATTGTGGATTTCAGTGGGTCCCCATTCTTTGAATAGGACTTTCCTTTCGCCTTTTAGACGGGGAGGAAAAGACAACACAAAATTTGATAGAGAATTGTATTTTATTAAACGTGGAAATAGTTAAATTAATACAATTGAAACAATCTAAATCACAACTAACCTAAACCATGCAAATCCATTAAAATGTATTTTCCTTTTTTTAAAAATTCAACTTTCGACTGCCATCATATTGTCATGAAAATTTTATCGTTAAAGAAAAATAAAAATAAAAATATTCAACCCGAAACCAAAAAAAAATGAAGGTATTCAAATGCTTAAGGCACAGGCAGTCGTTTTAGCAAAATGGAAAAGTAAGTAGTTCATTTTAAAAACATGCTGACGATGCATGGATTTCCACGTCATCCACCCAAAACCAAGTAAACGCGTGAGGCGTGACAATGGTGGAGCATCGATTTCATGCGCGATGGTTCACGTATCTACCTTACGTGTCAGATTTTAATTGGTTCTAACGGAGATATTTGCATTTCAGGCTTCCCCCGAGTTCAATTCGAGGTTTTCAGAGGGAAAATAATAAAATAAATAAACAGGAAAGGAGGAGGAGGAGAAAAGAAAAGGAAAGATGGAGCTGATGGGTTCTTATGTGTAGCTCCGTTTTCCTCATCTTTTGTTCTTTTGACCTTAAGGAGAAAGCGACGAAAGATAACTCTTTTGGAAAGAGAGGTGGTGTAGTTAAAGGGGGGGAGTGAAGGGCGGTGGTGGGGGAGAAAAGAGTGAGGCTTCATCGTCTGTTTCCTGCGTGCGGATTCTCTGGTTTTCTAAAAGGTATTTCTCGCCCTCTCTGTCTGTTTGGTTGATGAGAAAATGCGAGAAAGCTATCAACTTTATGATTCGGGCGATTCGTATCTTCGTCTATCGGTGGCTGGGTATGTCTTTCACTGCGTAATTCGTTGTCCGTATCCGTATCTGTTTTTATTACCCAGTCAGTTTTGTCGATTGGCCGGCAGGAAAGGAGTTGAAGCCTCACTCTGTGTTTTGTTTTTTCGGTTCTTCACGCGTTGCCGTTTTAGAAATTTTCGTTATTAGTTTTGCCCCCTCGAAGATGCTTGGCTGCACTTATGGTTAATTATGGGTTGGTTAGTGTTGTTTATTTTTGGTTCGGCTGTTTAAAGCTGGAGAATCTACATCCAAAGTAACAAACTTTTCATTCTCTCCCCCTTTCTAATCCTTGAGGCTTCGTATATTTGTTTATTTTCTGTTCAACAAGCCGGTTTTTAATCGTTTCTTTCGTTCCAAATCTGCTTCGTATATATGTTTCGAAGGAGGGGGGAAAAACATTCGTGGCTTGTCTCTGGATGTCAAATATTTCCGTGTGACACAAATTTTGCAGGGAAGGTAAATTCAGAGAAGGCTTAGGCTTTGCCATGGGAGAGGAGCCGTCTCACCTCAAATCACCAGTTCTGCTGGAGTTGTCAGCCTGCAATGATCTCAGCGGCTTCGTGTCCCTACTCGAGCAAGAGGGTCTCCACAACATTGAACGGTCGAGTTTGTGGTATGGTCGGAGAATCGGATCAAGGAAGATGGGGTTTGAGGAGAGAACGCCCCTCATGATTGCTGCCGGATCAAGGAAGATGGGGTTTGAGGAGAGAACGCCCCTCATGATTGCTGCCTTGTTCGGAAGCAAAGAGATCGTGGCGTATATCATCAGAAGCGGTCGTGTAGATGTAAACCGCTCTTGCGGCTCTGATGGAGCTACTGCTCTTCACTGTGCGGTCGCTGGTTTCTCTTCAAACAGCCCTGAGGTGGTCAATCTTCTGCTCAAGGCTTGTGCAGACCCTAATTCTTATGATGCCAACGGTTACAAGCCGGTTGACGTGATTTTCCCGTCTTTAAGCCCTGTTTTCAGTTTGAGGAAGAAGATTCTTGAACGTTTGTTGAATGGGGATCATGATTTGATTGAGCTGGAGGACCTACAGGAACAAAGGGAGGCTTCAGTTTCGTCTCCACGGCCATCTGAGAAGAAGGAGTATCCGGTCGATCCCACTCTTCCCGACATCAAGAACGGTATATACGGTACAGATGAGTTTCGTATGTACGCATTCAAGATCAAGCCGTGTTCCAGAGCTTATTCTCATGACTGGACGGAATGCCCCTTTGTTCATCCGGGTGAGAATGCAAGGAGGCGTGATCCGAGGAAGTACCATTACAGCTGCGTCCCTTGTCCTGAATTCCGTAAAGGGTCTTGTTCCAGAGGTGATTCCTGTGAGTATGCCCATGGGATCTTCGAGTGCTGGCTTCATCCTGCTCAGTACCGGACTCGTCTCTGCAAAGATGAGATGAATTGCACGAGGCGGGTCTGTTTCTTTGCTCACAAGCCTGAAGAGTTACGGCCTCTGTACCCATCCACAGGCTCGGGCCTTCCTTCCCCGAGATCATCCTTCTCATCCTGTAATTCTTCATCCTCCTTTGACATTGGACCGATCTCCCCTCTTGGCCTTGGTTCATTAACGACTCCTCCGTTGAGCCCTAACTCTGTTTCCTCTCCGATTAGCGGAAAAACATGGATGAACTGGCCTACCAACATTCCCCCTACATTGTATCTGCCTGGTAGCAGATTGAAATCAACAATTAGCGCGAGAGAAATCGATTTTACCGATGATATTCCGGGTCTTTCCTCTCCAACTGGCTGGAAGCCGACTCCCGTGTCCTCTGCCTCATCGTTCTCGGGTGATATAATCGCAAAGAGCTTGAACAAGCTTGCTGGAGGAATAAACCAGACAAGCCTGAACGACATGTTTGGTCCTGATGACAGCTCGGGCTTGCAGATCAGACGCAACGCCATTAACTCGCATATGCATTCCAGTTACACCACATCAAACAGCCTTGCATCGTCTCCCATCGGGGCAAAGTCTTCATTTCCGATGGATTCACCCACCGTCATGACATCAAGAGCGGCGGCATTTGCCAAAAAAAGCCAAAGCTTTGTGGAACGCAGCAATGGCCAGAGCCGTCATTCTGCTATTTCATCAGTGACATCATCAACCTGCATGGACGATTGGGGCTCACCGGATGGAAAACTGGACTGGGGCGTCCATGGGGACGAGCTGCACAAGTTCAGAAGATCTGCTTCTTTTGGCTTCAGGGTGGGTGGTGGAACCAGACAGCTGGTCGAGCCAGTTGGTCTGGACGAGCCTGACGTGTCATGGGTGGATCCCCTTGTGAAAGAACCCTCGGAAACAAGGCTTGGTTCGGTCTGGACGGAGCAGTCATTCATGGAGGCAGAACAGACCGTGGCATGAATTCGTCAGCACTTAACTTCATTAACCGTTTTCTTACACCCTTTGGTTCACAAGCTGAATCTGCAGACAACTAGAAGCAGAGACGAGGAGAGGGGTCCAAGAACACTCAAGGTGGAAGCTAATCTGCTTACTTACATTGTTCAACGTTTATCATTTTCTTAGAACAAGAGAGAGAGAGAGAGAGAGAATTGCCATGTCTCTGTTGATAGAAGAACAGAGTGAGGGGGGCAAAAGGTTATGACCAAAACCTTTGAATCACCTTCTCCTTAGATTCTTTAGAATTCAGCTGAGTTATTGATTTATTTTTTCTCCCCTTAATGGGAAAAACTGCCATGTAATGTGTAAAAAAAAAAAAGAAACAAAGTTGTGTGTTATATAAACCGGTCTTGGATGATGAATCCATCTCTGTTTTCAGTGTTCTCTGTACACTTTGTGCCCACTTCTCTATGTTTTCTTTGATCACAAAGACACAAGGGAAGGGGGTGCTCCCATCTTATAGCTTTAAAGCAAATTTTGTCGGCTTCCGATCAATCATAGAGTTCACTGTGAAAACGGTTTTTTTTTTTTTAAAGGCATTTGTCTCAAGAACTCTTCCCTCTTAACTCAATATTGGTTAGTTAGATACAGATCTCTAACTGTTAATTCTTTGATAGTGGATATTCATTTGCTGCAACAGGCATGAATACAAGCCTCAAAACAGCAGAAAATAAACTGTATCCTTGGCATTTTAGCAAGTATTCTATTAGAATAATACATGATAATTTTATGACTGAGGGGTAGAGCCTCTACCATCTCCTTCATCTTTAGCACTCTTTGAAGTTACATTTTGTTTTCTACAAAGATTTGCAGTGCAGTGCGTCTGCTAAGTGTGATATTGTCTCTTGTAAAAGCTGATCCAATACAAGGGAGGCCACATCTTCTCTTATTCCTTCTACTTCTTCTTCCTCCTCCAACGTTCTTCCGAAATCCCACTTCCCTCCCTCCATCTCAGTTTCAGTGATTCTGCATATTTCAGGCCACGCCTCCTCTTTGTAACAGCCTCTCTTTGGGCTGATTTCAGGGTCAGCCTCGCTGGCTTCAAGTTCCGGTGATAGCCGTCTTCTCCAAGCGTTCTCTGCAACAAGAACAAAGGGCTTTATGTGCTTGTACTTTAGAGGCAAGAAACCAAAGAAAACAGCTACACCACTCATTCCTTTGGTAAAGAAGAGGCTACGATTCATAGGTCACAATGTCACAATCCTGATTCTCGAGTTTCAGAGTGCTCACCTGATTCTGGCATTTCTCCAGCGCCAACGAACCGATGATGATCAAGAACCGAAACAGGGCTCAAGTCTTTTTCTTCCTTGAGACATTTACGTTTATCCTTCACTGATTTCACTTCAGTCAGAACCAAAGTTTCATCTCCCGGCCGACGGCTACGCTGGTAACTCTCAACTGAATCTTGGAGCCTTTCACATCCAAAAGCGGCGTTCAATGCGGTTCCCTTGTTCTCTTTGTCTTCAAACTTCTCACTTCTGCTTTGTCTCAATTCCTCCTCTGTCCTATTGCTTCTGTTCTTCCACTTCTTTGATTCTTTCCCCTCCATGTCCATCCGGATCATCAATCTCTCTGTTTTGCTCTGCTGCACTTGCATTTCTCTTCTTGTTCTTGTCTTCTTACATCTTCTAGACCTCTCCCTCTTCGATTCTCCAAAGCTCATCCCAGATTCTCTGGTTTCTTCGAATTTTTCCTTCTCAAAGCTAAGAATGAAGAAATTTTCATCTTCAAGCTGAACAAAATCCGGAAGGTGGCGTAAAGCCAGGACGGATCTAGCTCGTCTGTGGTTCCCATGAATCTGGTCGCTGTCTCTCCTCAAACAATCAACGGAATTCAAGGAACGGTTCCTGGTGATCGATTTGGAGGCGATTGGGGTTCTATCAGTTGATGGCATTGAATCTAAACCCATGAGTCTGGCCACAAGCCCAGGCTCGTCGTATCCGGTATCTGTGGAACTGAATTCACGTAATTTCGTGTCGGAATCTGAGATTTGATCAGATGGGTAAGTAGGAGAGGCACGGGAACAGAGAAATCCACGGAGGATTCCCGATATGCACCGGAAAGCCTGAGTCTTGTTGCTGAATGAGTTGGAACGGAAGGAGGAGAGCGAAGAAGACGATGACTTCATGGTTTCTTTGGTGAGAGTAATGGAAACTAAGAGAGGAACATGGCCAATCGGTCAAGAGAGGTTGTGAGGAACAGAGCGGGAGCTCAGATTTGAACTCATATTCTGAAATAAATAAAAAAAAATATGATATTACTTTCTTTTTATGAGAGGAAAAGAGGAAAGCAACGGGAGAGAAGGGGGGTGTAGTGCACGCGCCTTGTAAAGTCAATTTCCCGGGAAACTTGTTGTCTTCCGGTGCCGGCTTTCTGTGACATTCCCTTTCACTGTTTCTCCCTGTCCCTACAGAAACGCTGTGTTTCAGAAAACAGTAAAAGAATTTGTTCAAAACTAACAATAAATTTTAAAATAATCTTTTTATCTTGATATTTAAGTTCTATTTTTTGTATATAAGATTTTTGGTTTTAAAAAATATAATCTATTTATATGTTACAAAAATAACTTCAAAATCAGGGGTGCTATTTACGGATTTTGAAATGATGGGGTGTGCATGGGATAAAATAGAAATCTATTGCTGATGAGCAAAATGCTCAAAAGATGAAAAAGAAAACTCCATCAGTTGCCAGTATAAGTATGCCCCTGGAGCCAAACAAGACGCATCGAGTCTCTCTTCTTTTTCTCCACACCATCGTCTCCCTCGATCTGCCTGAGATTTGATTTCGCCACAGTTGAGGCGACTGTTACTCCTATTTTAATCGGATCTGGTGATCCTCCGCCGTCGCCACTCCTGGACAAGTAAAGTTCTTCTCCAAGATTCTCATGCCCCACTTTGATTTCATCTTTATCGGCTGTTCGTCGCTCTCTGATCAATCCGAAGGGGAATGGCATTGGAGCTGTCGGGCACCGTTGAGATCAACTCATGGGTGTCCTGATCTTACAAGTTCGTTTGTTTTGCTGGATTTGACATTGGTGGCAATCAGTTTGAGTGTTGTTGATGTGTTTATACAATAAAAGGGCGGATCAATTCTCTGCATGGCAGTGTTTCTGAGCGTATAAACCCATCTTCTTTGGAATTTCTCTTGAAGATTTGATCCTTAGAGGCAACATACCAGGGCACAAGAGACTTGCCTTTCCTTACTGGCACTTCTTAGTTTTCCTTTCCCGGTGTTGTTTTTTCCCCAATGAATATATGTGCAAATGTTTGGCCTGAGGTTGTGTGAATGTGGAGAACCATGAAGAGACATCTTTCCCGGGATTGGATTGGATGCGGCCGGCCCCAGCTCCTAAACAGCTCATAGCTTAAGTTTGCGAATGTTGGTCAGGTGGCTCAAGGGATTATGAATGGATTATTGCACATTCAAAGAAGAATTGATACTGGGGTGAGGAACCTGTAAGCTATTGGTTTTACTTGGACACACAGGGATACAAACTACAAAGAAGAAGAAGCAGGGATGCATCAGTTTCGGACTGGAGCAGGAGGGACGGAGGGATCGTGCTTGGGATTGGCGGAGGGATCGCCGTAGTCATTCACCATCTCCCTCACCTTCCTCTCTCCTGTTCTTCTCCTCATCTCCACCGGTCCTCCTCCTCCTATCCATTCATATCCTCATACCCATGATTATACATATAAAACACTACTCAATGGATCAGGGGTTAGTGAGAGAAAAAGGCACCTGAAAGAGACAAGGGGTTCCGGGCAGAAGACTCCGCTGCGAATATCAGGACGAGACACAACACCACACGAACTCCACAGCCCATCCCTTCCAACCCGTCTCAACGATCTTCTGATCTGATCTGACTTGACTGTCTTGTGGGGAGGCTGTGTTCTGTGGTATATATCTTCTCTTGAAGAAAAGGCATGTGATCAGTGCTTATCTCTCTAGTAAAGCCAGCCCACCACCAAGCCTATCTCGACACGTGTCTTCTACGGCCCTGTTTACTGCTGCCACGTCCCACATCACCTCCATGCAAGTTTCTCATTTCCGTCTATGGATTGTTTTCCGCTCCCCATCATCATCAACTTGGACCTTCACAACTTGATCCTATGTTCTCATGCCAATTGCAACTTGTGAGAGAAAAAGCAAAACCACGTTTATTAAAAATGGGCCGCATTGCTTTGAGTTGGGCCTCGCCTTTCCCAATGGGCCCTTTTTTATTCGTCTCGTTAAATAAGGGTACCCAAACTTTTACAAAAATCCCAGATAAATATTCAAACTATAAAATTTTTAAATAAATATCTGAATTTTTTAAAAATCCTATATAAATATCTGAATTGTTTTATTTTTTTCTAAATCAATCAGATTTCGTTGACAGCGTTAAATTATATAACGGAATCCCGAAAAAACGATTATTTGATAATAAAAAATCATTATCATTATCCATATCACATGCCACGTCATCTACATCGGTTTAATATGTAAAATTACAATCAAAATTGAATCAAACCGGTTTGAAATTATTAAACCAATAAAAAAATCCTAAAATTCTAAAATCCCTAAAAATCCTAAAGTACTTCGTCTTCTTCCTTGTTGAAGTGAGAGAGAGTTGCAGAAGAGCTTTCATGGCACAACCTTCATCTAAATTTTTCCAGAGGCTTCCTCTCATCCACCTCCTTCTCATCCACCTCCTTCTTCTCATTAACCCTAAACCCTTGTCTCGATTCGATCTTCGCCATCAAGGAAACCATCTTTTTCGATTACAGCACAATATTTCCACTGCTTATCTCCGCCAACGCCATCGTGTCCCTTCCGTTTTACGCGTCGTTCGGCGAGATCTTTCACGACCCAGGCTTCAGAGATCCTGAAAATCTCCTCGAGGAAGATTCCCACGAGTGGTGACCCATGGAGGACTGAGAATGCGACGGAGATCCCATCGGACTTATCACCGGCGTCGAGTGGAAGGAAGACGTCATCTCTTATCATCCATCCCTATTGTCTTTACAAATCAGCTATCTCTCTCACTTTGGAAAGGAAGAAGACGAAGTATGACAGAGAAACCTTCCAATTTCACTTTAAGATTTTTAGGATTTTAGAATTTTAGGATTTTTTTATTGGTTTAACAATTACATACCGATTTGATTCAATTTTGATTGTAATTTTAAATATTAAACCGATGTAGATGACGTGTCATGTGACATGGATAATGATAATGATTTTTTATTGTTAAATAATCGTTTTTTCGGGATTCCGTTATATAATTTAACGTTGTCAACGGAATCTGATTGATTTGGAAAAAAATAAAACAATTCAGGTATTTATATAGAATTTTTAAAAAAATTAGGTATTTATTTGAAAATTTTATAGTTTGGATATTTATATGGGATTTTTGTAAAAATTTGGGTATTATTATGCGATTTTTCCTTTAAATAAAAAAGGGCATCACAGTTATAATAGACAATGGGCAGATCCAGGGGTCGATGGCGCCTGGTATTGCGATTCTGGGTGTGAGAGGGGATAAGCCAGTCCACGTGCCTTTGTTCTGCCATTCGAATCTCTAGTTTTCTCTGACATTGACACATTCTGCGAGTATTATATACTTAGAAGAATCTACCAACTATAAATGAGGATTACACTTGTAGCCACCCCTATTTATTGTGTGTGTGTATATATATATATAGTAGGTATATTTTCAATATTAGAATGTATATTTTCATTTCAATTGTATCCTTCCTTTTTTCTTTTTTTTTGGTAAACAATTGTATCCTTCTTTTTCCCGTTCTACAAATAATACTGCTGGGAAAGGAAGGAATATTTTAAAGATTTTTTTCCCCGAAATGAAACTATACCTGAATTTTGTGAAAATCATATATCAATTTTTAATACCTTGATGAAATATAAAAACTAAAATAAAATAGTGACGTGTTCCCACTTGTACAAGTATGTCGTTCGTGGTGTATATATATGTGCGCGTCTTGAGAGAGAGAGAGAGAGAGAGAGGATATGTCAATGTCCAAGAAGAAGATGAGCGACATGGAATCGTACCCACCGGTTCTGAGGCGTCTAATAAGCGAAACGGAAGATAATCCGGAGGAAGCTCCTGTTCTTAACCGGGACAAGGATATCCCCATCCCGGTCATCGACCTGGAGTGTTTGGACGCGGAGCTGCTGCGGGGAGCATGCAGGGACTGGGGAATATTCCGTCTACAGAATCACGGGATACCGTTGACGGTGACGTCACGGCTGCAGGGGATCTCGAAGGCGCTGTTGAGTCTGCCGTTCGAAACCAAACAGTTGATGACGTCACCGGTCTCATACTTCTGGGGGACACCTGCCTTGACTCCGTCGGGGAGTGCCCTTGGGAGGGGCACTGCTGACGTCATCAACCTGGTCGAGGGCTTCAACGTTCCTCTCTCCCATCTCCGAGACGATGCTCATCGTCAGCATCAGCATCCATTGCTCGAGCCTTTCAGGTACCCCCCTTCTGAGTTGCTCATCTATATTTTATTTTATTTATTTGGACCGTATCATATTATAAATCCCGCAGTCCGTTTCTAGAGTGTCCCTGACATTTTATTTTATTTCTCAAAAAAATGTGCATGCGCGGACCGATGAGCAGTATCATAAAATCCAATCATAATCATGATCGGGAATTTTAAATCGCATATTATATTACATATGGAGAAATAAATGATTTTGTAACCCATCCATATGTGTAGTTGCCCTGCATGTGGTATATATATTGTATATAATTGATGATACGGGATGCTTGGATTGACATCCGAACGAACACAGGCAGACACGAAATGACATACTCCGTTTAGATTGACAAGATGCTACTCTTTTTTAATATATATATATATATATATATTTTTACGATGACAAGATGCTGCCTTATCGTTCGCATAAAAAAAAATATAATTGTACTACGCATATATAGATACAGATACAGATACAGATACAGATACATATTTATATTCTATATAAAAGAAATCACCCAATTGTAAAAAAAGGTATTGGTATATTTTTAAATATTTTTCATCGTAAATTGATAGCGATAGACATGCTCCTTCACGTGTTTAACATGCATTGATCCAATAACTTTTCTTTTTATTTTATTAAAACACACAGTGTAACCCTAATTTTATATTGAGTTATCATGTTCATATTTCGAATGGGCAGAGAATTGATGGATGAATACGGGAGGCACCTAAGTAGGGTTGCAGAGACATTATTCGAAGCGATCTTACGAAACCTGAACCTAGATATCAAGAGATCGGAGTATCTGTCGGAGGCGACGGGCCTCGTCCGAGTGTACAGGTATCCGGGGATCTCGGGAGAGGCCTTGGGGATGGAGGTTCACACCGACAGTTCGGTCCTATCGATATTGAGCCAGGACCAAGTGGGTGGGCTTGAGTTCATTAAAGATGGTGAGTGGTTCCATGTCCAGCCTCTTCCCAACACCCTCATCGTCAATCTTGGAGATATGATGCAGGTACGTACCCTCTACCATTTAAGCTTCCTTTTCTTTTTTGTCACGTTCTTGGAACCCCTCGCTCGATTGCCGACAATGGCTAGATGTGCGGTTGGAATAATATATAAAAGGGAGAAACTCCGTGTGCTTTTCCAAGTGGGTATATCTGTTGAGATCCTAGGTTATGGATCTACCTTGTACGGTTTGTCCATATAAAGTGGAGAGAATTGCGGGGCATTGTTTGTTTCGTACGTAGTAGAGTTTTTTATACATCGTACGTGCGTGTGCGCATTAAATAAAAAAAAAATGGGAATGATGATCGACGACAGGCGATAAGCAACGACGAGTACAGGAGCGTGGAGCACAGAGTGGGGATGAGGAAGGGGAGAGAGAGACAGTCGATATGCTACTTCGTGTTCCCGGAGAAGGACAGAGTGATAGAGTCGTCTCGTTACAAGCCTTTCACTTACTCCCAGTTCCAAGCGCAGGTCCAGCTCGACCTCCACTCCCTCGGCTCCAAGGTGGGCCTCCCCAGGTTCCTAGCCTCTCCCCCCTCCTAGCTCCTCTCTGCCTCTCTCTCCTATCATATCATAAATGCTGCCTTGTTCAAACAATATCTTTATATATATGCACTCCTTCAACATCACCTTCTCAATGTTATTCCAATTCTTCTTAAAATTTTGCGTCTTAGAAAAACGAAACCAAGCGACAAACTATTACCTTGATAGGAAAAAAAAAAAAACGATGGAATATGATTGTCTTATTTATTTGTCGTAAACAAATCAAACGAAAACTGACGGCCGGATACTATTGTAGGCCCATAATAAAGGCCCAGACCCATTATTTTAGGCCCATATTTGAGGCCCAATCGCAGGAGAAGTCTTAACACGCCATTTCATTCTCACCCACAAGATTCAAACGTTTCCTGTATGGTTTTTCCCCATCCTCGTATCCACAATAATCTCCTCGCCAATCTTGTTCTTCCTTCAGTGTTGGCATGGCAACCCCCTTCCCCCAAAAAAAAAAAAAAAAAAAAAAAACACACAAAAGCCTCTGGACCATTCGGAGGGTCCGCTCGTTACTGAAAAACGCTCACCGTCCTTTTTTAAGTCTCCTAAAGCTGCTGAACTAATTCACGACAAAGGAGTGAGATACTCAGACGAACTGAAATCTCATGAGAAGCCTGACAGTTCCTAAACTCTCCCCTTTGCAGTCAAAAAGCGGCACAGAGCGTACGCCGCTTCTCAGCTCTGCCACGGGCAAACACGTCTGCCCGGCAAAATCATCTTTCTCTGGCATGTTGTAGTCGTGAACTTCAACACGCAGAAGCGCCATCTCTGGAACCGTCAACTTGAACGCGAACTCCTCGTCCCACAAAGGCTCCCAACTGTTGTCCCTTTTCTTCGTTCTCTTCATTGTCTTATCACCCGGTGCTCCTGCTATCCCCACCTGTTCATGTACCGTATGAACGATCACATCTATGGCGGAAAAATCACGTGTAAGACTTGAAATGGCGCGTTAACTTACCCTTGCATAGAAGTTAGGAGGAGACCGTGTGTTTAAACACGTCTGCTGAAATCCCGAATCCCATCCGTTTCCCATGTACACTTTCACTCTAAGGGTGGTCTTTACCGGTATTTTTGCTTTTGGATCGAAGACTTGCCCATCCGGACCTAAGTTCATCAGAATGTCAGGCTTTTTCACATACCCACAGCTGCCATTTGCCCTGAACATCCCGTGCATCAACCACAGAGCTCTTCCGTAACCCTGAAATAAGGCTCGAGATTGCATGTGAGATAGTTAAAAAAAAGGGATTCTTTCAGGTTCTTGTATTTCAGATTTTGCTTAATGTGAATAGGATTGAGAGAGAAGCACCTGCATGTTGAAAGCAACCATTTGAGCTCCATACATCCAACCAGTAAAGGGCTTGTAGTTTGAGGAATTAACCCGGGAGGCCTTGGGAAATATCCTCAACAGATTCTTCTGCGTGAATCTAGATTTCGTACACAACGTAAAATTCCTTTTAGCACAGAACAAGAAACAAAAAAAAAGGAGCTTAGAGAATTGACTCATTAGCAAGTGATACATACTTAACGACTTCAGCTCCGTAGATTTCAGTTGCTTTCTTGAACTTCTGCTCTCTCAAGCTCAAGCGTCTAACACCACGGGTATCAATCATAAGCGCTTCCTTTAATCCATTTTTTGCATTTCCAGAAGGAATAGCTATCAGAAGTTTGTATGTGAGTATGCCTCCTACTCGGAATTCTTGGTCAAATTCGCTGTCACCAATGGACAGATTGCATTCACTTGTCCTGTCCTCGGGCTGCAAGTCCATTGAGTAAAGAAAAAAGAAGACTTCAGAAAAGTGAAGAGAAATACGATCACATGAAGAAATTAAGACATAGATGGACTAATAAATACCTTTTCATCATCAGCTTGTTCTGTTGAAGCATGTGATGAGGCTTTTCCCGATACATCTGACTCAGAATCCTTGTCTTTTTTCGAGAGTTTCTCTTTTGGAAGTTTCGTGGATATTACAATCTTGTACCTGAGATCTTCTGGTGAAGGAAACTGTTTTAAACAACTGGATTCAGGAACATACACCATGTCCCCAAACGTCTCCTTGATCATCTGCAGCCATAGACAGGACCAGAAGAAGGACGTCAAAAAACTTGTTCAATTCATTACACTCCAGAAAAAGAAAAACAAAGATGAAACAAATTAGTACACCTCGGCTGCTTTGGATTGAAGATCAGGGGTCAGATGATCTTCCAGAGTCAAGATCACGGGATACACAGACGACGAAAAGGCATGATCCTTAATGGACCTCAAGCATCTGATCAGTTCCACTGGAGGTGTCCAGGCCCTAAAAGCATTAGCAGGCATGAGAAAACATCAGAATGTTCCTATTTCATGATCTTTTTTTGTCAATGCATAACATCGCAGATCAGTGTTTTACCAGCCATGCAGAACAAGAATATCATCCTTAGTGGAGTTTGGCCACAGATCAAGTTCAAGAGCTCGAACACCTCGCTTCAATGCCTTGATGAGAGGGACGTCACTGCACTTGCTGCTGATTTGGTTTCCCGTCAAATAAGAGTTATGGCCCGTGTATATGAAATAGTTGGACAATGGAGAACTCATGTCCTGATGCACCTGGATATACACATGGGTTCGAGAGAACAAGATGAGGAAGTATTAGAAGCGAATGTCCAGATATACATACACTACTTTGCACGAACAAACTTCGTCTCCAAACATTGCTGAGTGAAAGGTGCATTTGCAAACCCTCACTTTCCTTTGTAAATAAAAGTGATTGAAAAATCACAAACACGCCTAAATGTACATCAAACGGCTTTTGTTTTATCGTAAGCAAGAAATGAACATTCAAAACGGCTCATCATCATCATCTCATATATGTTTTCTGAAGCATATATTCCAGTTTTCTTTCTTGATATTCAGATGGAACAGTACAAATAAAATTGACTAAGGAATGAAAAGATCTCCCAGAAGAGACTTTAGGAAACATACCTTGTTAGCAATTGGGGCATTGAGATCAGTCGAGAACAAGAAATAGAAGAAACCATCAAGATTGAGGGTATGCCTCATGAACTTAGTGATATGATGCCTCGCATGCACGACTTGCTCTATGATCTTCTCTGCTTCCGACACCGACACACCGGTCTCGCCCTGCACTTCAACCAAGAACCGACTCAGCTGCTCAGCCGTCATGTGGGCCCCACCCTCCGCATATTCTGCGAAAGCTTCCTCCACATCAGGAGGAGTTTGGCCATTGATCCTGAACTCACCAGTGAAACACAAGCCCATTCTGTACTTTCCCTTATCTCTCTTCATCTCAGTTCAAGAAAAGAGCAAAACAAGGCGTTTGTACAATAACACTTCAAGCTGCTGATGAGATATTTTCAAGTGGAGTGCCTTTTCCAGTCAATGACTTGTCTGTATTTATATTTATTCTCTCCTCGGATCATGCAGAAAGTTCATGGATTTTGCCTCATAAAATAACTCCTGCAAATCTGCATGATGTTCATGTTTTGGTTAGTTGCATTTGAAGCTTTTCTGTTATTTCTGACATTATTATATTTATAGTGGAATACCCCTGTAGTCTGTATAATATATATATATTTTCCCCACCTTTCCTAGGTGCTCCTCACCCTTTTTCTATATATTCCCAACCATAAAGTTAAAGCCCTCGTTCTCGTAAATATCATGGTATCAAACACTCACACGTTTAGATAACATTCCACGGGCTCCATAGACAGAACCTAGCCTTCACTCACACGTTCACCAAGTTCTCTCTACACATAAGACTGTTCCATGTCGAAGACACTTAACTATAGACTTCCAGAAATGAAAATGCACTTTCCTAAGGTACTACAAGATCATGATTCTCAAGCATTACAGATGGTTTTTTTTTCTGTCTTTTTATCCCAAGGTGCTTTCTTTCATATTTCACGGTAGGTGACATCTTTCTAGTCGTTATTATTCTCCTATAAAGTTGTAGAGTTTTAAAAAACTCTGCAACTTGCGAAAGCGTCAAAAGATAAAACAGAATCAAGAATCAGGCTTTCTTCTCTAATAAGGAGACGGGCGGTGGTCTCTACCCAAGGACTAGAGAATAAATGCCTATACGCGTATTCATGTGTAAATAAATATAAAGTAAACACGAATGGAATTTGCTTCATTACGCAAAAGAGATTCAGACCGCAACAAAAGATTCCAGAATATATGCTCTTCCGTGTAAGTAACATGTGTTTAGCGCGGCAACACAATAGTAAGTATATATTGTTAAAGATCCTATTAGTCTCACGCGTATAAGCAAAAATCCTTAAGCTATCCAATAACAAACAATCCAGAGGAGGAAATAAAAATAAGAGATGAAGATTATGCTTTTATGAGAAATTTCTCCAGTGTGATATTTTCACAAGAATTTTCATGGTTCAGAGGATGTGTGTTAATGGAGCAAAGGAAGAAGAGCCTTTCTTACGATAAAGAATAAAAACAGTCCATCCCCAGAAGTTAGAACACTTGATAGAATGGATATAAACAATAGGGAAAACAAAGAAATCAAGAAAGGATCGACAGATTTCTCAGGTTAGTTTCAAGTTTCAGCTTCATTCCTCGATAAAAGGAAACTATCTATGAAGAAACAAAGAACAGAGTTTTCCAAGAAAAAACCATTAAAAGAATAAACAAAGTATACAACATATAGCATGAAAACAAAGATGTATAGAGATGAATGAATACACGCACCACGTAGGAGTCTAGGACATAATCGAAATGCATGAGAAGTCGAGTTGAGCTGTACTTCTCGCCCTTTTGATCAAAGAGTGTAACAGCACGCAAACTCTGTCTTATTTCAGACTCCAAAGTCATCTTTTTCAGAAATGTCATACTCGTAGACTTCAAAATGATGAAGCAAAGCAACTTCGGGAACGGTTAAGTGGAATGTGGACTCTCATTCCAAACAGGTGTCCAGTTATTGAACCTAAGTTCTGTTTTCACCATCCCCTCATCAGCAGGTACTCCGGCAATATCAGCCTGTATGTTAATTTATAGATCAGAATCAAACACTATTCAGGCTGAAACAAGTTATAACCACAGAAAAAGACTGAAAGTGAGTCAATGTACTTTTAACGTAGGAGTCTGGAGGAGAAGACAAATCGGTGTGAAGTCCACTTGCCACCCGTCTCCCGTACAGGCTTTTGCCTGCATGTTAGAGCTTAAGCAAGAAAGTTGGAGCATACAGAGAGAAACCAACGGTCCTTCACAGTAGCTTGACATATCTCTAATGTTTTCTTCACCATCAAATTAGCTTGGGGATCAAAACTTTACCACTGGGACCTATATTCATAAGAAAATACAGCTTTTGACGTTTTGACGTAACCCCACCCTCCGTTTGCTCTAAAACATCCAATGCATTAGCCACAATGCTCTGCTAAAACCTTTTGTGTATTTCGTAGCCCATTCTTTGGTTTCCCAGCAGGCCTGACATTTACTCTGGTGCTGTCAACAGGCCTGACATTTACAACGCACATACCTCCTTATCTTCATCGTCTTGGTTTCGGTTATATTTTTTGAGAACCCTAAAACCACTTGCAGAAGGCATAATTTCAGTAAAATAAATAGCGCACACATAAAAACAAAGTTTCCGATGCAGAGATTGGTTGCTCGAATTGGTATTTGGTAATCACTTCTGGGAAACCAGAAGTTGTTTTCGATTCATATGCCCCACAAATAACAAACATTCTCGAGTTCAGATTGGATACCTTCCATGTTTAACAGAGACATCGTCTTTACCATAGGGCCTCAAATCTAGCTCAATCACCCTCATGCCACATCTCAAAGCTTATACGATCGGAACATCACTCCAGTTGCTACTGACCTGGTTTCTAGTCAAGTAGGAATTGTGGCCGGCGTATATGAAGTAACGCAATAGAGGAGCTTTCGTATCACGATGGACCTGAATATTACAGCTTTGCATTGAATAGATGCACTGAAATGGCTAATATATGAACAACACTGAATACTTAGCTCTAACCAAAACCAATAATCTGCAACTGATTCTAAGTCCTTTGCACCTTATCAGGTAACTCAAATTTACAGTTAGAACTGAAAGATCCTCAGACGCAACCCGAAAAAAGTGTTAAGCTTTTCATTGCAACTAATACAACTCTAACATATAAAGCAACTAAAGGGGAATTTTCTGTTTTTTAACAGGCGAATCTAACAGCGAGTTTTGGAAATGGCAATGAAACCCAAAATTCAGAATCCAAAGTTCCAAAACTTCATCCCTTTCTCTGTGTGTTCCCCTATTGGCAAGTTGACAAAAAAAACGTAGCCAAAAACGTAGCGAAAACCCTAAATTCCTGTTATTTTCCGGCAAAATCCGTCAGAGGGCATCCAAAAGTAATTAAAAATGCATGAGAATCCGGTCAAGAAAAAGCCAGGAAAACTAAATGCCAACAAACAAGCAGCACCCAGGATGCACTACTTCAAGAGTCGTTATCGCACTTTCCCGGGAAACAAACAAGAGATGACCAGCAGAGTTAACCTGATCACCGATCGGTGTAAGAGCTCAATGGATAAGAGGAAATAGTTGAAGACGTCGAGTGTGAGAGATCGCACCTCATCGACGATCCTTCTCCACCGCTGTACCTGCCCATCCGACAGGAACCGTCGCTTCCCTCCCGACGAAATCGACACAGAAAAGGAAAAACTGTTACTGTAACATTAGCATATGCGCTACTCGTCACTTGGACTTCCGAGCCCATTGACTTAATGTTAAGCCCAATTTGGCCCATAGGTCACCACGTGGCAGACGCTGATTGGATCATTTACGTCATCTATGCTATAAAGCAGGAGAGGGAAAAACACCCTCCGGACATCACAGATACTACTTTGCACTCAGAGTCCGAGATCGAGGAAGATGGCGAGGTCGGTGACGTTTCTACTATGGAGCCTTCTTATTCTTGGAACCCTAACCCTAATCCAGGTGCATTTCTTTGTGTTCCTCTTTTCATTCTATATTCTGCTTTTTTGCGCGGTTTGATTGGTCGTAGCCAAATGTTCGAACGATTTCGTAGATTTTGCATGATCTAGATAGACGATTGATAGATTACGGTTGATTACGTTATAAATTGAGGTAATTCAATGATTATGTGTTGCTGAGATAATTTTGGATCATTTTCCGGTTTGAGCGATTGCTGCTTTGCCTGATAATGTGTCGTTGTTTTATCTTAGGGTAAAAGACCCTCATATGTTCCTTGCGAGCTATCGTCTATTTTGTGATGAAAAAGTGTCTCCTAAGTCAACTTTACCGTTCAATTGCCGACGTCACGTGAGAGATTCATGAAGTGGAACATCCAGATTTTTTTTTTGTGAATTCTGACGTTTTGATGTGCTCTGATAGTCATTTATTGTAACGAGGTTTGCGGAGAGATGGAGATGATATGGATTATAGATATTAATGGTTTGGCGTTACATTCTCAAACATTATCCAGATGCCTTAAGAGACGTGGGGGTCTTGTTACATTTAGTAATATATCCTTACGGGGGGATAATGTTCTTACAAACCATTCTGAATGGTGGGTTTTGGGTTTCAGGCAAAGAAATCCAAGGAGAATTTGAAGGAAATCACACACAAGGTTTATTTTGATATCGAGATCGATGGGAAGTCAGCTGGTACGATCTTGGTCATGATATAGGCTTGTGATACATAACTGGTCTTTCAGGTCGTTTTCCAATGATTTCTTATGTCAATGGTTTTGACCCAGGTCGAATTGTTATGGGTCTCTTTGGCAAGACTGTTCCCAAAACAGCTGGTACGCGTAACATGTTTCATGCTCTGACGTTTGTTTTGTTGCGTGCTTTTGGTGGTGTCTGTATTAGTGTATTTCATAAGGAGACTTAACCCCCCTAAAAAATTTTCTTTGTGCAGAGAATTTCCGAGCTTTGTGCACAGGTAACCAAACAAGATCTTTCTTGATCTCATTTTCTGATGTTCTGCAATCTTTTTATCTTTATATGCCTTTGGAATTCAAACTTACATCAACTGTATACTTGATTGATATCAGGGGAGAAAGGAATTGGTAAGAGTGGGAAACCTCTCCATTACAAGGGGAGCAAATTCCACAGGATAATTCCGAGCTTTATGCTCCAGGGAGGCGATTTTACGCATGGAAATGGAATGGGTGGAGAATCTATTTATGGTGAGACGTTTCCAGATGAGAACTTCAAGATCAAGCACACTGGACCAGGTAGTTATTTCTGGATATTGCTTACAACTTCTTCAGGGACATTACCCTGTGAGTTTTAGCCTACTGACTGACTGTCTACTTTTCATTTCCCAAGGACTTCTATCAATGGCGAACGCGGGGAAAGACACCAACGGATCACAATTCTTCATCACAACGGTAACAACCAGCTGGTGAGTAGGGAGTTGACAGAATTCAATGTGTACTTGGGTTGCTAGATGTCTTTATTTGAAATGTACTAGATGTAGGGCATTAGAATCCATCCATAGGGTCCGTGCTGGCAGTTGAATTTTGAATTTGGAACTGATAAGGAAGGTGGTGGACAGGTTGGACGGGAGACATGTAGTGTTTGGGAAGGTGGTGTCGGGGATGGATGTGGTTTACAAGATCGAAGCTGAAGGCAATCAAAGCGGAACCCCCAAGTCCAACGTTGTCATCACCGACAGCGGCGAACTCCCTCTTTGATCTTTTTTTTCATGATTATTTACTCCCCCTTTGATCTTTGTATGGTATCTCCGTTAATGGAGAGCTTCTTCAGATTCAATGCCGGATGATGATGACTGTATTTGACCAAACTGTTTGTTGTTCGATGAATTAAAAGAAAACATATATACCTAGGCTGTCTAAGAAGAGGTTTCATTAGCGTCAGACCCTATACCGTAATCCCCATTCACAGGTTTCGACCAATGGTCTGGGGGACGGGTTCCTCCAAAGCAGGGCCGACCGTGGATTCCGGCAGGCAATGGTCAGGTATAAGCCTGGTGGCGCTTAGACGGATGTTGAACTCGGCCAGCCCAGATGGGTTCCTCACTCCCACCCCTTCATGATTCTCCTTTTGTCCATTGCAAGTACTACATTGCATCCTCCTCTTCTGTATCTCATCTTTTACTTTCTACATTGCATACAAAAACATTATAAAAAAAAAGGTCACAAAATCTGTGTAAGTGACATACTAGTAGCCTATCAACATTGTTCTCAGAGACCTCATGGCATCTGTGAATTGTGTAGAAAAGACAAATGAAAGATTAATGTTTTATCAATCAACAAAGCCCAAATCAAAGCACAATTGAATCTACCCATAAAATTTTACCTCTACTTTGAAAATCCAAACATGTTCTGTTACAAAGAACAGGCAGGTTCTCTACCTTTGAGCTTTAATTCTAAGGTGCAAGATGACGCAATTGCTTCTAGGAACTATCAATCTAGCTCCATTTCTACCTAGAACCATGACAACGCTGAAAATGAGACCTATATATACTCTGTTCCTAGACTCGTCGAGTTTCAAATTCGCCTAAGAGATCTACATCCGTATCAGTAAACCGATCACATTCCAGATTTATACATAAAAAAAACACACAACACAAACAAACACCTACTCTTGCTAAAACCGTGATGGACCACAGAAATCAGTCATAAAGAGTCCTACATTCTGCCTTTCTAGATCATAACAGAGTCTTGGAACAAAAGTTTCAAACTTTAATACATCTCAGGTCCCTAAACCCGTTGCATTAGGGATTCATAAGTGCGGTTCTAATGCAATAGGCTCTTTAGTTTAAACTTCCACACTCAAGTCTCGCAATTTGCGTGTGTATCCACACTAAACATTTTCCATCAGATACCATGCGCTCCCATAAACTACAACCAAAGGGAAAAGCAACGCAAGTTCAAACCTGAAGCATCTTCAGATCGAACTTGGGAAGGCCAATGTGTTCCACGGTGACGGAACCAAAGAGGTTCCCTAACAATGCAGCATCAGCGACGGCCAACCCCTCCACCAGCCCCGCCACAAACCCGCCGAGGAAACTATCTCCGGCGCCGGTAGGATCCACCTGGTTCGCCGGAAATGGTGGAACCGCCGTCTCCTCATCCTTGTGATAAATCCTACACCCTTCTTTACCATTAGTCACCACCACAGAGCACCACTGCTTCACTTGTTCTACATCCACGAAAAGGGCTTCTTCCGACGAAGCCTTCAAGAACCCAATTCGCGGTAAGATGTGATAGAACCCGCTTTCCTTCAGATTCACGAGCTTTACGGTTCCGTCGACGGGATCGAAATCCCTGATCAGAGCCTGAATGTCTACAGACACGACATCACATATCTCCACCATTTTCTCAAGTGTCTCCGGCAGAACCTCTCCGCCGACGCCTACAGCCATCCCGAAATCAAACCTTGCGTCGGGGAGATCAGACGGGAAAATCGGGTCGCATGCACGAACCCGTTTCAGGACCCGATCGGGTCGCCCTGTTCCGTCGAGGCCCATATCGAAATACGCCTCGAAAACGGTAGTGTGCTTCGCCGGAGCGACAATAGGGGCGTGATTAACGGCGTACTTGAAGTCGTAGCCGACTTTGGAGGTCAAATCGCAGGAGAGAGACAAAGCATTGAGGACGTTGGAGATGAAGGAGGCGGCGCCGCCGAGGGTTTCGGCGACGACGGATCCGTTTTGGATGAGGACGTCGTGGCAGTAGTTCCCGACGATGAGGACACGGCGGATCGAGATCCGACGAGGCGAGTGAGGCGGAGGGTTTTGCGTCATGAGAATGATGAGGTGGCTCGTGGCAAGTGGCCTCTTGGGTCATCGATAGATTATCGACAGATTCATGGAACGATGAAGAAGAAGAGGGGGAGATACTTACGAGGGAAATGGAAGAGAACAAAAATGGCGATTTTTTTTTTTTTTTGGGTCTCGGGGAGCGTTCTCTGTGAGGGAATGAAATGTGTCAAGAGGGTGACGATGCGTTCACAAGCAGGAAGAACATAATACATACATACACCATTATTATTGTTTTTTCTTTGTTCTATTCCATTCTTCTTTCTAACACCCAATTTGAGAGAGAAAGATGCTTGATTCTCCAGCCAACCGACTGCATCAATATTCCAAAAAATTATCATATATCAAATTAATATGTTCCTATCTTTTACACAAATAAAAACGAGGGTTCTGCACAAGTAAAAAACAGTGCATGAATGAGAAGAGAGTATCAAACGCCACAAGGGACTCGTACTAATTAACAACTTACACAGAAGGTTTTATGATCAACAAGAGCGTTATTACAGACTACAGTTAACACTCACACAACCGAGGAATGGACATTTCAGTCGGAACGGATACCGCCCATGAAGGTCCTGGGATCTGGACAGTTACCCGAAAACTGTGCTTGCGAGAAGTCGAACCCTGGGTTCTGCACATCAATCCAATATACATAAGAAAACAACATGTTCATCACGTTGATCAAGTGCATACAGCTCACATGGATTCTGCATTCCCAACTTGTCTATTCTACCATGTCATGTTACATACGCTACAGACACCTCTATCCAAACCAGTGAAGTGCTAGAAATGTCAAGATGAATAGATCAAAGTGCTCCTTTATAAAGCAAAGAAGATTTTCTTGGAATTAGGATGCATACAGCATACAAGAAACATAATAAGAGGAAGACATAAAAACAATCAGTGTGATTATGTCGTCATCCAACTGGTAGAATCTGTAGCACACCAAAACCTTCTAACAATGCATAACTTGTCACTTAATTACACTGGCTGTTTTTTGTGTCTTTTAGATGATCAAGATTACCTTAACCAAGAAACACGGAAAAAAAACAGAAGCATGTTTCCAAGGAAGTCAGGAATCACATTGAACAAGAACAAGAAGCACGGATAAAAACAGAATCATATTTCCATGGAAGTTAGGAATCCCGAGTGACTCTGATAAGTGTCCCACATTGGAAAAAGAGAGGGATTTGGGGCCAATATATAAGGAGGGTCAAACCTACACTCTTAAGCTAGTTTTTGTGGTGGAGTTAGGGCCTAAACCTTATTAATTGGTATCAGAGCCTAAATCTCTACTTTCCGGTGCGCCTTTGACGGGCCGTTCTCCTGCGGACATGCGGTCGACACAGTGGTTGTGGGACGGTCGGGAGAGGAACGGTCGGGGATGGACCGAGAAGCCGCCATCGACCAGATTTGCCCCACATTGGAAAAAGAGAGGGATTTGGGGCCAATACCACCCCCATTAGACAGCGACGTCCACGGCGCTGGGGCAAATCTGGTCGCTGGCGGCTTCTCGGTCCATCCCTGACCGTTCCTCTCCCGACCGTCCCACAACCACCGTGTCAACCGCATGTCCGCAGGAGAATGGCCCGTCAAAGGCGCACCGGAAAGTAGAGATTTAGGCTCTGATACCAATTAATAAGGTTTAGGCCCTAATAACTCCACCACAAAAACTAGCTTAAGAGTGTAAGTTTGACCCTCCTTATATATTGGCCCCAAATCCCTCTCTTTTTCCAATGTGGGACACTTATCAGACTCATACCTTATTGCCTATCCAAAACAAATCGATGAAGTCTCACCTCTTCTTGAAACCTCTGAAGCATAAGGCGTTTCTGCTCGAGATCAGTGGAGTAAGGATCCAACTGGCCCTGTCCAAGTATAGGTGATGACCACGTCTGGCCTTTGCCCCTCTTCTGCAGCGTAATGTGCATTATATCATCCTCTGCCAAATACAAAGTAGAGTCAAGTCAGTACGGAGTACCAAATATGTTGCAGATAATTTAGAGTATTTGTTAATTGTAATCGCAAAATTTACAATAGAAAGATGGATGTTGGAGCGTGAACAGAAACAATGGTTTTCGCTGTTAAAGATGGCAACACAATCCGGAGTTTAGCACTTGTGCACGTATAAGGCAAGCTTTGGATTCCCATTCTGTCAACGGTTTTGGTATTCATTATCCTGTTCCAAATTGGAATTTCCAGCCATAGATTGAAAATTTTCCAAACTATGTGGATTGTGCACTCTTTCTTTCTAGCCACAACCGATTCACATCACGTTTTCTTTTCTTATGTAATCCTATAGCGATGAAACGAATGTACGCATTCATACCAGCAGAAGACAGAAACATAATCTCATTCCGGGAATCAGGGGGTACCTAGAGTCCAGAACGAGCAATCTGTCTTCACGGGTCCATTGAGATCGTGCTGAAATTTGAAAATTTTCAATCAAAATACAGATGTATAGAATTAGATCACATAAATTTTTGACATGAAAACAAGCCAAAGGCTAAAGGGAAATCGAAAACCGACATTGAGATAAGGAGGGTTGCCTTTGGCGTTAGCCGCGGAGCGGACATCGGAGACCTGGGTAGTGCACATCCACCGATCATGTATAATTACGTATTTTGATATATTTATATTTTGGGGAACGTTTTGTTGTTATCGGTGGTAGACTTAATGTTTGTAATAATTTTATCACTACCACTTGATTTTGTATAATTATAACTGGAAATAATGTATCATATGGGGCAGTAGTTCCCGACGATGAGGACACGGCGGATCGAGATCCGACGAGGCGAGTGAGGCGGAGGGTTTTGCGTCATGAGAATGATGAGGTGGCTCGTGGCAAGTGGCCTCTTGGGTCATCGATAGATTATCGACAGATTCATGGAACGATGAAGAAGAAGAGGGGGAGATACTTACGAGGGAAATGGAAGAGAACAAAAATGGCGATTTTTTTTTTTTTTTGGGTCTCGGGGAGCGTTCTCTGTGAGGGAATGAAATGTGTCAAGAGGGTGACGATGCGTTCACAAGCAGGAAGAACATAATACATACATACACCATTATTATTGTTTTTTCTTTGTTCTATTCCATTCTTCTTTCTAACACCCAATTTGAGAGAGAAAGATGCTTGATTCTCCAGCCAACCGACTGCATCAATATTCCAAAAAATTATCATATATCAAATTAATATGTTCCTATCTTTTACACAAATAAAAACGAGGGTTCTGCACAAGTAAAAAACAGTGCATGAATGAGAAGAGAGTATCAAACGCCACAAGGGACTCGTACTAATTAACAACTTACACAGAAGGTTTTATGATCAACAAGAGCGTTATTACAGACTACAGTTAACACTCACACAACCGAGGAATGGACATTTCAGTCGGAACGGATACCGCCCATGAAGGTCCTGGGATCTGGACAGTTACCCGAAAACTGTGCTTGCGAGAAGTCGAACCCTGGGTTCTGCACATCAATCCAATATACATAAGAAAACAACATGTTCATCACGTTGATCAAGTGCATACAGCTCACATGGATTCTGCATTCCCAACTTGTCTATTCTACCATGTCATGTTACATACGCTACAGACACCTCTATCCAAACCAGTGAAGTGCTAGAAATGTCAAGATGAATAGATCAAAGTGCTCCTTTATAAAGCAAAGAAGATTTTCTTGGAATTAGGATGCATACAGCATACAAGAAACATAATAAGAGGAAGACATAAAAACAATCAGTGTGATTATGTCGTCATCCAACTGGTAGAATCTGTAGCACACCAAAACCTTCTAACAATGCATAACTTGTCACTTAATTACACTGGCTGTTTTTTGTGTCTTTTAGATGATCAAGATTACCTTAACCAAGAAACACGGAAAAAAAACAGAAGCATGTTTCCAAGGAAGTCAGGAATCACATTGAACAAGAACAAGAAGCACGGATAAAAACAGAATCATATTTCCATGGAAGTTAGGAATCCCGAGTGACTCTGATAAGTGTCCCACATTGGAAAAAGAGAGGGATTTGGGGCCAATATATAAGGAGGGTCAAACCTACACTCTTAAGCTAGTTTTTGTGGTGGAGTTAGGGCCTAAACCTTATTAATTGGTATCAGAGCCTAAATCTCTACTTTCCGGTGCGCCTTTGACGGGCCGTTCTCCTGCGGACATGCGGTCGACACAGTGGTTGTGGGACGGTCGGGAGAGGAACGGTCGGGGATGGACCGAGAAGCCGCCATCGACCAGATTTGCCCCACATTGGAAAAAGAGAGGGATTTGGGGCCAATACCACCCCCATTAGACAGCGACGTCCACGGCGCTGGGGCAAATCTGGTCGCTGGCGGCTTCTCGGTCCATCCCTGACCGTTCCTCTCCCGACCGTCCCACAACCACCGTGTCAACCGCATGTCCGCAGGAGAATGGCCCGTCAAAGGCGCACCGGAAAGTAGAGATTTAGGCTCTGATACCAATTAATAAGGTTTAGGCCCTAATAACTCCACCACAAAAACTAGCTTAAGAGTGTAAGTTTGACCCTCCTTATATATTGGCCCCAAATCCCTCTCTTTTTCCAATGTGGGACACTTATCAGACTCATACCTTATTGCCTATCCAAAACAAATCGATGAAGTCTCACCTCTTCTTGAAACCTCTGAAGCATAAGGCGTTTCTGCTCGAGATCAGTGGAGTAAGGATCCAACTGGCCCTGTCCAAGTATAGGTGATGACCACGTCTGGCCTTTGCCCCTCTTCTGCAGCGTAATGTGCATTATATCATCCTCTGCCAAATACAAAGTAGAGTCAAGTCAGTACGGAGTACCAAATATGTTGCAGATAATTTAGAGTATTTGTTAATTGTAATCGCAAAATTTACAATAGAAAGATGGATGTTGGAGCGTGAACAGAAACAATGGTTTTCGCTGTTAAAGATGGCAACACAATCCGGAGTTTAGCACTTGTGCACGTATAAGGCAAGCTTTGGATTCCCATTCTGTCAACGGTTTTGGTATTCATTATCCTGTTCCAAATTGGAATTTCCAGCCATAGATTGAAAATTTTCCAAACTATGTGGATTGTGCACTCTTTCTTTCTAGCCACAACCGATTCACATCACGTTTTCTTTTCTTATGTAATCCTATAGCGATGAAACGAATGTACGCATTCATACCAGCAGAAGACAGAAACATAATCTCATTCCGGGAATCAGGGGGTACCTAGAGTCCAGAACGAGCAATCTGTCTTCACGGGTCCATTGAGATCGTGCTGAAATTTGAAAATTTTCAATCAAAATACAGATGTATAGAATTAGATCACATAAATTTTTGACATGAAAACAAGCCAAAGGCTAAAGGGAAATCGAAAACCGACATTGAGATAAGGAGGGTTGCCTTTGATGCCAACTTCGACATGCTTTGGCTCGATCTTGCAGTAGAACAGCTTCGAATGAACATTTGACGGCAAAGTTAAGTACATATTAACCTCTTCCAGGGTTTGATCCCACTCGAATACCTTTTGCCCTAAAACAACAGCGAATGAAGAAAACAGTTGATCAAATTTCTCGGATTTCTAGGACAACAGAGACAAACAGAAAGGGAAAGGGAGAACATAGAGAGAGACCATTATGGATGAAACTGTGACGCTTTTCCGGCGCTAGCTTCTCAGCCATTTCTAGGGCTTTGATCTTCGTTTTCCGGACCAATCGTTTTTCGCTCGCCGTCGCCGGCGAAATTACGAAACCTTTTTTTTTTCTCGCGAAAGTTCTATTAATTTACACAAATGGAACAACATTTTATGATTCCGTCCTTGAGACTTGATGTGTATCAATTTAAGGGGCCACTCTTTTGTTAATTTACAAACGGGTCCCTAGTAATGGAGAGAACTCCGTTTTCAACGCGGAAGACAAAACTCCATGCGGTTTTTTTTTTGGAGCCTGGTTCACCTCAAAACATCATGTAGTTGGGGGGACGTCTTCGACGCACAAGGTATATTATTATATAGATGAAAATATTTTCCCGAGGACGTAGATCAAATTCGTATTTAAAATTTTAATTGTAAATAGAATCGAGAGAGAATACAAAGATAAGGAATACATGTGGTCTCAGTTTCCAAAAAATCCGAGAGGGAGCTCCACACGGTTACTTGTGACGCAAGAAACAAGAAACAACCAGAGACGAGGTTAATAAAATCAAACAAGCCTCAGGAAGAAACCATAATTGTCAGGTCAGGTCATCTTTCCTGCAGATTCTGTCGTGTTTGGTCATAGAAGATGGATGAGAAGAGCAGAGACAGCATAACGTAATTGCGGGGAGGGAACTTGTGAGCATGTGGGCTATCGAGTGTTTGTTGTGTTCATTTTTGCCTTGCTATGTATGCGCCATGCCCCTCTTTCTTCAGATACAGGAGAAGAGGAGATTCACATGGCGGTGGCAAGTGATATTTTTCTTTGCCCTTATGCTTTGCTAAAAGAGAGGAAAAAAAAATAAAGGAGAAAATTTGGCAACTCAAGTTGGAACGCCTACACATATGGTTCAATACCTTACTTTCACAGCAAGAAACTGCCAGCTCTTCTCACGGCCTTTTGATTGCAGAGGTCAAACCCTTCGGCCAAAGCGCCTTTCCCTTTTCTGGTACGAAACCAAAGCCTCGATGAACTCTTCCTTGCCGAAATCAGGCCAAAGGACCGGCGAAAAGAAGAATTCAGTGTAAGCCAATTGCCACAGGTAGAAGTTGCTGATTCTCTGTTCTCCGCTCGTTCTGATCAGCAAATCTGGGTTCGGAAATTCGGTGCACTGAGTCAGAAGTTCCTGTTCGATCATGTTTTCGTCGACGTCTTCCGTCTGGATCAAGCCGTCTCTTGCTTTGCGGATGCTGCGAGATATCGTATCTTCCGCTGTAGTCTATGGCTATGATCAGATGCTTCGCTGCGTAGATTCTCGTAGATTCCTCGATCTCCCGTATTGTTTGGAGGAGAGACTGGGGGATCTTTGTAACGTTCCCGATGATGGAGACTCTAATTCTCTCCCTGCAACAAAAGCTCCGTAGGTAACGTTCTTCTGTCTCAGCTGTAAAACCGCATCATATATATATATATATATATGCCGCGACAACGTTTAGTCACACCTCTGGAAAAATGGCATCTTCGACTGTAGATACTTTTCGAACAAAAACAACAAGCAGCTAACCTCAGCCTGCATGGAAAACCGAAACAAGTGTATGGGCACCGAGTGTGTGGACAGAGAGACAGAATCTTAGGTATAATATATATATATACATATTCAAAAAATACAACAGAAGAGCACGCGTGGGGCATAGTTTAACGGACCAGGGGTCGACCCCAATTCTCGGTGGAGAAAGCAAAGGCTGAGAAAGTGTGTATTCCCAAATTGAAGCAAAGCTCGGCAAGCTCCACAAACCTTTTGGCTCCTTCGTCGTGGCCTTGCACCGTCATCAGTCCCCTCTGCTTCGCCCATCTCCTGTTTCCGTCCAATATCACCGCCACGTGCCTCGGCATCAGCTCTCTCCTCAGCTCCGAGGGAAGCTCCTCCGACTCCCTGTCATGGCTGGCAACTCGAGCTAGTTTGGAGCTTACAAAAGAAAACTCAACTGTCAGATGGATGGAGCAGGAGGAACTACATATGCATACCTTTCCTGTTGTGGCGTCTCATCTTTCCTGCTGGGTCTGGTCGTCGAGGAAGGAAAGCGCGTCAAGAGAAGATGAATGAGAAGAAGAGGGAGGAGAGAGAGGGGAAGGAAGAGCAGAGGCAACATGACGTCACTGCGGGGAGGGAGCTTGCGTGTTATGGTTTTACGCTCTCTCGTGCTTCTGCGCATTTATAGAGTCTCTCCGTGTTCAGACGTGGCAAGACATGTAAAACGTGCCTTGTCCTTGTACCCGTTAATTTGATGTTGAAAGATAAAAAAACATTTAGGGTGAGTTGATATACACGAGAAGCTCGTGTGTAATTCAAATAGAGAATAATTTTATCTCGAGTTTGTGTTTGTGTGGTTCACAATTAAATGTCCGTATTCGAGATTTTAATTGGTACGATAATCCATGAATACAAACAAAAAGGTAACAGACAGTTTCCAATAAATTTGGTGAGACAACGTCACGTGGTTTTACGGTGACGTAAGAAACAGGACAACAGAAAGACGACGGGCATTGATCTCCATTCGAATTTTTAATGCTAATGGATGTGTTCTGTATTATGCACGCACGATATCAATTGACGAATCGTGAATGCAACAAAAGGAATTGGGGTTGGCACATGCTTTGGGACCTTTCACTTTCACAATGGATGGATATGTAATTATGTATCTTCTTCACCGTTTGCATCTTCTTTCTTGGTTTGGTTCTTGAATCAATTTATTACTTAATAAACACATATTTTCATATAAGATCGCTTCCAAATTATTATCATATGAAATTTTAACTAACCAAACTATGTTTAGCTTACAAAACAAACAATAATTTCATCAAAAAAGAAAATATAAATAAAATTGAGACAATTCTGTGACGCGGCCCAATATCCTTGCTCTTTTTTTTTTTTTTTTTTTTCTATTTGGGCCTCCTAAAGCTAGGGTTTTATTAAGACGATTTCCGATTCGAGGGTTCGTCCGGAGTCAGAGTCGAACAGCTGAAGGATGAATCCACTGACGCAGGTGAAGCGCATACAGAGCATCAATTCCAAGGAAGCAGATCTTGGTATCTCTGAAGAAGCGTCTTGGCACGCCAAGTACAAAGATTCCGCTTATATCTTCGTCGGCGGCATTCGCCGCATTCCTTATGACCTCACCGAAGGTGATCTCCTCGCAATCTTTGCCCAGTAAGTGACGGATTGATCAGTTTCGGAATGTTTTATTTTTGGGATGAATTCTCTAGATAGATGTCAAGTTTTACGAGTTGATCCTTGTGTTCTTTCATGGAGTTTAACTGTGCTTACTTGTTCTCCGGACTCGAAGATATGGCGAAGTTGTTGATGTCAACCTTGTTCGGGACAAGGGAACTGGCAAGTCGAAGGGTTTTGCGTTTCTTGCGTATGAAGATCAAAGAAGTACTACTCTTGCTGTAGGTTAGTCTTGTCTCTCTGCTCATGGCTCATACCTGCTCGTTCTCCTGGATTTGCTTTTCATTGTTGTTTTTCTTTTCTCTGGCTTTTAATGGCAGATAACCTAAATGGAGCTCAGATTTTAGGTCGGATTATCAGGGTCGATCATTGTAGTAAATACGTAAAGAGAGAAGAGGAGGATGACGAAACCTTGCAGCAGAAGAGGGAGGCACGCGGTGTGTGCCGTGCTTTTCAGAGAGGAGAATGTACCCGTGGAGCTTCTTGCAAATTTTCCCACGATGAAAAAGTGAGGCATATCCGCCTCAGAGACTTATACTTTGTGAAATGATTACTTGGGTTGTTTCAGTGTTAGCAATTGATGTTAATAATGTGGAAGTGGAACACATGTTTGGATGAACTAATGAAGTATGTATGGATATCACAGTTGACAACTACTTCTCCTTCATTTATATTCTCCCTTTTTTATTGCCAGAGAGCTGCCAATACCGGTTGGGGTCATGAAGAGGATAGAAGTTCCAGGTGGGATCATGACAAGTTTGATGGGATGAAAACGGGTGGTACGAGTTATGGTGATCGAGGAAAAGTTAGGCCTGATGATAAATATAGTAGCTATGGAGAAAAGGATTATAAGGGTGCCTCAGATGGCCACCCTAGGGAGCGTGGCAGGAAGGAGGAAACAAGACTTGGTTGGCGCGATAGAGATTATGAAAGCAAGTTGCGAGGTGATCGTGAAGACAGGCATGAAAGAAAACCAATAAGGGATGACGATGGTTTTGAACGTGAGCCTAGGTCAAGAGATACTCGCGATAGGAGGGACGAAAAGAGGGGGGCACATCATGACGATTCATCAGAGCAGCAATCCAGAAAATATGTTACTGAAAATGATTATAAGAGAGACGACAAGAGATCCAGAAGACATGACAGTGATGAGTTGAAGGTGAAATCTAGAAGAGATAATAATGGCAGGGAGAAAGGAGAATCGAGAAGGCAAATGGAAAGCTCCCCAAGACGAGATAAAAAAGGGATGGATGGCAAATGGGCTGTCCATGAGAAGGATTCTTCCTATGGTCATCATGGAGAGAGAGATGATCGGCGTCGCTGAAGGGATAGATAGTGGTAAATCGGCATGCTCAATGGTTGTCTGGTTGTAACTAGGATCTATGGCAATATGCTTTATTGTTCCTTTCGACAGAGTTGTTTTCCCTTTTGTGGGGTCATTCTAAGTGTCAGCATCTGTTTGCCATGATGCTTGAGGATTGTTGATTTTATCCTTTGAAATGAAACAAGTTATTATAACCTTTTCATTTGTTGAAGGAGTTGATGCTGCTAACTCGTGCATATATTACATGCTAGTAGCTGGATTGACCTTCCTACATGCTCCGTTGTTTTACAGGGACTTGACCGACTGCAGCCTTCCCAGCGTGTCTGGTTAAATGCGATGCTTGCAACTCCTGCGGCCCTGGGCATCTTAAAGAGGTAAAATACATGTTTTCTGTTAGCAGTTTGTTTTCGATTATACAGAGAAATTATCTAGTTCTCACTGGTGCACAGTTTGGGAGGAAGCACAATGACTGAGGGTCCATTGGTTTGGTTTTTCCTGTGAGAGGTTTTTTTGGATTTACCCTTCCTTGCATCTGTTATTCTCTTTGTTCGATGATGGCCTCGAAGGTGTATGTTGTTTAAGTTTTAATATGTTTATAAATTATAATACATGTTAGCTTATTGCTGGGGAGATTTTGGGGGCTTAATTGACTCTGTCTGTGAAAGTGAAATTGTTAATGGTACAGTTGTAGTAACATGCGAGATGTTTCATATTGTGTAGGGATCTCCTTCTGCGATTGGCTTGGTCAATGAAAATGAATCGAAGAATTATGATTTTATGTGTCTGTGTGCTCGCATTACTGGGTTGTATAGTAATATTTTAAGTTATCTTCTGGTGGGTTTGAATCATGACTTTTCAATTTTTTATTTTTTACAAGGGTATTTTTTTAATGATTTTTGCAGCCCGTTGTGTTGTAGTCACTGTTGAGAACTTGTCAAAACATATCCTTGAGAGCTTTTTCTTGAAATTGTAGGATGTCGTCTTGTTGACTTAGAATAAAATATAGCATTAAATCTAAGATGCTGAGACAGCACGAGAATTATACTATTCTCTCTTATGGGAGAAAACTTGGCAGGACAATATTTGCTTATGCTTGTCAAAATCCATCGAATATGGTAATGAGTGTATATATATATCGCATAACCGCATTATGTGTTGACCTTTTCATGTTGAAGGTTGAAGTCAATACAGGTTGAAAATAATCTTCATTCTTAATACAGGCAAGTCAGAATTGTTCATTCTTTCAAAATGTTGAATTTGGTATTCTAAAATCCACAGGCGGTAAATGCCGTAACTTTGGATTTTTTTTTTATTGGTTTATTTTTCCGTTTCTGAGAGCTCAAGCTATATACTCATTATTGTTAGGATCCTTAGAGTTAATCAAAGTCTCTCGTTTGCCTGTGCTTACAAACAAAAAAACCCTTTCTGGTCTAAAAAAAAGTCGTTGCCTGTTGCTCTCCATGGATCTTCCTTTCATGAGCATAAGACTGTTTCTTTTACGGGCTCGCTGTGCTCTGCTGTTGCTTGCAGTCTCGCATGCAATTTCTGCCCAAACAATCAGATTCGCAGACGATAATGATAAACAAGCATTGCTAGAGTTTAAGTCTCGAGTCTCTGAAGAGAGAAGAATTGCATTGGTCTCGTGGAATGACTCGTATCCTCTCTGCAGGTGGGTTGGGGTTATGTGTGGCTCGAAGCACAAAAGGGTCACCGGTTTGGACCTTGGAGGGCTGAAACTAACTGGGACAGTCTCACCCTTTATTGGTAACCTCTCATTTCTCAGATCACTTAATCTTGCCTACAACTTTTTTCGTGGTACCATCCCTTCCGAGTTTGGAATGTTGTTCAGGCTCCAACACTTGAACATGAGCAATAATTTTCTCGGAGGGGAGATCCCGGTTGGCCTGTCTAACTGTTCCAACCTTTTAACCCTAGATCTATCATCAAACCATCTTGAACACCATGTTCCTTCTGAGCTAGGGTCTTTGCCTAAACTTATCGTTTTATCTCTTGGTAGAAACAATCTAACAGGGAATTTCCCTACCTCTTTGGGAAATCTGACATCACTCCTGCAGCTCGACTTTATATATAACCAAATGGAAGGAGAGACCCCAGAGAGTGTCGCCAGACTGACACAGACAGTGTTTTTCCGAATAGCATTGAACAAATTCTCTGGTGTTTTCCCCCTTCCTATTTACAACCTATCCTCCCTTGTGTTCTTGTCCATAACTAGCAACAATTTCTCGGGTAACTTGAGGCCTGATTTTGGCACTCTTCTCCCTAACCTTCAGATCTTGTACATGGGGATCAACTATTTCACCGGCACCATTCCAGTTACACTTTCCAATATTTCAAGTCTCCGACATCTTGATCTTCCGTATAACCTTCTAACAGGAAGTATACCATTGAGTTTTGGGAAACTAGGGAATCTGCAACGGTTAGGGCTTAACAATAACTCTCTGGGTAATTTCACCTCTGGTGATCTTGATTTCCTTGGTGCCATGACTAATTGCACTCAATTGCAGTACTTGAATGTTGCCTACAATAGACTGGGGGGTCCATTACCCGTCTCCATAGGCAATCTCTCCAACCAGCTGACAGAAATCTCCCTTGGAGGAAATCTAATCTCTGGAAATATTCCTCATGAGATTGAAAACCTCATAAGCCTGCAGACGTTAGACTTGGGACAAAATCTGTTGACGGGTAAACTTCCTGCCTCGTTAGGAAAGCTTTCTGGATTGGTAAAGGTCTTGCTGTATTCAAATGGATTGTCAGGAGAGATACCATCTTCCTTGGGCAATATCTCTGGGTTACAGTATCTTTATTTGCTCAACAATAGCTTCGAAGGGGGTATCCCTTCAAGTCTTGGAAATTGCAGTTATCTTCTGGACCTGGAGCTTGGTACTAACAGGCTAAGTGGTATCATTCCTCAGGAACTTATGGAACTTCCATCTCTTGTTATATTGAATGTCTCGTATAACTCTTTGGTTGGTGTTTTGCCGAAAGACATTGGAAATGTGAAACATCTCTTTGCATTAGATGTTTCATACAATAAATTATCAGGGCAGATCCCATGGACGTTAGGGAGTTGTCTCTCGTTGGTGTTTCTTTGGTTGCAAGGGAATTTCTTTGATGGAGTCATCCCGAATATACATGAGTTGTCTGGCCTCAAATTCCTTGATCTGTCCAACAACAATCTATCTGGCACAATACCTGGATATCTGGTGAACTTTTCTTCTCTGCAGAATCTAAATCTCTCCATGAACAACTTTGAAGGAGCTGTGCCGACAGAAGGGGTATTTCGGAACTCTAGTGCAGTCTCTGTCTTTGGTAACACGAAGCTATGTGGAGGCATCCCATCATTGCGGCTTGAGCCATGCCCTGTATTACAAATGCCAACGAAATCAAGAAGGAATTCATCAGTCAGAAAAAAAATCGCCATTGGAATCAGTCTTGGTGTATCATCACTTCTGTTGGTATTTCTGACTGTGTTATCTCTATCTTGGTGCAAACGGAGGATGAAGAATGACCGGGAAGACAACAATGATGAGAATGATCAGTCTATTATCCCCTTCAAGTCGTTCTATGAAAGGATAAGTTATGAAGAGCTTCATAATGCAACCGGTGGCTTCTCTTCTGGCAATCTGATTGGGTCAGGAAATTTTGGGGTTGTGTATAAAGGATTCCTTGGGCCGGAGAATAAGGCGGTTGCAATCAAAGTATTGAACCTCGGGAGACATGGAGCTGCGAAGAGTTTTATGGCAGAATGTGAAGCGTTACGAGGAATGAGACATCGTAACCTCGTGAAACTGATTACTGTTTGTACGAGTGCTGACTTTAAAGGCAACGAATTCAGAGCTCTGGTTTTCGAGTTCATGCCAAATGGAAACTTAGATAAGTGGCTGCACCCAGATGAAGTAATCGGAGTTGAAGGCATTGGCATTCCCCTAAGAACCCTTACCCTTCATGAAAGACTCAACATTGCCATAGATGTGGCTTCGGTTTTGGTATATCTTCATTCTTACTCTCACATCCCTGTAGCTCATTGTGATCTGAAGCCGAGCAACATTCTTCTAGATGATGATATGAATGCCCATGTCAGTGATTTTGGATTGGCTCGCCTTCTTTTGAGTTTCGATCGAGAATCATTCCATAACCGATTCAGCTCGGCAGGTGTGAGAGGAACCGTCGGTTACGCTGCCCCGGGTATGTTATCCTTTGAAACATTTTAACAATGAGTGTAACCATGTATCTGTATGCATATGCTTTCGTCGTTATAGCTCTAATCTGATATTCGAATGGACTCTGTAGAATATGGAATGGGAGATCAACCTTCGATAATGGGAGATGTGTACAGCTTCGGGATCCTCTTGTTGGAGATGTTCACCGGGAGAAGACCAACGGATGAGTTATTCGTGGACGATTTTAGCCTTCGCAACTTTGCCAAGTCAGCATTAGCGGGCCGAGTACTAGACATTGCAGACAGATCAATGCTTCAGGACGCAGAATGCGAAACAGGAGAATGCTTGAAACTTGTTTTGCAGGTGGGAGTGAAGTGTTCTGAAGAGTGTCCGATGAATCGGATGAGGATGGGTGAAGCTGTGAACGAGTTGGTCTCTGTCAGACAGTGGCTCTTGGGGGGCAAGAAGACTTCTGAACTATGAACTGACTGTCTATCGAAGCCAAAGCGATATGTATAATTACGTACGCGTGTATGATGTACCTATTCATCTACCATCCACTAGGAAATATGTCTTGTGTTCCAAGTACAGATGTTACGTATTTGTCGTGTGGTTGTAAAATTTTCATTTAGTCGTAGTTTGGAACAGGAATCAGATTCACGTTTTTCTTTTTTGTTAGTTCAATCTCCAAAGCCAAGCCCTTGTGGAACTACCTGCCGTTTCATTGACACAAAAACAACACACGTTCTTGTTCGTGTCGAGCGCTTATGAATCTGAAAAATTCGATCTGATTTCTCCCGAGAGAGAACGAAATCAATGGTTTGGACGGACGCATGAGTGCTGAGTTTTTGAGAAATTGTGCTCCGGCATTTGTAGAGACGAAGAGACCTCCATGGGAAGTGACTTTGCTGAAAGCGAGGGAACGATGTGTAGATTTGTAATAGGAACGTGTGGATCGAGTCCGACAGATTTTATGTTCGGTTTGGGTGAAGATTCCTCGCCGGAAAACCTGCCGGAATCTTCTGTCTACGGTTCTCCAACGGCGGAACTCACGGTGTAAGTAAATCCGTCGTGATATTGTCCAAATCAGATCGATACAGTTAAAATTGTAATGGCGATTTTTGTGCTTCCATTTGCACGCATGATACATTGGCAATACACAGGGACATATGTAGATTTGGGAGTGTGACATATATACATCACAATCATAGTAGGTGCCATACTGACCGCTGAGAACGCGTCAACCATCCAATATTTGTACTGATTTTTGTTGACAGAGTAAAAGGGAGAGACTTTGAACAGAGATCACAAGGGGTCATTGTACTATTCCCATTCATGGAAGATAAACTGCTGAGGAAGAACTTGCCTGTGTTAGTCAATTCACAATTTCTTTATATATATATTTGGCACTACGTGGATACCATCTCTCTTTTGATGCTTAACGTCAATAGTTAGGTTGATGAATTCTTGTTATTTACTGCTTTCTTTAAATGCAGGGTCGCTGATTCTTTTCCAATTGTTGACCGAGACCAATACTGCTCTATGTGCTGTTTCCATTATGTTTGTCTTTTTCCCTCCTACAATTTGGTAAAGGTATTCATATGCTTGTTGTTGTCTACCCAAAAACACAGAGCCAGTTCTTGCCTAAGCAAAGCTTTTGCTCCAAATGGGTCTTCCTTGTATCAGCACGAGGGTGTTTCTTTTACTGGCTTTCCATGTTCTTAGGCTGCTTCAAGAATTGGATGTGGTCTCTGCTCAAACATTGGATGAGATCGATAAACAAGCATTGGTTGATTTTAAGTCTGGAGTCTCTGACAACGGTGGAATTTTCTTGACTTCATGGAACGATTCTGTTCCTTTGTGCGAGTGGTTTGGGGTCACATGTGGGCAGAAACACAAAAGAGTCACTGATGTGGAGCTTGGAGGGCTGAAATTGAGAGGGATGGTCTCTCCATCAATCAGTAATCTCTCCTTTCTCAGATCACTTGATCTTTCAGGTAACTCTTTCCATGGTACAGTCCCTCCAGAGATTGGAAAGTTGTTCAGGCTCCAAAACTTGAACTTGAGCAATAATGTACTCGGAGGGGGAATTCCTGATGGTCTGTCTAACTGTTCCAATCTTTTAACCCTCGATTTATCGTCAAACAAGCTCGAGCATGATGTTCCTTCTGAACTAGGATCGTTTTCCAAGCTCGTGCTTCTATATCTTGATCAAAACAGTTTGATAGGGAAATTTCCTGCTTCCTTGGGGAATCTGACATCACTCCAGAGACTTGACATTGGAGATAACCATATCGAAGGAGGGGTTCCGGATAGCATAGCCAGACTAGCAAAGATAAAGTTCCTCCGGATTGCAGAGAACAAATTTGCAGGTGGTTTTTCTCCCGCCATTTACAACTTATCTTCGCTTGAGTTTTTATCCATAGCCAGCAATAATTTCTCCGGCGAACTCAGGCCTGATTTTGGGGATCTTTTCCCTAAGCTTCAAGTGCTGTATCTGGGGTTTAATCATTTCGGAGGAACCATTCCAGTTACACTCTCCAATATTTCGACTCTTGAAAAGTTGGTCATGCTGTCTAACAATCTAAAAGGAGGCGTACCTGTGGATTTTGGTAAGCTTTGGAGGCTGCAAAGGCTAGCACTTGGTAAAAATTATTTTGGAAGCTACTCTGTTGGTGATCTTGATTTTCTCGGTGGTTTGACTAACTGCACTCAGCTTCAGCTCCTAGATGTTGGCTTCAACAGACTTGGAGGTAAGTTGCCTTCCTCCATAGCCAATCTCTCCAGCCAACTCACTTTTCTCTCTCTTAAAGGAAATCTCATCTCTGGTGGAATTCCTACTGATATTGGAAACCTCATAAGCTTGCAAACGCTTAGGCTGGAACAAAATCAGTTGGCAGGTCGACTGCCCGACACATTGGGGAAGCTTTCTGGATTGGTAGGGCTCATTCTACACTCAAACAGAATGTCTGGATTGGTCCCATCTTCCTTGGGCAATCTCAGCCGGTTAGGGATTCTCCATTTGTACAACAACAGTTTTGAAGGAAGCATCACTCCAAGTATTGGAAAATGTACTTACCTTCAAGAGCTAGGGCTGGCTTCTAACGAATTGAATGGCACCATTCCTCAGGAACTTATGGACTTCCCATCACTTGTTCGCTTTGATATTTCATACAATTCCTTGGTTGGCCCCTTTCCAGGAGATATTGGAAAGTTGAAACTTCTTCTTGTACTTAATGTTTCCTACAACAAGTTATCAGGACAGATTCCACAGACATTGGGAAAATGTCTCTCATTGGAATACATTTTGCTGCAAGGGAATTCCTTCCATGGAGCCATCCCAGATATTCGAGGATTGACTGGCCTCATAAACCTCGATCTGTCTAACAACAATTTCTCTGGTCCTATTCCTGGATATCTGGCAAACTTTTCTTCTCTACAGAATCTTAATCTGTCCATGAACGATTTCGAAGGTCCAGTGCCTACAGAAGGTATATTCCAAAACGCTAGTGCAGTTTCGGTCTTTGGTAATACGAAGCTTTGTGGAGGTATCCCAGAACTGAAGTTAATGCCATGCTCTGCTCAGTTGCCTACTAAACCGAAAAGGCATTCTCCAATCAGAAAGAAAATTGCCATTGCTGTAGTTGTAGCTGTAAATTTACTTCTGTTGACACTCCTTGCCATTGTTTTTCTATGTTGGTTCAGAAAAAAGACCAAAAATGGCAGAACAGAAGACAACAATGATCCCTCATATTCTCATTTTGAGCCCTTCTATGAAAAGCTAAGTTATGCTGAACTTTATAATGCAACTGATGGCTTCTCTTCCGGCAATTTGGTCGGGTCTGGCAATTTTGGTGTTGTGTTTAAAGGGTTCATAGGTTCCGCAAACAAGGTTTTTGCTGTTAAAGTTCTGAACCTCCATAAGTATGGGGCTGCCAAGAGCTTTATGGCGGAATGTGAAGCTTTAGGAGGCATAAGACATCGTAACCTCGTGAAAATCGTGACTGCTTGTTCCAGTATTGATTTTAAAGGGAATGAATTCAGAGCTCTGGTATATGAGTTCTTGCCGAATGGGAGCTTAGATCAGTGGCTGCACACAGGGGAAGTAGAAGGGAGGCGCAGTCCAGCAAGAACCCTAACCCTTCATCAAAGACTCAACATTGCTATAGATGTGGCTTCAGCATTGGTCTATCTTCATGACTTCAGCCATAGTCCTATAGCTCATTGTGATCTTAAACCAAGCAATGTTCTTCTGGGCGAAGATCTCACTGCCCACATCAGCGATTTTGGTTTAGCACGTCTACTCCTGAAATTCGATCAGAAATCCTTTTATGATCAACTCAGTTCTGCAGGTATCAGAGGAACCATCGGTTACACTGCACCAGGTAAGAGTGTCTTTCATGCACGGATAGGAAACTACAGCCCTTGAGCTCTGATCTCTGATTGTTGTTTCTGTGAAATTATGTAACAGAGTACGGAATGGGAGGTCAGCCATCGATATCGGGGGATGTGTATAGCTTTGGAATCCTCTTGTTGGAGATGTTCACCGGGAAAAGACCTACCGACACAATCTTTGCCGGAGATTTTAACCTTCACAGCTTTACAAGGTTGGCATTGCCAGAACGAGTATTGGACATTGCAGATGCATCAATTCGCGAGAGTTTAGATGGTCGGATGGACATGGCCGATGCCTCTGAATGCTTGAAGATGGTTTTCCATGTCGGAATCAGGTGTTCTGAAGAATCTCCGGTGAACCGGATAGCCATGGCTGAGGCTTTAAACAAGCTGGTTTGTATCAGAGAGAGGTTCTGTGGACAAACAAAAGTCCAACGGTAGAGTTTGATAGGCAGGGGATGTACATACACAATGAGACACCTATCTCTACATGTGTGCATGTGTTTATATATACATTATCTCTATGTAGATGAGCCACTTCCTCGTCTATATATACTTGTATGCACTTCGATCTTATTTTGAACAAATTCAACTTTGCTTATTTACATTTGCGACTACATAAACAGACCTCACCAATTGACATTCTTTGTTTGTTTACAGAAACACAGAGTTTATAGTTTCTAGACGGAGGACTGGTTCTTGAGCTTCTTGGCTATGCCGGCAAAGTACATGCCATGGTGATGGGCTTGTTGGAGCTCAAGCTCAGTCGGCTGGCGTCTGCCATCTGCTGCATAAGTCCCTGAACCGTACGGTGAGCCGCCCTTCACCTCTTCCATTTCGAACATTCCACGGCCAAATGTGTAACCCAATGGTACAAATATCATTCCATGGTGAGCCAGTTGTGTCACTGCCGTCAATCTGCACATCTAACATTCATAGAGTCAGTTCATTCAATTCTTACACATATGGCTACCTCAGTAATCCATCTCGGGGACCACACTTACGCAGTGAGCTCTTGGCCTCCGCCATGGAAACCGGTACTCCAGAAGATTCCGGCGGGTTTTCCGGCAAGTTTTTGGGATGCCCAAAGCTCGTGTGTGGAGTCAAAGAAGGCCTTGAATTGAGATGCCATCACTCCAAACCTCGAAGGGAAACCGAACATAAAGCCGTCAGCCTCAGCAAGTTGTTCGGGTCGGATCTCGGCCACGTTGTCTGCTCTTGGAGCAGCCTGCACTTTGTCGAGTATTTTCTCGGGCAAAGTCTCAGGTACCTGCCAGAGTGTGGCCTCCACATCTGGAACAGTGTTTGCCCCTCGGAGAACCTCCCTTGCCATCGTCTCTACGTGACCGTGCAAGGAGTAGTAACTATGGAAACAAGTGTTTGTCAAAATCAAACCTTTATAGGGCCAGAAAAGAATCTCCGAATCTAAGCATCAAAGTCTTTTGCAAATTCCTTTATAACTATGTTTTTTGCATCGAATGACATATCGGGTAAAACAAAAACTTGGGATTATAGAGGAAGAGGAGATCAGTGTAATAAAGCAACGCAGCGAAGAAAGAGAGGACTCACATTACATAAATCCTGGTGACTGCCATATGATATCCTCCAGACAAAGCCGCCGAAGACCCTGTCTGTCTTTCTACAACACACCACAGCGAAAACCCCTTTCAAACATGTATATGTCTAGATAGATAAGACTGATGTCATCCTTTGCTTTATTTAAAAGGCAGAGAGCAGGGGCATAAGGTTGGCCTAATTCACGCTTGCTGAAAAAGACACGACGAGCTTATGTTAATAATTAATAAGAGCCACATGAGATGACTTGTTCACAACAATTAGTGTTTGTGCAGTGAACTACAAAACCGACCCAAACACCGCAAAACGGCTCAACTCGATCATCGATCTACTCTCCTTCATCAATTTTCCTTAATTTCACAGAGTTCGTCGGAAATTGACAACAATCACAGAGCCATACAACAATGGACAAAGGCAACTAAATGTTCTGATACACACACACACACATAGAGAGAGAGAGAGAGAGAGAGAGAGAGAGAGAGAGAGAAACCTCTCTGGAGCAGACGAAGACGAAGACGAAGACGGAGCAGCAGCTTCGTGTTCGGAGTTAGATTCTCATCGGAGCGAACACATGCCTTCTGCCTTCGGTTTCGGTGGTTGTCTGTCTTTTCGCGTCCATCCTAATTCAGGTACCAAAACGGTGCTGACGTGGCGGTGTCTTATCTCTTCTGTTATCTATGGGCTCTTTTTCGAAGCCCAATAAATTCTTCCTCATAACTATTTGGGCCGTCTGTCTGGATAAATTAACTTGTACATATCATCGACGCCTATATATATATATATATATATATATAATTGCGTTGAATTTTATCATAACCCCCGACCAAAACATGTACAGTCAAGTCAAATACAGTCTAATTTTAAATACCAGGATTTCAGTTCCCTATTTTGCTAATAAAGTGATTGCCACGTGTCGTATGCCGGGCGATGAATAGTGCCTCCTTTCTCCTAATTATCCACGTGGCGTATCCTACTCCGTCGGATCATAGCCTTAGGCATTCCCGTGATGAAAGCTGATTGGGCCTCACCAAAAGTGGGCTTTCCCCGTGCAATGCGCGTTCCACAGTTAACCATTTATCGGGTCTCTGACCTGTTAACGTCTACCGGTTCTACCCTCGGCTCAATCCCCTCCCGAAATAGAATATCATCCCTGATCCTGTCACCGGATGCTCCCTTCGTCCCGGTTCATTATTTTATCTTTTCGTTTTTTCTATTTTCCCCCTTGCCCTTCCTCTTCCCTGTCCGTACATAAATTGAGGCGTCCCCCTCCCTCTCTTCCTCTAACCTGACCCATACCGTTTTGATTTGACCTCTCACGGGTTTTCTCGAGAAAACCTCTCTGTTCCACGGAAGAGAATCTCAAGGGATAAGCTTCGATTCATTCAAATTCTCCTTCACAGTAAGTTTGCGATTTCTCGATCTCTCTGTTGTTTCCTCTTGTGTATGTATGTCGTCGTCGGTAGACGTTTGCTCTGCCTTTTCCCGCCTCGATGTGAGAAAAGCTCAGGCGTTACGAAATTCAATACAATGGGATAAGCTGGTATTGTTGAATAGGATTCCTCTCTCACTTTGCTTCTCCTGCTTTGATTCTTCCTGGTAGCAGATCGAATCGTACAGGAGAGCAAAGCAATCGCCTCCGCTAATCGCTCTGTTTGGATGCCAAGAAAAAAAAAGGTATTTTTCCCATTGGAATTTCTCCTACTTGACGCGGAGATTCTGAGAATCTGCAATTCCTTATGGAAGTGAAGGTAGCCACCACGTCTCTCCAATGGTCGGCGCGCCATGCGGTATTTCCACAATGTCCGTCTTCCTCACAAACCCTAGCCTCCTCCAAATGCCGCCGCCACTGCGGTGGAGGAGGCGGAGATCTGACCACCGGAGGATCTCTCGCATGCCATTATCGGCCTCGGCCGATGTTCAATAACTCGGCTTTTCCCGGAAATCAATCTTCAAAACTCCATAGGTCCAAGTCGTGCGACCTTTGGGAATTTTCCAAAACCCCAACAACGAAGAAACATAATCCTATACGGAGAGTCTGCAGTGCGACCTCCAATTTCTACTCCGACGAAGAGTTCTCCAAGCAAATCCAGGAATTAGCCTTGAAATTCAGGATTGCAGGGGATGAAGAGGACGAGAGGAAAAACAAACCAGAGATAACCCACGGATCGGCGGATGACAATGGTGAGAGTTACAGATATGGCACGGTGGAGCTGCTGCAGGAATCTGTTTCAGGTTTACATTCGATGGAGCCGCCATGGCCGGAGATGGTGAACCACTCAAGCTTTTTGAGGAAAGCAAACAGCGTTGGTTTGCCGCAATCCCTCAGAATAATTAGGAGGAAGCTACAAGAAGAAGGGCTAAGGGAAGCTAGTGAATCTGCTTATTGTTCTGTCAATAGGGCTTTTTCATCGATGGTGTTCATGATCGAGGAGATCAATAGCTTTACTCTGCAGACGAGGGAAGCTGTCGTCTGTGAAGACTTGCAAGGAGTTCTCAGGCGCGTTCGAAAGGACATGCATGCTTCATTCTTGTGGCTCTTTCAATGTGTTTTCTCCGATACGCCCACATTGATGGTGTATGTGATGCTCCTATTGGCAAACTTCACGGTGCATTCAATGGGATCGAACAGAGCTGATGAGAGAGTAGAAGCATCTCCACATATGCCGTCTTCAAGTAGAGATGAGGAATCATGCGTGGGAGAAAGAGAAATGGGAGTGTGGAAGTCAATGGTGGAAGAAGCTGAGAGGATGGGCGAGAGAATATATGTGTCGGCGATAGAAGCGAAGATAGAAATGGATGGATACGAAGAATACGAGAGAACGGAGGAGATGTATGAAAAGGGGTTGGCAGAGGAGCCGGACAACCCTCTCCTGCTAGCCAACTACGCTCAGTTCCTCTACCTTGTCAGCGGGGACTATGACAGGTAACTTGTGTTTTGTTTTTTGTTTTTTTTTGGGGGGGGAGACAAGCAAGTGTGAATGTTTTTTTGGCGAAAACAGGGCGGAAGAGTACTTCGAAAGGGCGACGGGAAGGGAGGGAGGAGGGGACGCAGAGGCGTACAACAAGTACGGGAACTTCATGTGGAGAGGGAGAAAGGACGAATGGGGGGCGGAAGAGAAGTTTCTGGAAGCAATATCGATGGAGCCGACCAACCCTTTCTACGCCGCTAACTACGCCCACTTCCTGTGGAACACGGGCGCTGACGACACTTGTTTCCCCATTTCTTGACGCCCACGTCATCTTTCCTCACCTCTCGATGTGGGTACTTTAGGGTTTGATTTCAATTGAGAGAGAGGTGGCCGGCCCTTCACCTCTCAACATTACTACTGCTACGGCACCGCCCCCTCTCATGTAATATGCGACTTACACAGTATAGTACTTTTTTTAAAAATAAATGCCAATTGCATCTTACTTTTTTTTTTATGGTGTTTGAATATTGTTTTAACTATGATCAACTGTAATAGAATGCCCCATCTAATTACTAAAGCTATAAATTCTTCGTACCCAAAGGCCCTAAGTAGCTACGGGGTTACATTCAATTTCGATTATTCCTATTTCAAAAGAATATAACTGTTGGGTTTTATATTAAATTCGATTTGCTTTGATTTCTATCCTCTCCCTCCCCGCAATGCCTCCATCAAGCGAAGAACCAGACGCAAGACCCGTTACAAGCCCTCTCCCAGGCTTAAACTCTCCTCCTCCTCCTCCTCCTCTCTCAAATCCAAGCCCTCCGAATCTGTTGTTTCCGCCGTCGCAACCTCGCCCGACCGTGTTTCATCTTCCCCTGATCTTGGATCGAGTTCTTGCCACGTTGTCATCGACATCAAGTACGTTTCTGTCGAGCTTGTAAAGGAGGCACCTTTAGAGGCGACGGCACGGAAGAAGCCGACTTCCAGCGGCTAGAGTTTCTTCGGGTGAATTCTCCCAAGATCTCGAGAAAGAAGTCGTCGCAGGTTTCTGCTTCGAACGAACAAAAGTGTCCGGAAAAGTTGAACAAGAGGATTGCAGAGATGGTCCTGACTTCGAGAGATCTCAGGAAATCGATGGCCGAGATGATCGTTGAGAATAACATCAGGGAACAAAAGGATCTCGAAGATCTTCTTGTCTCGAGCGAGTATCATCACGTCTCTCTCTCTCGCAAACCCAACTGGTTTTGCTTGTGACTTGTCCTCTGAACTTGCTGAACAGAGACGTGTGGGAAACACTTGTGTTTCTCTGAATGCAAATGTGGCTAGTGACCAAAACCTCAAGGTCGCGTCCCATTACGTACAAACCATTATTTACAACACAAACATCAACATGTTTACAAGACAAGAACCAGAACCCTACGCAGCTAACATTCTTTGCGACCTTTACGTTCAAGTTCAACCAAAGACAGTCAGTGCCTACCATAGCCAACGCCTACAGTTTTTCTTCATTCCAAAAGGAGAAAGCCCTAACCTGCTAACACTAAAACGATGTGGCTGCAACATAACATGCCCTGCAGGAACAGAACATATCAAACTATCAGACCCATCTGCGTATATTACTGATTCACGATTTCGGGCATTCACAATCTGATATGCTAGTTAACTCAGTGGCAGAATCCAAAGCCATAGGCACTAACTATAAACCAAACCAGGGTATAAAAGGATCATTACTCAGCGACAGAACGCGATATGGAAACACTTTTCGTAGCCATCAGGTGGTATATTATCATCACATTAACCAGAAATCTCCAGATAAACCTATATAGAGTCTACAAGAGTAGGGTTACGCTTATCCAATATAGTAGCCAAAGAAAAATATAAGTTGGTGGAGGAAAATGAATACCTTCTTCTTTGTCAAGCAACCAAGTTCCTCCATTTATCCTTCAAGTCAACCTAGCAAATTTGTATAGCCTAACGTCAATTTCACATCCTAGATAACAGTTTTAAAGTAAATAGTGCAAGTTTGAAGATTACTCACCGGAGTCCTATTCGCCAACAATTCGGGGTAAGCCTCCTTTATAGCTTTCCAGGATTTTCCATACCTGCACAACACAAATAGTAATATATAACATCTCGACAAGCCAGTTCAAGTGTACTAGAACAGAACCCACGATGTAGCGCATGAACAAGAAGTCACATACTCCTTCACGCCTTCCCTTAGGGTTTGTACTTCTTCAGGAGTCCAACCTTTCCTCAGCCTTCTGCCAGCACTGCTTTGGGGTTTATTAGGCAATCGACCTTTCCTTAACGGGGATACATTGAATGATCTAAGGTTTGGCAGGTGAGGCCTAACTCTCCCGGACAATGTTCCTTCACTACCAGAAGCTCGCTCATTTACATTCTCCTGCAGAAATCATGAGAAACGCAAAACATGATCCAAAGAAAGAGACAAACTTTTGACAAGCAGCTTGTCAGAAAGGGCTCAAACACTCACGGGTTCTTTGTTGTAATCCTGACCTCTGACACCGGCCTGAAGAGGTTGAGGGGTCACACTGGTAGAATGTGGTCCCGACGTCTGGTCATTCCCAGCCTGGGTAAGGCTATTGATCAGCGCCTCTAACTCCAACAAATCCTCTTTCAGCTCCTGAGCCACTGTGGGTTTCCCCTTATCATCACTCTGCTCATGTTCCTGTTGACCGACATTGAATACAGATTGCCCATTCGTGTTATCGACGGGGTCATCCTCCAAATGCCCCGGGCATTGGTGAGCATCATTAGGTCTCGGGGACGTTTCTCCGTTTCGAACATCAACCGGGTTCCCCTCCACATTTGTATCATTTCCCTTGTGTCGGACCCTCCTACTGGCTTCTAATTCTAGATATGGAGAGCCCACGAGCACCCAGTGCTCTTTGAGAAACTCACAGAGATAAGAGATAGCAGAGTACCTGGTATTAATCTGGCGAAGCCGCTGGAATAATTCGGAATCATCAATGGCATTCTTGAGGTTATAGCCCCAGTCGATGAGCTCTTGAGTCACCAAAACGCTATCTCTTTCTCTCAGAAGGCCGATTCTCAGGTCCCAGATCCTCTGCAGGGCATCCAAGTAGAGAAAAGGTTTCATGGCGTCCACAGCGAACATATACCTAACCGTACATTCGGCAGCTACCCAGCAGTAGGCAGACTTGAGGGACTCTAAAATTGCAGAATCTTCATGTAACTGAAGCTTCTCGAACAGCTCGAGGAGGTCAAGGATTCGCTCGTCCACCATTCCCTGAATCAAGCGATTACATATGTCACGAAGAACCGCCGATTTCTTGAGGGTGGTGCAGCCGTCGTCCTCTTCCAGCCTCAGCATTGACAACAGCCTCTTCCCGCAAGCCCTAGGATTTTGTTGCCGACGGAGTACAAATTCGCATACCCATTTGTCGATAACTTTGTCGCCTTCCGCATTCATCCCTTGGATCGAACTGGATCTCCCCAAACCCAAAGGTGGAATCTTTACTTCGGCGCCAAATAAATTCACGGTGGAAAACCCCTTACAGCTACAACTCGCCACTCGCCAGTCCACATCTAATCTACGATTAAGTGGCAAAATAAAGTAAGATGAATTCTTAAAACTAATGATGGGCCCAACTTTTGGTAGATGGGTCCGGGCCCTAAAACCTCCACATATATCAAAACACCATGGCCCAAAAATACACACTCTCGATAATTTAGAATTTAAAAGTTTTTTAAAAAAAATCTCAATTTATTATTGGTTAATATACTATTACTACGTTGAGGGCTTCGGGTTCTCCTAAATTTCTTCCCTCCCCCATCCATGATAATAGCCAACCAATTAATTAAATTTATTTTTTATGAAAATAATTAATGTTAATTTTAGCGAAATAAATAAATTACCATTAATGTTCCCTCCATTTACCACCTTTGCAGTTACGAAATTCTTAATTGTAATACCTCGATTACCCTTCCTTCAACACGTGCAATCGAGGACTCAATGGTCATTTTGATTTATTTTAATACGATGATGGGATTAGCCACTAATCCTTCCCGCGCTATTTTCTCTCTCTCTCCCCCCCTCTTTAAGTCCGACGTAGTTATTAACGGAGAGAGAAAGGAAGTGGAGGAGGAGTTACGAATTTCTCAGCCGTTGGATTTACTATCAGATCAACTAGATTCACGCCACTTGGCACGTTCCATGGCCCTGATTTGTGATTATCGTATTTTAGCCTCTTTTTTTAATCTCTTTTTGGTATGTAGGTATAATGTTTGCTGTTATATATCGTTTATAGAGCTTTGGAAGAGTTAATATTTTTTAAAAAAATTATCATTATGGAATTTAATGACTAAATTAATTAGTGTGAATTTATTTAGCAACTAATTGAATTCTAATCACCAGCTCAAAATTAAACCCTCTCTCTGTCCCTTTGGAGCACAGCTCTCATTCCATGGAAGGTCGCAAACCCCCGCCGGCGGAGAAGAGCCTCGTGTACGGAGCTGCGCCACCGTTGACGGCGGTGGAGAGATTCTTGTACGGACAAAAGGAGGATGCCTTGCATTCCAAGAAACAAGAACAGTGCGGAGATGATCAGAACAAAGAGAACGTTATGTCTGGTCAGAAGAGAGAGAAGACGGCGTTCTTCGCCGGAGAGAGAAAGCCCAGTTGCAATGGCGACGTTATCGCCAAGTCTTCGAGTAATAAAGATCATAAGAGTGGACGTCGCAATGTAACCAAGAAACACAATTCCAAGAATCTGATCAAAGGGCAGTGGACTGCCGAAGAAGACATGTACGTATATATGTTATCCGGCCATCGTGTATAATATATATACAATTTTTTGTGTGTGGGTTTATTATATATATACGAGTTTATCATCTTTGTGTATATAGGAAACTGATAAGGCTGGTGAGACAACATGGAGAGAGGAAATGGGCGGTGATAGCTGAGAAGATGGAGGGAAGAGCTGGGAAACAATGCCGCGAAAGATGGCATAATCATTTGCGTCCCGATATCAAGGTTTATTTCGAATCGCCATGTGCTGCATTGCATCATACAGTGCATTCATCTGTATATATACATATATGTATACATATGAGATTGAAAAAGAGTGATGATGGGTGTGAAACGCAGAAAGAAGGGTGGAGCGAAGAAGAAGAGAGGGTGTTAGTGGAGGCACACACAAGAATAGGGAACAAGTGGGCGGAGATAGCGAAGCTAATACCAGGCCGAACCGAAAACTCGATCAAGAACCATTGGAACACGACAATGCGCCGACAAAACTCCAAACGCAGACATAAACCTCGTGGCTCCGACCTCAACCAACCCCCCGCCAAAAGACCCCATGTTCTCCAAAACTACATCAGAGGCATTACCAACAACAACAGCAGCTCCATTGCCGAGAAATCTCTGGATCTTGATCAGAAATACCCTCAAGACGATTCTGCTTCGTCTCTGATGGGTGATTCTTATGATGAGGAGCTGTTCTTCATGCAAAACCTCTTTTCCAACCATCCTATTTCTCTCGGCAACATTTGTCCGGAAGAGACTTCCAATCACATGGTTCAACAACAAGTCACTCATTCTGGATTCATGGTCTCTTCTGATTCGATCAAGAACCCTAACCCTCATCTACACAATAATAACATTGGAACTGTTCATCAAGCACTTCATCATGGGGCAATGACAACGACTCCAGCGAATACCCACCTTTCGTCTGATCTCTACTTGTCCTATTTGTTGAACGGCACGGCCCCGTTTTCCTCTCCCCCCAGTTCGTCGTCTTCCAACTTGGATTTCGGTTATGGCGAGTTTCTTGTGCCCCAAGCTAACTCAACTGGTGCAAGGAGGGAGGTGGATCTGATGGAGATGCTCTCTAGTTCTTGTCAAGGCAGCAATTTCTGCTACCCATTGTTCTAGCTATCCAGCAATTACCATATGAAGATGATGACAACTCTATCAAAAGAACTAACCATATAGGGTTGTCTTTCTTTGTTAGAACTAGACTAGTTTTCATCTCTAGTTGACTCTTGAATTCCGGTTTGTTTCTTTCCATGTGGTGAATGAATGGAATAATTTAGTTTTATGGGAACTTATGTTTTACTATCATTCTTTCTAGCGATTGAATTTGAATGGTCTCAACTACAAATGAATCAATCTACTACTAATTAATATATGATTTGGGATCATCATCATCATATATAATAATAATAATATATAGTAATACTTTTTGTTTTATTGAATTTGAATGTGAATCCATACACGAACAACCAAACACTGGTAGAGAAACATAATAAATGAAGGAGAGCAAGCAGGACAGCCAACAACATACGAAATAGCGCATATATATTGATCAATTGTTACAACAATCATAGAAAAGTTCAGCACACTTATGAAATACGTCTGAATCATTAGAGTTATATATGTGGCCATCACACGGGGTATAACTAATTATAGCTTTTCCCCTCCATATATATATTCAAACTTGGTTTGAAATGGGTGGAAAAGGGAGAGGACGGAAGCCATGGCCAAGACAGGCATCCCATATGAAGTCCAAGTCATGGAGGAGAGTGGAGCCATGCTCATGCGTCTCCCATCCTTCCAATGCATGCAGTATTCCGGCTGCTCTTGTTGCGCTTATTGCCTTCCTCGGTAACCAGTTCTGCATATAGTTACGTTTCTTTAATTTCTCACTCTTAATTTGATACAGACACATATATATGATCTAGCTATCCTTGCGTGGTCTTTAAGGCATCTGACCTCGCAGGAGTGGAAGTTCTCCAGAGATTTGGGGACTGTCAAGGCGGGTGTTGTATGGTAAATGCAATCTTTGCGCAACTCCTTGGGAGGGAATGGTGAAAAAGGGATGAATACTGTACCCTCCGTCGCCCTTTCCTGGTCCCTCTCATCCATCCCTTCTCCTACCAACCATATCTGCAACCCCCACGCACATTATAATCCCTTGAATCTAGTTTTTATTACATATATGCTCTCTCTCTTTTTATTTCTTGATATATATGAGTATTACGCATCGATTTACCTTGTGAGAAGGTAGGGTTTTAGAGGTTGAATAGAGCAGACGGCCTTTGCACTCCGCTGGGACACACAACGTAAGTCTCTCGTACTCGTTTCTACGCAGCGCTGTGACCTGATCACACACCAAAAGCAATCGAAGGCATGTTTATGGATTGATTAGGGGTTTGTGAACTTGAGAAGGGGAAAAAGGCAAAGACCTGAATGCCCCTTCGGCAGAGAGCAGAGGCGATGGCATAAGCCACCTTTGTGAGAGAGCCTCTCATGACAACATCGGTCGTCCCTTTTGGAATGCTATTGATCACGACAGCAGCCGCCAAGCTGCTCCCATCCACCACTCTCACTCTCAACTCCGGGTGCTTCTCTATGTACTCCTTTCCATTCTTGTTTAGCTCCTCCCCCTGCCACATTCTCTTTCACTTTTCATCCTAATCCACAGATGGATATTCCGTATCACGTAAAAGAAGAGACTTGTGTCAAGTTACTTGGTTCATGAGCCCAAGACTCAACACCTTCACTCCTTTCCTATCTGCCTCGAGTATCGCTTCCTCGATCATCTTGCCGATCGTTTCTTTCCTCCATTCTAACAAATACTGTGTCCCAAAGCCAATATTAATGTTAATTAGGTCAAAGCAATTAATGCAAGAGAAACCATAAAGAGATCAATTAATGTACCTGGAGGTTGTATCTGGGTATGACCCAGGACTGCAAGTTGAGCTTCTTGAAGGAGTTCCTCTCGGAGACGAAAGGGCGGCCATAGAAGAGAGTGAAGAGCATCGAGAGAGAGGTGAGAGGCCACAAGAGGCGCATGAACCATCTGTAAGAGAAAGGGTAAGAGGAGAAGGAAGCGAAGCAGATGGGCAAATGGTAAATGGACTCTGGGGTGGTGAGATGGGTCAGATGAACCACGTCCGGCCTTTCTTCTCCCCTCTCCAGAGATTTCTCGTACGTCGCGTCCGACGATTGATCGGTCGTCCCGTAGATGTAGTCGTAAAAGGGCATGAAAAGCGAGTAGTTTGTCCGGAACTGCGTGTGGTGCAGCGAGTGGAATCTGTACACAGTCATACACGTTTCACGTTAGATATTCAAGTTTGATTTCTTTCCGTTCTGAATAAATTTTATCGGACTACTATTCCCATGGGAACAATGAACAATTCCTTTGACCTAAGTTGAAGGATCGAAAACCCAAAAAACTATATCAATGTATCAAAGCTAGGGCCACCAGTGCACTCGACAATCAATCATACAAGTAAATTTTAGGAGATTTCAATTTTTTTAAAAAAAAGTGCAAGCAGTAATAACGAAAAGAAGATCAAATTCCGAAATGAACGGAAGGACCACAGGTGGTGGTGGTGGTCCATGTATGGATTCTGTCGTTAGAGAAAACAATAATAACTTTTAGCACATGGCATGCATATCCTTTAGAAATGAATGCAACATTAAACATGAGCAGACATGATAAACTTAGGGGGGGAGATTCGTACGAGGGAGTGTAGCAGAGGAGCTTGAGGGGAGGGAAGAGAAGGAAGAGGCGTTTGGGGAAGAGCTCGAAGTTGCAGTGGCCCATGTTGTTCATGAAGTCTATGTAGAATATGTACCCTGCGATCGATCCGATCGACGCCGTCCTCTTCACCACCGTCGTTATCATCGGGATCGCGAACAACACAAAGTAGGCTATGTGCTCCGCAAACGGATGTATCACCGCTGCATCCACGTTGTTATTAATTATTCACCGGTTCACGATCCATTATCATTAATTTGCGTACGTGTCATGTGTATACTAGTCTAGAATTGGAATTTACGACACATCCTCGTGTTCCAGCTGGACCCACGTAACAACTCCTATAGTTACTCTCATTCCACGCCTTATTCGTATACCTTTCCATATATATTCAGCTAACGTGCATATAAATAGAAAATATTCACTTGTTTGGGCATATATATCTATATACATATGCCTCGTCACAATCTCCCCTCAGGCTCAGCGCTACCGTCCCATTAATTGAATTAAAAGAGTCATTATTCATATCCGTGTTCAGTAAGTACAAAAGGGCGGTTGGAATTCAACTTAATTCGTAGGTGAATGGTGGGCACGTTACACACCCAAGTGTGCACATTAAATATTAGACGTTATATAGGATTCTTACGTACGTACGTATGTGAGGGGGGATAGAGACAGGAAAACCAACTTACAGGTGATGGGTTCGGTAACAATGGAGGAGTGGTGGTGAGAATGGTAACGAGAGTAGAGGAAATGGTGGTGGAGAGCTCTGTGGAGCCAATAATACAAAAGCTCGACCGGTCCTGCGTGAAGCAGAGCCGTCATCACCGCTCCGTCCGTCCTCCACAGCGGCATTTGCTTCGCCCCCTCCATTAATATGTACCCGACGTAGAACAACACTCCATTGAACAATATTTGGTCGTCCCTATATATATATATGTCGGTTTTTAGTTAACCATACGACCAAAACCCATTTATATCCCAAGATCTACCTACAGAAGCGATTCGGATTCTTGTAGAAGAAAAGGAAGGTGTATACCAGTTGGTCTCTCTATCGACCTGGTTGAAGTCGATGCCCTTGTCGAGGATACGCCTCTTGCCTCTGGCGGTGACGTAACGAGAGAGAGAGATCCAAACGAGGTTATGGAGCATTCGTAGGAGCAAGTATGGGAATATGAGGAAGTAACCCCAATCCCTTTCCTCCTCCCCCCCTTTCATCAGCTTGTATGTGCTGTGCACCGCCCATGGCGCCAGTATCACAAACTGTTATATGCACGTATACTCATGTAAAATATATGTTATACATATATATATATATATGCACGTAGAGGGAAAGAAGAAGACCTTGTATCTGCCGAGGGGGGTCCATGGCCAATCTGTGAGGATTCCTGGTTTCGTAGCCATTGAAACAAGCTCTCTCTCCCCCCTCTCCTCTGTCTGTGTTGCACTGCCCTCTGTATGCGTTCCGCTTTCGCAGCTTCGCTTTGTATATGTAGAGCGAGAGAGGGGGTCATACTATTCTGCGCATCGAATGACTAAACTACCCCTACTTAACAACTAACTCCCCAGCCCACGTGTCTTCCTTCCATTGGATACTGTCATAAATGTCCCTGACTTTGTAAATTTTGTTTGAATATATCGTTGGATCCGGCGATACTCTTGAGAAGGTGTCGCAATGGAACATATGTAGTAAAAGTTTTTTTTTGGGTTAACCGGTTATCTGGACTGAGATCCAAACTAATCTCGGGATCGGAAAGAAACCATGTGAATACCTCCTCTCCTGAGGTTCAAATTCGGAACGGACAGTTAATATCCATAAAAGTTACACCGAATGAGTTTACACGAACGTCGGAATCATCGTCCACGTGTCATAAAAAAACCTCGACTCAAAACTCGGTCCAACGATGATGTGTCCAATGACACATCCAAAGTAGTACACAAGCTTTTTGAACGTGGATCGGACTGTTGACGCGTCGTCATATGGACCAAGGCACCAGCGCATGCCAATTAATGAAATCTGGTACGCCATGGATGGATGCACTTAACCGCTAATTTTGTCCTAATCTCCCCATTTCGAAGCTCTAAAGTCTGGGCACCGCCTTCATCGGCCGTTTCTTTTCATCAATATATAAATTCCACACGAAATTTAAATATAAAACAGTATATGAATTTCTTCTGTGTATACCCAAAGACAAGAGAGACACGTACCGTAGAAGACTGTGACATGATCCAAGCATACCCTCCAAATTAAGTTTGAAATCAATTGCAACTTTTTCACTCCAGAGAGTTGGACAGACTCGAAGAAACAAATTGACAAATGACAACCATACGTATACAATGTTGTGTATGTATGTGAAGGAACGTGGGAGGACAAAGGGTAAAAGAGGACAAAAACAAGCAAAATGAAATGACCTTTATACCCTTAGTCGGCCGCACGATCTTGACGGATATACCCTTCGTCGGCGTCTCAATTCACGGAAACACCATCGACCGTGCATGGGGCTACGCGAGCGGAAGCTCATGGGGACGACTCGTAAACGTTTCTTCATGAAGATAGACATATCTTCTTCTCGACACGTACTAAGCCAATCTGCATGGAGATAGACGTGGACACGTGGCATCTTCTGGACCCGGTGGCCGGTCATGGGCATGGACTACGTGCGGGAGACGACGGGCTTCACCCGGACTCCGTTCTCGGGCAGGCAGCTCTCCGGCCGAATTTGGACGATCTCATACGTGTACGTCACGTCCGGTATAACATCGTTCTCCACCACGTATTCATTTGAAAAGCTGTTTTGCTTTCGCTAGTAAAAAAACATTTAATTGTTCTTGTTGAAAAAGAAAATATGTACTTTTACATGAGAGAGCGTCAAGGTTATACGGATGATGGGTGGTGGTCCATAAATGCTTACTTTTTTGGTATCTCGTTCTATCAGCGTCTGACGTTACATCTGCTGACAAAAATGAAGCCTACACAAGAAGGTAAATTAAATATTTTTCCCAAAAAACGATACAGATATCCATTCAATCAAATTAATTATTTCATTGCAAACCGTTTATATTGTTGAGCATTTGCCTGTTTAGGACATTCTAGAGATTGTTCTCATATCTCTTAAAGTGTGTATATTCTACGCTAATAAGGACATTATTATTATTATTATTTCGTTTTTTTTTCATCTGATATGGTCGAAATCTTTAATAAGCCGGCCGTAGGAGCCGTCGTTTCACGGCCCACCACCACGGATTTGGGTGTGATCAATAATCACGTCATATTAGCCCATGGGCCTTTTCCTGGGTCATAGAAGGACGGACGCAAATGCAAAGGCAACTACCACGCTCACTATTCGCGAGTAAGCTGCACGCGCCATGTTTCGAAAGGGGTTAGTTAGTCCACCGATTTTGGTCGAATTTCTCTGACTTTGGAAATTGAGAGCCTCGTAGGCGCGTGAAAGCTTCCTTCCCGCGTTTTTTCTTCCCTTGAATGTTTTCTTCTTCTTTTTGTTATCCGTAATTTTTGTCTTACAATAGTTAGCGGGCTTTTCTTTCGCACAAAGCCTATGCACCTTATGGGCCATGTAGCCCAGTTATTAATTTTTAACTGTATATAAAATCCATTAAAAGAATTAATATAATTGCATATTATATAATTTAAGGCATTTGTTGTCACAAAATCAAATTAAAAAACATTATAGATCGACACCCATATAAAAAGCCATTTTTTTTTAATAAAACAGATATGATATATTTATATATATTGACTGAACTTGTTATAAAAGAGATAAATACGACATATTAATGCAGAGGAAAAAAAAGACGATCCAACGGCTGAGATTCACCTACGAAACACCCATCCATTTAATAATTATATTAGCATTTCGTTTTTAAGTGTTGTTAGAACCTCACATTTGACCCTTCATCAATACCACGAAAGCTCGTCCACAACATAAATTTCTTTAAATGTTACAAATAAATATATGAATTTTGTAATTTCTAAAAAATACACGAGCTTTTTAAATATTACAATATTCCCTCCCCGTATCTGTTACCGATGTTAGTAAATTGTGAGTCAACGTCATGCATACGGTAGGGGTGTCAGTTTGGGTCCGAAATCCGAAATCGGTTTGATTTAATCCGAAAATTAGCGGGTTTCGGTCCTAAATTTTTCGGTCCGAAAAAAATCGGGCTTTCAAACAGTATTTGAATCGGACTTCGGACTTGAATCGGACATGTTCGAAAGCCCGATATTTTTTTAAAAAAAAAGAAAAAAATAAGATTTGCAAGGGGATTTATGCAGGTCGTCATGGTTCGGCCCGACCCGATCCAAATTCGAAATATATAAGATCGGGTTTCACGCTTAACTATATAGAACCAAAAAAAATTGGGTCGGTCCGAACCCGAACCAAAACCTTCCGGTCGAGTATTGGCTCGGACTGGATCGGATCGAGCTAGTCCGATTGACACTCCTAGCTAAATGTGATATATCAGTGTATATCTCGTCTCATCGCCAAATCACTGCCAACAATATGTGCAAAGGTGTCCCTTCTACTGCCCACAGCAACAATTTTTTTTTAAAAAAATTTATTCACATATTATTATACGTATTATTATATTCTCTCCATTTCATAATAATTAACATTTTTATATAATTATTTTTGTTTTTAAATAGATATCATTTTATCTTTTCTAGATAATTTTTTAAAATAATTTCCAATTTTACCTTTAATTAAAATTACTACAATTTCAATAAACTTTTAATAACAATTTAATTTTTATCATTAAATTTATATTAAATAAAGGTTTATAAGATTTTGTTAATATTTTTTAAAAAAATGTGAAAAACTCTAAAACGGAAATTATTTAGACATATATATAAGAAAAAATCTAAAATACCTTCATTTTGTTAAAACTATTTCTATACATAATATTTTCTGCATATGCAATTATTTGAATAAAATGAAAATATGTTAACATAGTGGTTATATTAATCATAACGTTAAATTTATAATGGTTTTAACAAGTGATTAGTGTGATATATAAGATATGATCAAGGTAACTTAGTGTTATCATCATAAATTTAACGTTATAATGAATGTGATTGGCAAGGCCGTCTCAAACTTTTTCGGAGCCGTGTTCAGTTTATACAATTTAATTAAAAAATATTATTAAAATTATTTAATAATAATAAAATTATAAATTTATATAATAAAACAATGAATATTTTTTAAATTTATTAATTTCTATAAAAATACTTGATTATAATAAATAAATTTTGTAATATTTTTATATATATTAATGATAATAATAATAATTTTTTAAAGAAATCCATAAATCTAAAGGTTTTATTTATAAATATAACTAATTTTTTATTTTTAAAATAAAATTTTCATTTATTATTGATATATTACAAATTTTGAAATGTAATTTATTTTTGAAATTTGATATTTATTTATTTATGTATAATAATTATATTTAAAATATTTAATTTTATTATTATTAACGATTAATGATAATAATAATTATTTTCAAAAGTGAGGTCTCAAAATTGAAGGGTAGTCTATTAAATTGTTAATAGATGACCTTGATGACCGGTATATAACTATAGTTCTATTTTTTTCGTATGGTTATATATAGAGAAAGTTATGTGAAAAAGTAGAAGGATGATATTTTGAATAATATCCATACATATAAAACAATTTTTTAAAATTTCTGAGTTTTAAAATTTATATATAAATATTTTTAAAGTTCGTTTATTTTTTAAAAAAAAATTAAAATTCATATACCTGTTTGAAATATTTCAAAAAATTCATATTTTTAGGCATTCTCTCCTAGAAAATATTATCAAATGTTTGGTAACTACATCAAATTCTACAGGATTATTAATACTATTTACATAAATAAATAAACCTCTGAGGACTGGTTTTGTATTTTTGCAAATAAATATTGTTTTTCACCTCAACTATAGAAATTCTAATCGAATTGCACCTTAACCCGATTACTTCTTCACATCGATGTAATATAATTTAGACAAATACTTAAGGTATGTACTCTTTAACCAAAATCAGACATTGTTGAAAGAAACTATTAAAAAAAAAACTAATGGCTGAAATTACAAGGCCTATATATCCTTTTAAGACTATTGTACAAGACTTGCCCCAAGACAAGAACCCGATCTAATGATTGCACGAAACACCCAAGACATACAAGTTGAATCAACTAATCAAAGCAGGTCAAAGGATCATACTGCTCCTGCCCATACAAGAGTGTGAACACATGAAAGTGAAGTAGAACCATTATTCGCAAACCATATATTAATATGTATGTGAAATGGGGCTTTATATATACATCTGAATCAAAGGCCAATTACTCAAAAGTCTGTGCCTACCAAGAGAGTCAAATCATACAAAATACATATACCAAGACAGCTACTAAAAGAGCTTCTATATGCTTACCGGAGAGCAAAGGCACGAGAGGTTTTCCTTTTCGGGTTTAATTTACATTTTCTTTTCCTGGTATAACTGTCGGCGCTGCTATGGTGGCAGCAAGAAGCAAAAAAAATAAAAATGACATGCCCTTGAGATTCAGAGGGAAGGGCCGGCTGACCTTTTGGTTAGAACCTGGTCTTGTGCCTGTGTAATCGGGTGAGAGACGAGTGATGATAACAGGAGCTAGCTAGCTTGTGCAGGGACCAGAGACTCTTGCTTGCCTTTGACAAAGAGTGCAAGTTCCTTTGGGGCCACTACCATATTCAACCATTCCTGCAGTTCTTCTCCTTCTACTTTCTCTCTCTCTGAAACCAAAAACACGTTTAAAAAATCATTCACTCAGTTTCTCAGATTCACCTAGTGGTTTTAACCAAAGGCAAGCCGCTGAAATTTGTCCTGTTGCATGAAGAGTTGGACTATGTGAAAATTAAAACCAGGGTAGGAAATAGATAAGAGTCCAATCTATTCCCATACAAGGTCTACCGATTCACTCCTAACACTGGCTTGTAGATAGAAGAAGCCACAAGGGTTAGAAGTCATCAACATATGTTCTTCCAACAACTTCATCCAGAGCAGCCCAGCTAAGGCGGCTCAGATTGCCCCATGCCATGAATGATATTAGCGTGGGATTTGCTGGCCAACTAATCTATATTACACCGAGCAGTTCAAAAACTTAACAATCAATTCCCTTCCTAATCATGTGGGATTTTTACAAGTCCTTTGTTAGGCCTTGAGGCTATTAGGAGAACGTTCTTTAAGCTTTTTTTATACCACATACCGGTTCTCAGATTTCCTTCTATGAATTTAGTATAGTATCCTGGAATGCATTACCTTCTAGTTGAGCACCGAGCCCTTCCAATACATCTGGGTTAGCTCGTACAACACACAGTGCAACTTCCAAAGCAGATTGCAGCAAACTTGTCACCTCCCTTTGAACGAGATCAACCAGATGCCCCTGTGAATTCACATAAAAGCTAAGTTATTCTTCTACTTTGGCAAACCTAGAAACAATTAGCAAATGCATGCCCAGAATGAAGTTACCTGATCTCTTCCCCATACTGAGCCCCCGGAATCATCCATCCCACCACCAGAAAGCGTAGCCAGAGATACAGGACCAATTTTCTGGTTCAGACCATATTCAGCTACCGCCTTGTATGCCATGTCAGTTGCCCGTCGTATATCATCAAGTGCACCTGTTGAAACACGCCCAGAGTAAACAACTTCTTCTGCTGCACGACCACCGAGAAGGGTAACCAAACGACCACGCAGTTCATCGATGAAGAGCAAATATCTGTCTTCATTCGTTGGAGGAATGTATGTAAAGCCCAATGCCCCTCCTGACCTCGGCAATATGCTTAATTTCTAAAAACCCAAAGGAAATAAGCAAAAACCAGGTCATTCATCAAGTAAAGAATAACTCATAAGCAAGAAAACGGGTCTTTAGGCACCAAAAAAACATGGATTATCTAATACAATAGGTCGATCGAGACACGAAAATCCAAAACACAGAGATGTGTATTCAGCATAAGCAAAAAACAAAGCCAAAACCAAGTTTACACAGAAAAGTATCATTGTTTACCTCAACGCGTGGCTGTCCATGAAGAAGATTTGCAACGGCTGTACCAACTACGGCATGCCCAGCTTCATGTCTTGCAACTACAGCCTTCTCACTGCCCTTTAACTTTGCAGTTTTCTTCTCTATGCCCTAGAATGCATACACTGTATACTTAGCTCCATGAAGGAAAAAAAGTGCTGTTTAGTATACTAAATTGAACAGAAAAGTAGAGAGACAAACAGCTATAGACCGCTCCACAGCCTGAATGAAGTCTATTTTCTCAACAATCGTCTTGCTCTTCCTTCCAGCCAGTAAAGCGGCTTCATTTACCAGGTTTGCAAGGTCTGCCCTGCAAAACCAGAAAATAAAAGTTCACGAGATCAACAACAAGAAAACCAGATGACCGAAGAAACTTCTGGTCAAGGAAAAGTAAAAAGCATACCCAGTGAAACCAGTAGTCATTGACGCAATATCACCAAGATTGACATCATCTCCTAGAGGAAGCTCTTTCTTTGAAACATGTACTTTCAAAATGGATTCCCTTCCTGTTCTGTCTGGTGTTTCTACCTGAAATTTGTTTCATGTAAGATTCATTGATTTAAACTGCCTGATAACAAGAAGCTGAGCTCGATAATTCTACCAACCATAACAACACGGTCGAATCTCCCAGGGCGACGCAAGGCAGGGTCTAAGACATCGGCTCGATTTGTAGCTCCAAGAACAATAACAGCAGAGCTACTGTCAAAACCATCCATCTCCTACAATTCGTTATCGGCATGTAAATGAACCATATTAAGCATGTTGCTTAAGATGGACAAGAGTGAGATTACGAACTTACAGTGAGCAACTGATTCAAAGTCTGCTCTCTTTCATCATTGCTGACAATTCTGAATTTACCATCACGGCTTTTTGCCACAGCATCAATCTGAGGAAATGAAAAATAACAAAACTGCTAAAAGATGTTCAAAGTTAAAAAGTACAGGAGGCAATCAACATTGAACACATATTCTAACCTCGTCAATAAATATAATTGATGGAGCCTCCTTCTTGGCCCGTGCAAAAAGATCTCTTACACGTGAGGCGCCCATGCCAACATATAACTCTACAAACTCACTCGCAGAGCAGCTTATGAAAGGAACCTCAGCCTCCCCAGCAACAGCCTTTGCAAGAAGGGTTTTTCCTGTTCCAGGAAGACCAACCTACAAAAGAAGAAGAAGAAAAAAACACAAACATCCATATCTCTCAAAATCTATGCAAAAGCTAAACACTAGAATAGATAGAAGAGCTCCGGTCGCCAAAGGTGAACAGTAAACTATACACCAGAAAGGATGAAATTGCACATGCTGAGTCATCAACTTAAATGTTTAACTTACCAATAGGACACCACGAGGTGGACGAGCACCTAGACGGATATACTTATCAGGATTCCTGAGAAATTCCTGCAGTAGTGGAGAGAAAAATATATCTGACTGAGAATAAAAGCTGCAATGGAAAGACTTTGATGATCTATCAGCATTCAGCAATGCCATCTATAAACAAAGGATCGGATACATACCACGATTTCTTCCAGCTCTTCCTTCGCTTCATCAACACCTGCAACATCTGCAAATGTGATTGTTTCACCATGCCCAGAAACTTTGCCCCCACCTGGACCACCAGATTTCCGGGTCCTAAGCTGGCCGGTGGTACTCTGCATAGACTCTCAGATTTTTTAAAGGAAATTCTAGGGTGGCCGAATTCAAACAGGCTCAATACAACATAGGGAAGATACAATCATACAAACCTGTGAAAAGCTGACAGGGAATCGATGGAGAAGCCCTGCAAGTACCGCAATGTAGAAAAGAGCTATCTGCAAAAATTTTCTGTTCAGTTAAGTGCTTCACAAACGGTGGAAAATGATGCAACTTGAAAGGTCAGTCCCCTGAAAAGAGCTATAAGTTACAGAGAAATTTTTTTTATATTAAAGCACCAACCTTTACAATGCATCTCCACAAACAAGTTGCATATATAATTCTGATTAACTACAATGAGGTGCCTATGCTCTTACCAATCCAGAGTTGAAAAAGCCACCAGAGCGCTTATCTGGCGACCCAAATTCAACATCATTCTCGAGCATCTTCTCGTATGGTGTTTTGATGTCGCTCGGCCTTGTGGTGGAATACACAATTCTCTTTGTTGGAGCCACACTTCTTAACAGAGATTCTGATGACTCTGGAAGCCTACTAGTTTCACTTTCTTGCAAATTTCCTTCATCTTTCAACTTGAACAAAATATGAACTCCATCGACCTCCACTTTCTGCACTTGGTTACTGTTAATTTTGCTTAGAAAGTCACTGTACGGCACGTTTACGAAGGTAGTTTGGGTTCGGGGCTCCGATCCGGGTAACGGGATTCCAGGTCGAAGCAACCGCATCACAAACATGACGATACCCAACTGTAATAGCAAAACCCCAATCTCCTGCGCCTGAATTATCGGTTGCCATTGCCATTTCTTCCCCTTTGACCACCATAGCCCAGCCTTCCCTTGCTTCCCTCTCTTCTGTTTCGAAGACGAACCCGAATTAGCCGGAGAATTCTGATTTCCTTCGCCTTCACTCCTCCTCTCACTCGGAGTAGCATTCTGATCGCTCTCTTGACAATTCACAATGGTTCTTCTCTCCTCCACCCGTCTCTTCTTCCTCGAAAATCCCTCCCAGAGATTAAAACTGGCGTGGCGTCTCGATACTGTTATCGATTTCTTCTGCAGAGGAAGGGGGATTGAATTGGAAACAAATCGGTTCGGATTCTGGCGAAAAACCCTGGACCGATCGTAGAAAAAGCTCGAAGCATGCGAGTACAAGAGACTGTAACTAGAGCAGGAGGAGAATCTGAACCTATCGTGGATTCCTGGCCGTAGAAATTCGAGGGTAGTCATCCTTCGAAACCCTAGAAATTGGGAAAAATCAAAGGGAACATATCTCGCATTTCTTCTTTCCTTTTTGATATATAGATATCTGTGGCTTTGGACAAGAAGACGCGGAGCGTGCAGGTCACTGGGACTTCGAATGTGGACCGTTAGATTGAACTACGATATGATTTTGCAGCCGTCCATATTTCAGACGGTTATTATCTTGTAGCCAAGAATATCAGCAGGTGGAGAAATCCAGTGTCTCTCGGAGTATAGTTAGCCGTAGTTAGATATCCACGCGGTCACAAATGATTCGTGGATTAAATTGCATTATTTCGCGACCACAGACTTGTTAGGATATGAATTATGGGCCCCACAAATGATATTTTAGGTTCTATTGGGCCCGATTTTAGGCCCAAATTATAGATTACCCAAATTCCGGTTTCGTTTAATGAGAGAAACCATAAGATTATTTAATTTAGATAAATCCAAAAAGTAATAACGACATAAGTCTATCATATTTTATCAATACAAACAAATTCATAGTAATATAGTAAATTTAATTACTATATTCAATTAAACTTAAATGTAGAATAACTTAAACCATCTATTTTTCTCTAATTGAATCGAGTTTACAAACTAACAAATATTTAATTAATTAATTGAATTCGCATTTCACAAAAAAAAACAAATATTTAATTAGATTAAAAATAGATTGATATATTAACACCGTTTTTTTCCCGGCGACTGAATAGCTGTTTTTGGATGGGAAAAAATATTTGGGGCTATTTTGACAATGTGTGAGAATTCTAGGGATATTTTAGTAAAATATATTTTTCTTAGGTATCCAACCACAACTAAGCCGTTTTCTGTTTCTGTCATTACCACACAAAAATGGAGGGAAGAGAAAATTAGGAAAGCAGCATGAAGTCCTAAAACAGAGGATTTCCAAACAACACAAACTGTCTAAATATAGAAACCAAAAGATTTTATCCGATCATATCTTTCGTGCTCCAGAATTTCATGCGGGGAAGATTGGAAACCCCCAGATTTTGATCTTTATGTCATTCACATCGAATCCCAAGCCCACGTTCTACATCTCCAGATGTTCTTTTGGTAGGGTTGCGTTAGATGAAAAATGGGAATTGATGTGAAAGATCTCGGGACAGTACTATGGAAAATCCTTGGATGTTCGCTGGATTTGACGTTAGAATTTGCGAGAACCCATCCAGTTTTTTCGAGTGTTTCTGTGTTTTTACTCGCATTATATATTTTCCTCCCTTCTGTTTTCTATTTCTTGATCTACTCTTCCCCAGTTCTTGCATGTATCGTTGTTTATGCCCTAGAAAAGTTGGAATCGAGGCGACTTGGTCAACGGAACGACGAAGAGAAGTTGCCTTCGTCATTGGAAGTCGAGAAATCTGTGGACGAAAAGGTTGTCGCTAGGTCTCACTTGATACACCAGAGGAGTGTTCGACGAAATGCCCGAATGAAAGTCGACAAATGGGATTCACATACGAGTGATGATGATGATGATAAGGACAAAGTCATATTGACTTCTCTCTACAACGATCTCCTTGGCCGTACTCCTCATTTCGAAGATTCTCCGAAAGGAGTTGAGAACGATGTGGAAGACAAGGAGGAGGATTCTCACAAGGGCGATTCTTCCCAGATTGTCAAAAGCTCGAGGCCTTCTTACGATAATTTGGGTGTTCTTGGTGTTGGAAAACAAATTCTTTCAAGTTGTGAGACCAAGGAGGAAGAAGAAGGAAAAGAAGATAAGGAAGTGTACGGGAAAGAAGAGAGGAGCGAACAGAAGAATGGTGGTGAACTCAGGATTTCAGAAATTGAGAGTCAAAGATTAGAGAGCCTAATCGCGAGAAGAAAGGCAAGAAGGTTATTCAAGCTAGCATTAGATCAGAAAAATATGACGCGTGGTGATGAAACAGTTAGCTCAACACACAACATTCTTCAGATTTCAGTTCCGAAGAACAACAGAAGCTTCCTCGGAAAACACCGAGACAGGGCATCAAAAGATGTTATTGGATTGCAGATGCCGGGTTCAGCTCCCTCTGTCTTGCTACCAGTGAGGAACCCATTTGATATTCCTTATGATCCTCACGAGGAAAGGCCTATACTCAAAGGTGACAGCTTTGATCTAGAATTTTCAGCGTTCAACCAGAAAGATCTTTTCTTCAGCCGCCATGAGAGCTTCTGTCGCCCTGCCCATTTATCCTCGGAAACCGTTCAGTACATAGACAGTCCAGATTCTGTTCCAGACAGTACACATTTAGGTAAACAACTACCTCAATTCTGTTCTGCATTCGATCTATATGGCATTGAGTTGTGATTGGTGTTTGGCACAACGTTTTTTCAAAAGTGTATATATGAATATCTCAGTGAATGATGTTCTCATTTTCTGCAGACTCGGGCAATGATTATGAGGATCGAGTTAAACAAAAACATCTACAGGAAGGCAAAAAAGCTACAAATGTAACTAAAATGACAGTGGACAAGGAAGGAAGTGTTGAGAGTGGCAAAAGCAGCATTAGAGTAACAAAGATGAATGAAGAAACGGATTCAGACAAAGAAAGCAACGGCGATTTAAGTTCTTCAGCAGACAGCGAGCCAGAATTCAGTGTTTTGAACAGAGCTGAGCTCCGAGAAGCTATACGCCATTCGATGGAGAATTTCCCTGGTTTTCCTATGAATCATCAAGCAAGAAATAATATTCCGAGCCCAATGCCTAGAGGGATGCCACCAAGATTCGATGATCATCATATGTTTTATGCAGGCAGATGCTCAAATTCGCACACTAGGACATACTCCATTGCCTCTGACCTACAGGTTGAGGTTTCAGAGCTCGGTTCGCCACCTACAACAGTTGACTGGCATGATGACTCGTCGAATGGTGGGGAATCTTACATGTACGATACAGATATTGACAGAGAAATTGCTTATGGGGAAGAATTGCATAAAAGAGGTTCGCACCAACCCGAATCGAAACTAAGAAGTGAAACCAGATCAGATAAAGAGAATAATGGATCAGATTTAGATACAGAGGATAGGTCTGACGAACATACAAAGAAAGCGGTTGATGAGACAGCGGATGACAACTCAGGGAGATCCGAGCATTCATTGGTTCGTAAAAGCGTTTCATTGTCCTCAATAGCAGAAGAACCCGAAACTAAATTGGACTCTGTTGACGTGGGAAATCAGGAAGAGCTTACTGACCAGAGACATCTGAATTCTCTGTTTCAACCTATCGAAAATCTGGGAGATTACAAAACCAATTTGCAGGATGTGGCACAGATGGAAACCAATGATCGTGTTGAGATCAACTCGGGGGAAGAAGAGAAAAACTTTAACTTTACTGAAGTGGCAGATGGAGAATGCCCAGATACGTTATATAATGATGGAGAAAATCGTCATGGCTTGAATGATAGTCAAAATGATCATGATACAGAAGTCGTTCAGGAAAGCGGAAGCAACGAAGTCGATGATGGATTGAACACCTCAAAGATCGATCAGAATTTAGGACTTGTCAAGAAGGGAGACACGCCAGACGGAGATGATTGTGGTGGAATGTTGGATAACTCGGCTGAAAACATGGAACCTGAAACTACATTCCAACTAGAACAAGAAGCAGCAGAAGATAAAGAGATGAAATTAGTGGAATGTGCTGACGAGATGGCGCAAAAAACAACAGAGACGGAGGAAGCTCAGAACATTGTAAGCATGTCTTCAGGCCATCCTCATGCAGACTCCCCCGAAGCAGATGTAGTAGGAGAGACAGAACAGAAAGTGGGCAGGGAAGAGACTCAGAATGTCCTGAATATTTCTCCAGGCCATCATCTTGTTACAAATTTGATTGAACAGAAGCTAGTAGAAGGGGGAGAACCAGAACTTGTTGAGGATAAAGCACAAACAATAGAGCATTAGGGAACTTAGAAGGGGAGCTAGTCGACGAGAAAGAAGGAAGATTTGTCCACCAGAAAGAGAGAAGAACCAATGGAACAGGACAAAACTCATTCAAAACATCATAAGCATGTCTTAGAATTTATAGTATTAAACTTAATGACTAGGTTAAAATAAATAAGATAAATAAAGATGCGTATGCATGTATACACTGCATTAAAAAAAAAAAACCTCAAGAACTTGTGTGTTTAATTTTAATAACGTGTTATCATGGTTTTTGGGTCTTTACGTAGTATTTAAAGACCTGGAGTAAGCAATATAATATAAATATCGAGTTTTACGATTCCAATTTTTTTTTGGGCTGAAATATATTTTTTATCCACGAGGTAATGTTATAAAATCAGAGATAAAATAAAAATTATATGAAATATCATAAAGGAAATTAAATAAATAAATACGACGACTTTGTACTATACAATTATTAAATCTGGACCGAAACTACCTTCCCTTGCAATCTTCTATTATAATTTGCTCAAACCATTTTCCAAAGCATCCGATGCCCGAGGAAAACCCTTGTTTCCATTTGGATTCAAGCTTTCTCTTCTTTTTCTGTTTTTTTTTTCCGATTCTGAAAGTACAAAGCTTCGAGTTTTTATACTCCTGATTAGGTGGAGAATCAGCCACGACAATGGCGGAGACACGGTACGAGGATTGCATTTACAAGAACCCAAATGCTGAAGTCGAGCTTCGAGTTCGAGATCTTCTGTCGAGGATGACATTGAAGGAAAAGATCGGACAGATTACCCAAATCGAACGCAGGGTTACTTCTCCTTCCGTGATCACAAACTACTGCGTCGGTGCGATTATACTTCTGAACAAATGGTGTTCCTTTTCTATTTCTTGGGAATATGGGTTGTTTGGTAGTGGATAGGTGGACGAAGAACCAAACAGTTTCAAGTTGGGTTAATCTAGTATGTGTTTGGCCACTCAAAGGTTGTAGCTTTATGGATGGTTTCAGGTTGGGTTAATCTAGTATGTGTTTGGCAACTCAAAGGTTGTAGCTTTATGGATGGTTTCGTTAGAAGAGCCCGAGTTATGAATCCAGACATTGATAGTTCAATGAACTAATCAAGATTCCGTGGTTTAGAATCTTGAGTTTGACTCTCATTTCCCTTTGGCCACTTCACAATGGCAGAAAAAGGGGAGAAAGCGAACTGAGACAGGAAACCTTTAACTTGTGAGATCTTGATCTGGTCTTGATTCCATGAGTGTTTTAGCTCAAAGTTGTACCCTGCAGTTGTTGTGGTCATTTGTTATCGCTGTTGTTCTTCAGGGAGTGTATTGTCCGGAGGAGGGAGTCCGCCATGTGAGGGAGCAGAGTCCTCTCACTGGGCAGACATGATAGATGGATTCCAAAAGGCTGCACTCGAAACACGCCTCAGGATTCCCATCATTTTCGGGATTGATGCAGTTCACGGCAACAACAATGTCGTGGGTGCCACCATTTTTCCTCACAACATTGGCCTTGGGGCTACCAGGTTTTCCCCTTCTGAAGACATATCGCATGTTATTCACAGAGTTTAATCTATCTTTCATTTATACCACTTTCATAACCATATTTTCATTCATGCGGTGTCTATAATGCTTCCTGGATCTTGAAAATGCCAAGGAATATCCTCAACAATCTTGCCTCAAATCAAATTTTGTCACTGAAAGCTTATATCTTCTTCTACTACTTGTAGTGACTTTTGTTTCTAAGTATGGATTGGATATTTCTCTGCAGAGATGCTGACTTGGTTAGGAGAATCGGGGCAGCAACCGCCATTGAAGTTAGGGCGAGTGGCGCTCATTGGGCATTTGCTCCTTGCGTAGCCGTAAGTTCTCGAAGGGTAGACTAAAACAGTAGAGAAAACCATGAAAAAAGTATTTGATATTCAGCTTACAGTGACCAATTCAAGGTCACAATCTACATATAGAGATGTGTTAATTAGTTGCTGGGATTGCACATAACAGATAGCGAGAGATCCGAGATGGGGAAGAACGTATGAGAGTTATGGCGATACTGAAACTGTCTGTAAGATGACTTCTCTTGTCTCTGGCTTGCAAGGAGATCCACCCGAAGGACATCCTAATGGTTACCCTTTTGTAGCAGAAAGGTGAGACTTCTCTATCAAATGTATCGCTTTCCTATTTGAGATTCATTCTCTGCATTACATAAATAAGTTTCACGCTTCTTGTTTGATCTACAGAAAGAAAGTAGCAGCTTGTGCAAAGCATTATGTGGGAGATGGGGGAACAGAGAAAGGCAAGAACGAAGGGAACACCATTGTTACGCATGAAGAGCTCGAGACCATCCATTTGGCTCCTTACTTGAACTGTCTTGCTCAGGGAGTTTCAACAGTCATGGCTTCTTATTCGAGCTGGAATGGAGATAAAATGCATACCCACCATTTCCTCTTGACACAAGTTCTCAAGAACAAGCTTGGTTTCAAGGTAACTGTTGTCATTAGTCATTTGGGATTCTGTATCTGGAATTGTTGAAACTGGAGGATGTGCTCTGTTTTTGGAAGGGAATTTTGGTTTCAGATTGGGAAGCACTGCATCGCATCACCGACCCGCCCGGCTTGAACTACCGAGAGTGTGTAAAAGATTCTGTCAATGCTGGAATCGACATGGTAATAAATCCAAACACTTTCTCCAGAAGTTAATGGATCATAATCTCTCTCTCTCTTGACATAAAACTAAGGAAACACTTGCAGGTGATGGTGCCTTTTGAGTTTGAGCGTTTCATATCGGATTTGACATCTCTGATAGAATCTGGTGAGATTCCAATGACCAGAATTGACGACGCGGTGGAGCGGATACTGAGAGTGAAGTTCATCGCAGGCCTTTTCGAACACCCTTTTTCAGACAGATCCTTGCTTGACAAAGTCGGCTGCAAGGTCATTACAAAGAAGATGGAAATCTTAAATCTTTCTAATATTCACAGGTTTTGGCAAAATACAAAAAGATATTCTCTTTCGGGTTTGTGCAGGAACACAGAGAACTGGGTCGAGAAGCAGTGAGGAAATCGTTGGTTCTGCTGAGGAACGGTAAAGATCCCGAGAAGCGGTTTCTTCCGCTAAGCAGAAACGCTGAGAAGGTTCTTGTAGTGGGGACTCACGCTGACAATCTTGGATACCAATGTGGAGGATGGACAATCAGTTGGTTTGGTCACAGTGGAAGGATCACAACCGGTGAGTTTTTAATTTCAAGAACCGGGTGCGAATTCAAGCATTGTATATTCATACTTCTCTCTGAATTACAGGCACAACAATCTTAGACGCCATTAAGAAATCAGTCGGAAGCTCAACTGAAGTGGTCTATGAAGAACATCCATCGGAAGAAACCCTATCCGGACACAACAACTTCACTTATGCGATAGTGGCAATAGGTGAAGAGCCGTACGCAGAGACGTTCGGAGATAGTTCAGAGCTTGAGATTCACTTCAATGGAAGCAAAACCCTAAAATCCGTGGCAGAGAAGATCCCGACTCTGGGGATTCTGGTTACAGGACGACCGGTGGCTCTGGAGCCGACAACCGTGGAAAAGGTCGAAGCTTTGGTGGCGGCTTGGTTGCCCGGAACCGAAGGAGACGGGATTGCGGATGTTGTGTTCGGAGATTACGACTTCGAGGGCAAGTTACCTATGTCCTGGTTCAGAACTGTGGATCAGTTGCCGATGAACACCGACCAGGCAGATCCATTGTTTCCCCACGGATTTGGGTTGAATTGTAAGAAAGATTAATGGTTGAGGGCAAATTGGAATAATATGTTTTTAAAGGGGTGAAAAAGTGAAATCTTGAAATGAAGAGCGCCATAGCCCTCTCTCCCTCTCTCTTCCTTTTATTGTTCTTACGTTCATTTCCATCCAATTTGTAAGTAGAAAGACATGTTTTCTGCCCGCCAAAGGTTTTGTAACGAAATTTAGTTTTTAATTTGGCATTTCCTTGCAACAATCGACTTGATTAAACAGAAAAGGGAATTGGGAACACTGCGGATTAAAGTTGAAATCTTGATGGAAAGCTTCCAGCTTTTTGTCTGCAGCTACCAATGCTCAAGAGATCCGTCAGTCATATGTTTGATCTTGCTGCCTCCGAGTATTTGGGTCCATGAGGTTTATGTTAATGTAGATTTGACCCTCTCTTCCTTCAACGGATGCAGGATGGGAACGATGCCGTATTTGAGTGGAGGATGGAGCAAATTGCATGCGTGGTCTATTTCGATCACTTTATATATATTTCTGATATATGCCATATATGATATGATTAATCTTGACCGATAGAAAGGTGCGCTTCTCCTCTCAGTCAGGCGTGCGACGTTTGATTGACCGATTGATTGACAATATCATTTCGCAACGTGTTTCCACTTGTTGTTTTCTCTCTTTTTTCTTTGTGAATAACAATAATAATATGTTAATTACACATATATTCTTTAGGGAAAACTAAGGTGTTAATCGGGCCGGGTCGGTCCGAACCCGAACCCGTACTCCGTCCAAGGGTTTCGACCTCGGGTTCGGATTGATCCGATTTTTTTTGGGTCTATACAACCAATCTCAAAACTCGTTCTTTGAATTTTTTTCTTTTTTTTTTTGAAAAAAAAAATCGGATTTTCGGCTCATCCTAGAGCCCGAACTGAGTATGTCACTCAACTTGGGAATACACCCGTTTCTGTCACTCAACTTGGGAAAGACAGAGGAAGCAATCGCTTTTAATTTGGATAATACGCAATACACAGACTTATATTTTTCACAATTCCATTGCGTTGGTCGGTCCATGCGAGGAACCATGGTTTATGTCACTCGACTTGGGTGGAATATGCGCTGTATAGCTGAAAGGGAGCGTTTTGATGGTCGCCGTTGCTAGTGCCGAGCAGATGGTGGGCGTGGGAGTGAAAACCGGGATTGGGGTCGAAGGTTTGGGACCATGGGATTGGACCGGACGGAGTCAAGGGGGCATGGTCGTCGAGGTTGAAGGTGGTGATGTCGTGAATGCTGGCTCTTCTCTTGTCTTTGCCTCCCGAGAGCTGCCGGATGAAGTATTTCTGCGCGTGGCTCGCCACCTGCGTCGGCGTTCTCGTTATCACGAAGTTCCGGGATATGTTCCTCCAATCTCCCTTCCCGTATTTCTTCAGACCCATCAGAAACAGCCTGACCAAAAACCATGTCCCATGGATCACATCCCCTTTCCTTTCTTCATGTAAATACAAAACCATATTTTATATAATCTTATAACCACAACATCTTCATATGATTCCTCCAGCCATAAACGTTGTAAATGCCTGAACCAAGGAAATTTTAAATGTGGATATAATTAAGAGACCTAAAGAGAGATCGGAGAAACAGGGCACGAGTAACTTACTTGTGTTCCTCCTCCGTCCAGGGAACGCCTTTCTTCCGTTCATGCTCCGGCGGTCTTGCCGCCGGCGACCGCTTGCTCCCCACCGGCTTTAACCCATTGTAGCCGCCGGCCCAGTCCAACGTGAACGGCGAAGTAATGTAACCGGGAACCGGAACTAAACCGGCCTCTATGTTGATTACGTCAGCCTCCAGCTCCGTGTACTGCTTGATGACATCACCCACCGTCTTCCCCGGTATCATCGCCGCCACCTTCTGCCACCTGTCCGGCGTGTCATCGTCGTACACCGCGAGTGCGTCCTCGAACGCCTTGTTCTCCGCTGCCGTCCACGTGGCAGCCGTGGAGGAGTTCTTCACCGTCTCTTCCGGCAGAATCCAGTTCCCGCCGGACACGTGCGCCGTCGGCCGCAGAATCTCCATGTCGGGAACTTAAAGTTAAACTACCTCTGTTTTTTGTTTCACGGTCTGCGGGGATAGATCAGAGCGACATGGCTATACCCGTATGAAGATTTAGGGTTCTATGGCCAGGGATCAAACGATCGAGAGCAAGAGAAAAAGATCATGAAAGAGAGAGGGTATTCGGAGAAGAATACAATCTTCACTGACAAATAATGACTCGTTTGTTTACAGAAACCAGAATTTCTTCCCCCCCTTTTTGGGTTATTCGTAACTCTGTTCGCGTGATTTTGCTTAGACCCACTTGACGGAATCTGTAAAAGGTCCCGCCTTTGAATAGAAAATTCAGAGAAATCAAAAGGAAAATCTGGCCAAGATCTTCCGGCTCTGGAATTTTCTCGGGATTCAAAGTGTTTTCTCCTGGAGGCTGAGAATTTTGTTGACGAGAAAGAAAATAAAAAGCTTTCCCGATTTGGTGGAGCTAAAATCTCGTGCTTTGTCAGCTTCAGATATGAATTTGGAGATCTGGGCTCATAAATTTTCTCGGGAAACAAACAGGGCTGCAAGAAAGTAAAATCAGGAACTTCAAACAGCCACCTTGGAGCTTACCCTATTAGGAACACCGTCAAGTACACGAAGAACAGACCGAACCCGGGAAGGAGAAAAGAAAACAAGAATCAGAAACCAAATTCCAGTTTTTTCTTCACCAAAGGAGGAATACGCACAGACTGGAATCGCTGAATTGGTGACTTATAATTCAATCCTTCAGAGTAATGAATGAAATGATGGCTGATGGTTTTTTCACAGACGATAAAAAAAATTACTGCTATACGGAAACTATGAAGCGAAGGGTATTCTCACTCCGTTGACCTAATATACAATTATACAAAAAAAAAAAAGTTTCAAACTACTTAGAAATTATATCAATTATACTAAAATTACCACTTTTATTTATTATTAATATAATGGCTTCAAATGCGTGAAGGAAACATTTTTTTTTTAGATTACGACGTCAGTGTCGTGGCACCATCGTCATGCAAGGGGGGAATAAATTCGAAATGAATGATTTTTTCACAAAATTAAAATTATAATAATATAATATTTTTTTTTTTTTACAATTTAGTTACGCATCATAAATATCAATTTATTTTTTATATATATCAAGGAGGAATTTGTGTAGAAGGAAGGCGCCAAATGAACGGTCCAGATAATTACATGGCCAAGTTGACAAATATGGGCCCTCCAACAGATGCGCTCACTGCATCCTCATTGGTCGTCGGTCTCCCTTTTTAATTGTTCGGGTTATGATCTCGAGGGATCTGCTTCCTTCGTCCCGATTCTTCCACGTGGCATTAGCATCTTTGTTGCTCTAAGATGATCCAATGGAGTGACGACACGTTGGAGAAACGAATTGAGAAACATGGGCTCTAATGCAGGAGATTAATAGCTCAGACAATGCTTCCTATTTCCGTTGCGTTTTTCTTGTCATTTTTAATCCCGCAATTTAATATTTTCAAAACATTTCACATATTAAAATACATAAAAGTAAAATTTTATATACCAATATACATATATATATATAATTTCAAAATGTTTCATTACAGGTAAAAAATTATATGTGTATATATAAAAATATATATTACCTGTTTTCCTGCAATTCAAAATATTCGAAATCATTTTGTTTTTTAGATACTACTCTATTTTTTTTTTTATATAAACGACTAAGTTAAGTTTTTTAAAGACACATATTACATAACAACTCATCAAAATAACATATTTCCGGTGGTCTACCATTCCATCTAAATATTTATAGATAGATTTGGCTTGTTAAGACATTTAACATCTTTTTCACATTTTTCAAAGTATGAGAATATATAGCATAGATATATTATTGTTTGTGTTTTATAGATTTGGTTCACCCTATATTAGATTAGTGGCTAATAAGTAATTTTACTATAAGACCATAGCCGCTTATATATGTTGACAATGACAATCCAAAAATCTCTGTTAACATATCGTTAAACAGACTTTTATAATACTTAAGTAGCCATTAAACTTTCTATTGCGTGACCCTCAATCGTACGATACCGTACTAAGATACTATATTAATTTACTTAATCACGTCTGCGTATACACAGGAAAGATGTGAACCATATCATAATGAATCATTCGGAAATGCTACAAATAACACTAACACTATTGATTTTTATTATTATTATTATTATATATATATGATAATTCTAAAAACCAGATTAATTTGATTAGCATTGAGGTTTTAAATGTGTTACCCTACATTCGTCTACAAATACATAATTGAACAAGAGTTTGCCATTTTTGGTATTACCAATACCAACCTCCCGAAATTAGTTCCCATTCATAGACATATTATTATTATTATTATTGACAGAGAATAAGTCAGAGAAAAAGAATGATTTTTTTATTAAAAAAGAAAAAACAAAATGAGGTTTGAGTGCACCAAGGGACATGCGGCTTGCAAAATCGATGAAACAGCCAAAGACCTTGGACGAAGAAGACATTTCTAATGTCTATTTGAAATGATAAACTTGTTTTGTTGTCGTTGTGGTAGCAATCGAAGCAGAGATGATGGGCCTGTCAAAGCCCATTACGGAACAGGGCCAGCTAATGTTGGGCTTAATGAAACACGACGCCGTTTCGATGCGTAGGCTCTGAAACTGAAACGGTATGGAATCGCAGAGAATAATATACAGAGTTATAAACACTATTTCTTTTTTCTTTTTTGTTCTCATATTACATACACAGCAATTAAGCTTCCAAGGAAAATTTTCTCAAGCTGGAGAGAATACAAAAAATTGTAAAAGAAAAAAAGGGAAAAAAAATCAGCATTTGGGAAGATCGGCGGGAGGGGGAAGGAGGGAGTGGTTGGGGCCATCGCCATTGTCGACCACAAAAGCCATCTTAAGCCCCCATGTCGTGTGGATCTCCAGATGACAGTGCATGAACCATACCCCTACGTTCGTTTCAGGATTCGATTATTGCGGTCACTTGCAATGTGAAATTCCGACTTTTGTTGTAATAAAATCGGATGAGTTACCTGGATTGTCGGCGGTGAATCTGATGGCCACCCAACCACCGGCGGGCACTCCGACGGTGTTCCTCTCTACCGGATCCACCAGATTGAACTTCTTCGGATCCTTCTTCTGATTGAAATTCCCCAGTCCTCTACCGACCTCGAAGAAATTGAATCCGTGCAGATGGATCGGGTGATTCTCCGGCGTTATCATCCCTGTGTCCTGCAACACAATCTCCACCCTCGCGTTGTACGGTAGCCTGTAAAGCCTTGTCCCCTTCATCGTCGCCGGATTCGCAGGCTGGGTCCCGGTGTAATTGTACGGATGCGAGGGTCTCGCCGGAAAATCGTCGGTGAAGACGCCGGGTAGGTTGAAGAAATGGGCCTGAAGCAGAGCGATTTTGGGCATCACGAACGTTACGTTGTTGATGTCGGCCACGACTCTGCTCCCGTTGACGCAGCTCCGGCAAGGGTTAACGCCGAGACCGACCGTGAAGAACAGAGAGTGGTCGACATTCATCGGAACCCTCGCCGGATATTCCTCGGAGTTCAAGCTCCGGAGCGATTTGATGAATTTGGTCGCCACCCACGTCGCGTTTTGCGGCGGTAGCGTCGCGAGGACGGTTTTGGCGGCTGCATTTGCGTTTGCGGTTGTGGGGCCGACGTAGTGGAGAGTGGCGGTGGCGGTGACGTTGTCAAAGGCGATGGGAGCGTCCATGTAGGTGGTGGCAGCGACCATGTAGTTGGAGCCAGCGTAAGCGTTTGCCGTTAAGAGGACGTTAGTGGTTTGGCCTGGGGCGATAACGACGGTGTCTGTTTTGAAGGGTTTGGTGTAAACGGCGTCAACTTCGACCACCGTTAACTCGTGACCCGCGATCTTGAAGAAGAGCTCTTCGTTTAACGCCGCGTTAACGATCCTCAGCATGTATGTCTTCCCCGGTTTCACTGGCAAGCCATAACCCTCTGAAAACACGCATCCAAAACATTATGTATGTATATATATATATATGTGTGTGCATAAAATAATAACAAATCATGAATCTGATTTGAATATATATAATGTAATCTTGCTGATGGTAAATAATTACGTTGGGAGGGGCAATTAGGGAGGGGTCCAGTATGGCCGTTGATGGTATGAGCGTCAGAGACGTTAGGAGCCAATCCAGATCGCGTAGCCTCGTTTATCACTGCTTCCACGTCCGATTTCCACCATTCCCCTGAACGCAAAATTTCATACGTTAACACAAACATTTATACAATCAAAATGAAATAAAAGGAGATTAGAGGAGGAGCTCACCAAGAACGATGATCTTTTCTTTGTGGGGCTGAGGGAAAGGGTAAGGAACACCGAGCTTGGGCAAGATGACAATGGCGCCGTGGACGGTGGCTCGGAGCCAGAGAATATGGGCGTGCCACCACAAGGTCCCTCTTTGTCCCGCGAGAGTGAAATTGTATGTGTAACTCTGTCCCGTCTGAATCGGACATTGCGTTATATAAGCCGGTCCGTCCGCCCAACCCGTCCTCAGTTGCCTTATTCCATGCCTATATACACATACATCCACGTAAAAACATTTCCTTCAAGTTTAATTCAAAATTTTTACATTAACTAATGCTGTTATGAAATTTCTTTGCTTTATTGAATGAGAAAGCTGAAAAAACATAGGTGGGTGCACCCGAACCTTTGGGGGATCGGGTGTAACTAATATGTGCATATGGGTCTATTTGATCATTATTAAAAGTATGCCGTTTAATTTGGGAAATGGAAAGAAATTCAGAGGTCTAAATCGCTATTATCTTAAAAAAAAAAGGCTTTGTGGGGGGGGGGGGGTAAGAGTAAATTTCGAGGCGCCCACCAGTGAATGGAGAGATTGTACTTGACGTGGTTGACCACTTTGACCAAAACGGTGTCGTCCTCTCTAGCGACGATGGTGGGGCCAGGGAACATACCGTTGACGGTGACGATGGGCTTCGAAGAGCACAGCTTGGTCGTGTTCTTCATCACCACCTGCCATACACATAGATTCAAATCCAACGGTCAGCAACGATCGTTAAGAGTCGGGAAGAAGCGCGTATGGACCGTCGGATTAGTAGTTCAGCATTGCATGCATGCATGCGTACTTAGCTAATTAATGCACGTGAATTATACGGAATCACCATATTGTCCTTATTATGGCACTAATTAATGCACATGAATTAAGGATGAAAATGCTCCGATTAATCGAACTTACATTGAACTTGTAATGTCGAACCATTGAGTGAACGGTGGTCGGAAGGAGACAAACCACCGCGAAAACCGACAAGACTAGAACCCATGGCTGCCGCGGCCGCTGAATCTCCATTGCTTATATACCTTGCCTCCTCTCCTCCCTGCCTTAAAGAAAAAAAAAACAAATGTATTTTACCAATCTGCTTGTTTTTGTCGTGTCTCTGTATACATATATATGCATATGATGAGGGGATGCGAGAGAGAGGGTGGTAGAGGGAATGTTGATACGATGTCGTTTTAACTTGTTAGGTTGAAGGAAGTCTTGAGATGGAAGCTCTTTGACGGCAACGTACGGGAGGAAGAGCTTAGGTGGTCTAAGCGTATGAGGTTTGGTCGTCCAACCGTATCTGGCTTCTCATCCGTCTGCCCCCTTTTTATCTCCTCGTCCGCATAGTGCTACGGTTCAACCTAACCATTCTCAACTCGATTAATTTAAAGAAAACCGGAGAAACGGTCCACAGATTTCGATCACTCGAAGAGATTCTCATGATTGCGATGGAGTCGGTATGCATCTATAATACATGCAACATTTGATTTTTTTTTTTTTAAAAAAAACCCTTTTAATTAAGCCTCATTGTCCCATGATTGGGAAAGAAAAGAATAATTTTCCAATATAAGATACGGATATTTCATCTGGTAATGGAAACGGGCGTACAAGTCATTGTGTTGAATTAACTTGCTTGGGAGCCACTTTTCACAGTGGGTTGTTATGTAACAGCTCATCTAATCCACCGTATACCTCCTTTCTCCTCCCACTTTCCCACCCCCATTACTTATTCCATCTGTGATTTAATTAATTAATTACTACTTGGATCTTCGAATTTTAAAGGCCGTTTACAGATATTGTACTTGCGCTAAATGGGCCCTCTGACGACGACCCATAATTCACGCTGATCCCCATAAAAGCATATGCAAACGACGACGTTTTGATCCTCCAGCTTCATCGTTGTTCCGAAGCGCAGAGTCCCCGGTTTGATCCGACTCTGCTCGTTGATCGTCGTACGGAGCCTCCGGCATAGCTATTTGGCCACCGGATAAGATGGTACGCAAACAGTTTCAAAAAGCGAAAACAGGTGATGTTTCCGTTTCTCCTACTCAGTGTTCTTCTTCGGATCCAGTTTCTTTTATTACGTCGAGTATTCCGAGTTGGCCCCGTGAGATGGGTTCCGAGTCATTTTCGAGTTTCGATCTCCGATTGTTGTGGGTTCTTCCAAAAGGTTTCGTCTTTGATGCGGCGGTGTCTTTTAAGTTCGAGTGTCGCTCAAGGTGTTCGGTGAAATGCCTGAACGAATTGGGTTTGAGCCCATTTGGATGGCTGTCTCTTGTGTGACAGGGCTGGAGGCGTTGAAGGAATTGGACGCGAACAAGTACCTGAAGAAGATCGGGTTAGGGCGGGAAGATATGTTCTTCTGGAAGCAGGTGGGTAAGGCACTTCTATGCACCTACACGATCTGTGGCATTGCTTGGATCTACAACGAAACTTCCCCATTGGGGTGGTGGACGTTGAAGCCGAGACCAAAGGAGGAGAGGGAAATGGCTCATCTCTATGAGCGCCGTGAGTTTCCTTACCCTGGTGACACAGAGGCCATGGAGGAGTTCATTGCAAAGGGGGGGATGATTGGTACAACCATCGGACCTAAAGGGTTCGCTGAAACTGACAGCGATGCCGATAACTACCAGAAGGAGATGGAGAAGAAGAAGTTCGAGAAGGAAGCTCAGAAAATGTGGCTGAGGATGAGGAACGAGGTGATTTCCGAGCTACAAGAGAAAGGGTACGATATCGAGTAACTCGTAATCGGGAACTTTTGATTTGAAAGTGGATCTGACTCTGCGATAACTTGTGTATTGTGGAATCTGTATTGGTTGAATCTGTTATGTAAGTGATCACATTAGGCTTATTCTCTTTGTTTGTGTGTAATAATACATAGAGACCAGACACCACAAACACAGTAACAGAGAGAAAATCAGGAAACTATAAACATATAATTAGTTGGAAATCGTACATTCAATCCTAACAATGTGAAAAGATACAGTTCTAGGACTGTTTTTGCATATCTGAATCAGCTTTGTTAGGAACATATCAGCCAAGGTCTAAGTTACAACACTATGCCAAGGAAACTAGAAAAGAGACAGCACAAGATTGCATTTCAGGATCTAAGTTCATTTCATTTATCTATAGAACAAAGGGCAGTAACCTGATTAATTACAAGAAAGAGTTATTTATACCATTCTCCATGAACCCACAATCTCAAATCCATTAATCCATCATCCTGCTTTTGCCGGATTTGCTCATCTTATGGCTCCTCGAGGGCGTGAAATAGAATCTAAACATACCGTTCTCGAGGTTATTGGGAGAATACGTACCCACATCCGCCTTCATCTGTAGAAGATGACACGACCTTCTTCCTGCCTCAACACCATTAATGGAGCCATGGAACAAGCCATCGCATGAGCTTCTTCCTCCTTCAAATCCACCCTTAAGAATGGCGGTGGCGCCATGAAAAACACCATCACAGGACTTTCTTGCGCTGACACTGTAGCTTTTGATAAGCTTGTCGCAAACATCACCATTGCCTTCTCCTTTAGCGACTCTCTTGAGTTTTAACAGAGACTCGGCCAATGAACCCTCGATTGAATTCCCTTCAAGTTTCAAGCTTTTCTCGGTTTTGATGTCGTTCTTCGTCTGGTTTTTCCTCTGAACCAATCCCCAAATGCTCCAACCTTTAGACCATTTGCTTTTAGGCTTTTTTAACCCAAAACCATCCTGCTTCACCTCACCATCAACACGACCGACAGTTTTGGCACCGATTCTGACAGTCTCGGGTTTGTGGTTTTTGATTGAATACCAGTTTGAATCCCTCAGTTCCTTCTCTGTAACTAATAACTTTGCGCCATGAAACAAACCAACAGTTCTGGGTGATACCTTGACGTTTGAAATAGCTTTCAATTCATCGACCTCGAGCAGTCCCGGCCTCTTGATCGAACTCGATCGATCGAAGCTTCTTCTTCGCCGTGAATCCGAGTAATAGTCCCTCGTCTGAGCTGTCCCGCCTGGATTTTTCTCCTCATCGTCGTCTTTAACTTCGTCTTTATCCTCCGGAGAGGTTTTAGCATCTTCCGTCACAGAGTACAGTGTCGGCAGCTTCGGATATGTCTTTCCGACCAAACACCCGTCCCATGACGCCCTAGGCTCCTCGAACGACAACCGGCCCACGTCGAGAGAATACCGAGAATCTATATCGCACGATCGACGGCCAAGCACGCGTTCAACGGGTTCTGATCGTCCATTTCGAACGTGGATTTCACTGTTTCCGGCGAAATCGGCATCTAGGATTTCTTCTTTTCTCTTATTCTTCTGATGCTTCAACGACAATCCCTTCAGCTTCTTGCCCAAAACCGACGCTATTTCCTTCAAATCTTTACCATTTTTCTTCTTGCTATGGTGAACCCGTTCCAGATCTATGAGCTCTTTCATCGTCTTGGACTCTCCTCCTCCTCCATCTTCTGAATCTTCAATCACGAACTTCCTCGGCTTGCCATTGTCAAAACTCTTGATTTCGTGTTCACCATATTCGTCTTCATCGTCATCCAGTCCCTCCTCTTGTTCCTCCTTCAAACCGGGGGCCCGGGGCCTCCGGATCGGATCCTCTTCGTCCTCGGCGACAAGGTAACGAAGAGAGCTACAACCGGACCACACATCGCACGATCTGCGACGCGGCTGCTCGAAAGCGACGGCTGAGGAATCGCGAGCGGAGTAAGAGCGAGTACGGCGGAGCTCAGGGGCCTGTGCTGCAGCGACGGAGGGGGGCTGGGTCTCGATAACGGCGAGGCGTTCGCGGAGGCAGGAGACGCAGAAGCCGGTAGTGGGTTTGTCGGAGGGGTGACGGCGGCAGACAGCGGCGGTGCGCCGGCGTCGGCGAGAGATTTGCCTGTGAGTCATGGTGGCTTCGTCGGCGGTGACGGAGGGGAGAGAGAGAGTGAGTGAGTGACTCAGTCCACTCGGCAAGAGATAAATTGTCAAACCTGGAATAAACCCTTCCTAGTCCCCTTTCTTATTATTATTTATCAAGGACAATTCCATTAAAAACTCTGTATTTTTCCTTTAATTCATCTAATTAAATTTTATATTATATATAATAATAAAATAATTATACTTTTTATAATTAACAAATAAAATTCTAAACAAAAAAATTGACTAAAGTAGACATAGCATTTTCATCACCTGTCATATCATCAATTCTATAATATTTAATAATATTAATTAATAAAAATAATAGCAAATATAATAATATATATGTATATATACATATTTGTATATATACATATATATTATCTATAAATATAAATATATATACATATATACATATATATAGGTATACACGTATACATATATATATATTATATACATATTTATATATACACACATATACATATATATACATACAATACATACATATATATTTTTTATTTTTGTTATTATTATTATATTTTTATTATTTTTATTAATTAATATTATTAAATATTATAGAGTTGGTGGTGTCGCGAGTGACTCATGTCAACATTGAATAATTAATTTTTTAGTTCAGAGTTTTATTTGCTAAGTTTTAAAAGTATAGATATTTTATTATATATATATATATATGAAGTATAAGATTTAATTGGATAAAAAAAGGGAAAATCTCATTAAAAAACCTATATTTTTCTTTCGTCGCAATTTAAACTCTGTTTTTTTTAATCTAAATAAATCTTATACTTTAATTAATTGGCAAATGAAATCTTATACTTTTAAAAATTGACAAATAAAATCATGAATGAAAAAAAAAATATTATTTAATGTTGACATGACATCCTAGTCACCTGTCACATCGTCAATCTCTAATATTTAATAATATTAATTAATAAAAAAATAAATCCTAATAATATAAATAAAAATTAAAATTTAAAAATTATACACATTCATATATACATATATCAATATATATATATATGTGTGTGTATATATATATATTTTAGAGAAATAACATATACATACTTGAACTTTTACAAAAATCTCATATAAATATATGAACTATAAAACTTCCATATAAATATCTGAACTTTAAAAATTCTATATAAATATCTAGACTTTAAAAAAATTCAAATAAATACAAATTTCAAGTATTTTTTAAATAAAAATAGATGATATTATTAACGTATTTTGGGTTTATTTGAGAGTTTTTCAAAACTCTATATATTTATATAGGATTTTTGAAAAGTTCAGGTATTTATATGGAAATTTTATTGTTCAAGTATTTATATGGGATTTTTGTAAAAGTTCAGATATTTATATACGATTTTTTCTATATTATTATATGTATGTATGATATATGTATATATGTATATATATATATGTATGTGTGATATATGTATATATATATGTATATATATATGTGTATATAATATATATATATACATGTATGTATATATATGTGTGTCTGTATATAAATATATTTATATGTGTGTGTATATATATCATTATATATGTATGTTACATGTATGATATATGTGTATAATTTTTTAATTTTTTTTATTAATATTATTTTTTATTTTTTGTTAATTAATATTATTAAATATTAAAGATTGATGATGTGGCAAGTGATTAGGATGTCTTGTCAATATTAAATAATATTTTTTTATTTAAAATTTTATTTGTCAATTTTTAAAAATATAGAGTTTTATTTGTCAATTAAATAAAATATAGAATTTATTTGAATAAAAAAATATACAGGGTTTAAATTGCAACGAAAGATTTTTAATGAGATTTTTTCAAAAAAAAAAGTAGAGAATTAAAATTGCAATGAGAAAAACTAGCCTATTTGTTATTTGAGTTAATTTTATTAAATCGAATGAATGACCGTAGTTCCACGCGACACCATGATTCGCATTCACAGACTGTTTTGCTAACCATTATGAAAAGATAAAAACAAAAAACCATGTTTTCAGGATTAGTTTATTTCAAAAAAAAAAAAAACGAACAAATCCTGAAAATTCTCCTCGCAGGAAAAGGAAAGACGACGATAACTAACAACTAATTCTTCTATAAAGCCCCCACCACGCTCTCTCTCTTTCTTCACTCGCAGAGAGGATGGAGGAGAAGGCGAGTTCCTCTTCCAGTAACTCGTACTTTCATTACCAAGGCATCAGCACTCTGCTTATTCATGACCGAACAAGGAACAATGTCCACGGAGCATTCACTCCCCTTCCTCCTCCCCCCCCTCAAAACCCTCTCCCTGATGACCCAGCTCCGACCACTACATCGGGGGTGACCCATCTCTCCCTCCCCGGAGACTCTTCGCGCCTGTTTGGGATCATGACAAGTGCAGAGGGCCCGTCTCTGTTTCGGAAATTACTCAGTCGATCGAGCCAGCAGGTTCTGCTTTCTATCGGAAGAACGGTGACCTCGGACCGCACCTCCTTCCTCGCCCTTGCGACCCATCCGACTGGTTCAATCACCGTACTGTCGCTCCTCCAAAGCTCTGTCGAGGTCGACAACCTCATCTTTTCCGCAGTCTGCGACAATTTTTTCGACCTAATGATCAGCAAGCACGGTCACAACATGATCATCCCGACCTTAAGAGCCGTCGACAGATCCAAGAAGGAGATCCTCTACGCCATGGCTGTTGACTACACTCTGAACCTTGCCACGCAAGAAATAGGCTGCGTCGCCCTAAACGAGTTCCTCCAAGAGATGCGAGGCGTCCACAGGAACCGTTTCTTCGAGGTCGTAGCCATGAATGCCACGTGGCTTGCTCAGGACCCGCACGGGAACTTTGTCGTGCAGCACGTGCTGACCCTTGAGAACCCGTCTGCGACCGGCCGGATCGCGACCAAACTGAAGGGGAGTTTCGGCCGTTTGTCCGTTCAGAGACTAGGGAGCTATGTGGTGGAGAAGTGCCTGAGATCACCGTACGGGAGGGAACAGGTTTTGGAGGAGCTGAGGGAGAGGAGCGACCAGTGGATCAGAGTGGCGAAGGATCAGTACGGAAACTTCGTGGCGCAGAGCACGTTGAAGATTCTGAAAGAGATGAAGTCTCCGCTGTATGAGGAGCTGGTGAACATGTTGAAGCCTCACTTCCAGGAGATGAATCTTGGGTACGGCAGAAGGACGTTGGATACTATTGCAAAACTTGGGGTTCCGTAGCATTTAAGATAACATATAATCGTTTCTTAACTCTTTTGGTAACTATAGCTCAACAGGTGGAACGGGAACGCAAAACATCTATTCCGACCCGAATTCGAACCTCAAATTGAGTAAGAAACGTATAATTTAAATCACATGGCTGACTTTCGATCCTGAGATTAGTTTAGGCTTCGACCCATATGCCCGGTTAAAAAAATCTCTTTAATAACTGTCTGTTTTTTTTTGTTTTTTATAGTTTTTTTTATAGAGAGAAAAACGTAGTTTTGTCATAGTACTTTTTTTTATATCATTATGTTATTTCAATATTTTATTTTTAGTATTTTTAACGATTCCCCATATCAAAATTTGTTAGCTCAGTCCAACCCAACCCATTTTTAACAAGCCAAAAATTACTTGGTTCGACCTAACTCATCTTAGATCACGAGCCAAATGAATTGTATCGTATGTCAAATGCATAGATATAAAAAAGTAAAATTTAAATACTAAAAAAATATCAAAAAATTGAATAATTTAAACAAAACAAACTAAATATCTATTAAAAACACAATTTGTATATATATATTTTAAAAATATTAAAATAAATTTAAAATATTTTTATTGGTTCGTGGGTCATTCGTAGACGTGGATTCGTCGAACTGATTTGTCACGAGTTCGGCTCGTGACGAACTGGTTCGTTCTATCCGTTTTTTTTCAGATTCAAAATTTCTAAGCAGAACCTGGAGTCAGAGTCCATTTTACATCCTATTTACGGGTTTGGAATACCATTATGAAATAAGAGTGATCAATATCCACATATACCACATCTAAAAAAAATGTTACCATGTGTGTTCTTCCGAAACAAAAAAATTATACAGTTTATTACATTATTAATACAATTATCTTCAATTATAATAATTACACACACGACGAAGTGGGCTCAAACTAAACCCAAAAGGCAAAAGAGAAAGAGGAATATATTGGGCCGATAGTAAAGTAGTACAGCCCGTATAAGCATGTCGGCGTTGTAGAGATTTCCTTCAAGGTCCGCCGCTATTTTTGTAAATCACGAATATGCCACTCGACGGAATAAAGCTTTCTCCCTGTTCTTTTCTTCTCACCGCAAGAAGCAAGAAAAGCAAGCGATGGAAATGACAGTCACTCTCTCCGGTCATTGCTCGATGAGCAACTGCTCTCTTCAACTCCATGGAAATCGATCAATCTTGATTTCGAATCTCTCTAAACTGCAATCTTCTTCCCCGCCGGCCCCAGACCTCCGGCGAAGGGTGTTCCTCTTCTCGGGGACAAGCTTCGGTGCGCTGAATTCCTTTGGACGCACCGCCGCTGCTGATCTACTAGGTTTTCCGTCTCGCCGAGTTAGACTCTCGTGTAACGACGCTCGCCGGATGCCGGAAACCCAGCCGGTGGCGGAGGCAGCGGCGGCGCAACCTAGCTTTTCGGAATTCATAACGTCGGAGAGGGTGAAGGTTGTGGCTATGCTTGCTCTTGCCCTGGCTCTCTGCAACGCGGACCGCGTGGTGATGTCCGTTGCAATTGTTCCGCTGTCGATGGCTCACGGATGGAGCAAGTCTTTTTCCGGTATCGTTCAGGTTATTCTTCCAAGAGTTTTGGTTTTTGTTTTTTTGTCTCCATCTCTGATCATCTCGTAAACCCTTGATTCTACTGTGCGTTTCGTTTTTGTTCGTCTACCGGGTTTCGCTTACACTTTCTCGATCTCTTCTGGTAGTCATCGTTCCTCTGGGGATACCTAGTTTCACCAATAGTCGGTGGAACTTTGGTGGACCGCTATGGCGGCAAAGTAGTGATGGGTTGGGGTGTGGCTTTGTGGTCTTTAGCGACCTTCCTTACGCCCTGGGCTGCTGATACTTCTTTATGGGCTCTTCTTGCCGCGAGAACTATGCTCGGTGTCGCTGAAGGAGTGGCTCTTCCTTGCATGAACAACATGGTCGCTAGGTATTGATCATGCTTTGTTTGTCACTTTTCCTTCAGGGATCATTGTTTATTGAAAACTTGTTGACTAAAATACTTTCTGGGAGATGACTGGAACCATTTCTTGTAGATGGTTTCCTCCAACAGAACGTGCTAGAGCCGTTGGCATTGCTATGGCTGGGTTTCAGCTTGGGAATGTTGTAGGACTCATGCTGTCCCCTATTCTCATGTCGCAAGGCGGCATCTTTGGCCCCTTCGTAATTTTTGGATTATCGGGATTCCTGTGGGTGCTTGTGTGGCTGTCTGCTACATCAAGTACACCAGATCAGCATCCTCAGATTACAAAGTTTGAATTGGAGTACATAAAGCATAACCAGCAAGCAAGTGCTGTGGAGAACAAACCCAAAAAAACAAGAGTAATCCCTCCTTTCAGACGCCTACTTTCGAAGATGCCCACATGGTCTGTTATCGTTGCAAATGCCATGCACAGCTGGGTAATATATAAAAAACTCCCTTCATTTCAAAACATTTTTAGCATCTCTCTTGTTACTGTGATTCTGGTGAATTGCTACGTTACCGTGCACAAAGCAACATATTATATCCATATGTTTCCCTATTATGTGAAATTCATATAACTGATTTTACATTGGTTATTTTCAGGGCTTTTTTGTGATCCTTTCTTGGATGCCGATCTACTTCAATTCAGTAAGGCCTTAGCACCAAGGAAATGTGAACCGATTCTTGTTTCTCTAGACTTTTTAGGAGATACAGAAATGTAACATTCCGTGGCAGGTGTATCATGTGAACCTCAGACAAGCTGCCTGGTTTAGTGCTGTTCCATGGAGTATGATGGCCTTCACTGGATACATTGCTGGTTTTTGGTCAGACCTTTTGATTCGGCGTGGTACAAGTGTCACTTTAACTCGGAAGATCATGCAGGTTTGTTATTTCTTTTCACAAGACCATATCCATTCATGAGGGTATTTCAGACTTAAGTTATATATGCATATCCCAGCGACGATGAAGCATGATATAATGAAATCGGGTGCATTCAACTGTTTTTTTCCCTGCTATCTCTGTCATATTGGTCTTTGTTCTTGCAGTCCATTGGTTTTTTCGGTCCTGGGATTGCCCTCGTCGGTCTGACCACTGCAAGGCGTCCTTTAGTTGCATCTGCTTGGCTTAGTTTAGCCGTTGGGCTTAAATCCTTCAGCCACTTGGGGTTTCTTATTAACCTTCAGGTAACATGCAAGATTGTCTATACTGAACCACCTAGAAATCTCGAGTTCCTTGAAATTTATAATGTTCTTTTGTTTCAGGAAATTGCTCCAGAATATGCTGGTGTTCTACATGGTAAAACTTTATATTGGTCTTACTATTGTGAAGTATTGCTTACCAAAACCCTTAACATATATTCACAATGCACACATAAAAAAACATAATACGAATACCTCCCGTAAGATATCTCAACCTTGATTCAGATATAACCAATCATACATTTCAGGCGAAGCTGGGAGGTCCTCCGAGTTCAGAAATCTTCTAAACACTTTGTGCCTTTTCTTGTTTTAGGAATGTGTCTCACAGGTGGGACATTGGCTGCTATAGTTGGGACAGTTGGAGCTGGTTTCTTCGTTGAAGTAATGGGCTCCTTCCAAGGATTTATCATACTTACTTCAATCCTATATTTCTTTTCTGCTCTCTTCTACAACATATATTCAACTGGAGAAAGAGTCAATTTTGATGCGACAGGTCAGTGTTATCCATAATTCCTCTGGTTCTGTTTGTTTGTGAAATTTATCTATTATTCTGTTAATTTTTCAAGGTTTGTATCTAACTCATGTTTTTCTCTATGGATTGATCATTAAATATCGCCAAACATCCTAACAATAGACATGTTCTCCTTCTTATTAGTTTGATGGACCGCAGCAAACTCGATCGATGGAACATGTAGACAGCTATAAATAGAATCAGTCTCTTTCCGAATGTACGAGGAAGTGAATATTCTCCCTCTTGTACAACATATATTTGCGCTTTTCTCTTCTGGTTATGTCATTTTCTCTATCAATGGAACAATGTAGGATTGTTTTCGTGTTCATGAATAAAATGTCTTGTTTCAGGTGCTACCTGAAGGCTGACTTTTCATTTGTACTTTAAAACCTCGAATTCAACTAGTACGGAGGTATGGCTTCCGCTGCTCCTATAACCTCGAATTCAACTGATTTCTTTATATTCTATGATTTTTAGGGTTTTGTGGGAAGCCTTGGTTAAAAGGTTTCTTGTTACTTTTCCTTTATTACTTGGACAAGAAAGAGAATTTATGATCAATGGTCTTTTTTCATGGCTGTTTGAATTAAGCTGTTTGAATTGGTCAAAAATACTTGAAGCATCACAAAGATATATGGGTTTACACACACAAAAAACTCACATGATGAAAAAACTTATTTCATGGGATTGGGCATAAGAAACAATCAGACTTCTGATTCTGAGTATAGTTGGGGCAGTAATTACTATATACGACGGGCGCTCAAAAAAGTAGTAGGGGCCTCTGCTATCTTGTTCTCGAATGGAAAGTCAACTCCACAAGAATGTAGATCTGAACCTTGAGAGAGCATAACATCAGATGGGGAATCTTCTCATAAGTATCTGGAATTCGTTGTTCGGAAGTTTTCAGTTCCACCAATCATCGATGCGGTGAAGGTGATGACAACCTTTCCCGAATTAGACTGTAAGAACGTGATAGCCTTGTTGTCATATGCTAGAAGCCAATGGTCATAAATGACATGATAGCTTCATCCCTCTGATAAGTGTCCCACATTGGAAAATGAGAGGGATTTGGGCCAATATATAAGTAAGGGTCAAACCTCCACTCTTAAGCTAGCTTTTGTGGTGGAGTTAGGGCCCAAACCTTATTAATTGGTATCAGAGCCTAACTCTCTACTTTCCGGTGGGCCTTTGACGGGCCGTGCGGACATGCGGTCGACTCGGTGGTTGTGGGACGGTCGGGAGAGGAACGGTCGGGGATGGACCGAGAAGCCGCCAGTGATCGAGAAGCCGCCAGTGATCGAGAAGCCGCCATCGACCGAGAAGCCGCCAGCGACCAGATTTGCCCCAGCGCCGTGGACGTCGCTGTCTAAAGGGGGCGGTATTGATAAGTGTCCCACATTGGAAAATGAGAGGGATTTGGGCCAATATATAAGTAAGGGTCAAACCTCCACTCTTAAGGTAGCTTTTGTGGTGGAGTTAGGGCCCAAACCTTATTACCCTCACATTCATCTGACTTTATTTCATTTGCTAAAGGTCCATTAGACTGTAAGAATATGAAAGCCTCATCACTTACGTTCATCTGGATTTGTTTCATAGACTAAAGCTAATGTGGCTGAGATATTTCTATGCATTTTCTAGATTGTACGGTTGTTTCATAATGACTGTGTCAATGTTTTTCAAACTCCATGGAAAAACTGTCAGACGGCCCCATTAGAAGGGCGAAAAAGAGAAAAGTTTCTGGTTTAAATAACAGGTATTCAGGAAAGGCTTCTTCCTCTTGCAAAAACCGGATTCTTGGTCATGTAGTTTTCTCCTTTGAGGAGCTTCAGAAGGCAACTACAAATTTCTCTTCAGCTCATCAGATTGGACAAGGTGGTTTTGGAACTGTATACAAGGGAAGGCTTGATGATGGAACTGCTGTTGCTATCAAGCGTGCGAGAAAGGTAAGACAACCTTTTGGGAACTAGGGGTTGTGTCCTATATTGTCTTGTCCATGCTATTATATGATCAAGAGTGTGATGGAAAGGTAAGACCCACCTATGCCTCCATGGCGGGCTGTCTTTTATGGTGACTACCAAGTCTACCATATCAAGCCCACAATTTGGTGTGCTTGATGTGGAGTCATCTTGTGACAGATACCCTACAAAGAAATTATTTAAAATGAGTGTGTGATTGATGATGAAGTGTACAAAGAAGAATCATCTGGAATAACTATCCATGGCTAACCAGCTGAGGTGCTACAGTAGCAATGTTTACTCTGACAATTGCTTGAACAATAAGCTTGACTAGCGAAAGTGAAAATATAACAAAGGAACAAATTGTTTAGAAATCTTCTCTGCGAATATGCCCAAAACTGTAAGTTTTGTTGCAGAACAACTATGGTAGAAGCTGGTTGCAAGAATTCAAGAATGAAATATACACACTATCCAAGATTGAGCACTTGAATTTGGTAAAGCTGTATGGATTTCTGGATGATGGAGATGAAAGGATCATTGTTGTCGAATATGTTGGCAACGGAAACCTGCAAGATTACCTGGATGGTAAGTTGAACAAGAGGCATTCTTTGTGCTTGAATGAGCGAGTGGCTTCTATGATTTCATTGCTAGTCAAGTTGTGGACTACTGTAGTCTTGTCCTTGATCAATGCAGGTTCAATGGGGAACCACCTTGGAATGGCGGAACGGCTGGAGATTGCGATTGATGTGGCTCATTGCTAGTCAAGTTATTTCCTTTTGGTTTTTCATTATTGGGTTACAATATAACTTATATTGTATGGGGTTTGTTATTAGCAAAACCGATGACTGATAACCTAAAGCCAAAAGGTTTTTGCTTACCTTAACATAACAATCAGCTTAGACAACGTTTCTGAATCCAACTTTGCATTGGAAAATTGCAGAAACTCCAATAATTCACAGAGATATAAAGGCAACGAATATCCTCATCACAGGGAAACTCAGAGCCAAGGTAGCAGCTTTGGCTTTGCCCGTCTGATCTGTGAAGATCGTGTTGCCACTCATATTTCGACGCTGGTTAAAGGTTCGGCAGGCTATGTGGACCACAGAGAAGAGTGATGCGTATTCTTTTGATGTTCTGCTTGTGGAGCTTGTCACTGGAAGGCATCCCCATAGAGCCAAAGAGATCATGGAAAGAGGGGCTCACTGTTGAATGCGTATGTACCCTTAGTTCTGTCATTGATTATTCTCTAAAAGTGTCCTGATTATTCCCTAAAAGTGTCCTCAAACCTCAGGTAAACCAGAGGGAACTATTACATTGCTTAGGACCAATGATCAAGCAATACTTCGTTTTGGACATTACGGGGGAGTTGTTGGCTGTTTTTTTTGCTGTTTTCTTGAGTTCATTCAAACATGGGTATGGTTGAGTCCCAGATTGGTTGTGTTTACCAAGTACAGTTCTCACGATCAGATGAGACCCATACACCTATGTTTTCTTGTTCTCATGTTTGATGCAATTTGGCATTTTGTAGCATTCCTACAGAGATGGCAAGAGTTGTGGAATACGAAGTGTGTAATCATGTAAAGAAAGGGTAGTATCTCCTAATCTAAAAGACTACAACCAATTTGCGCTGGTTGTCTAATTGTTCCGAGCGAATCGGACAATTAAGTTTCCGAATTTTTTTATGACTGGTATCACGTGTGTGGTCTAAAGAAATTGTTTGCATCTGATTAAAATCAGGCCACAGGACTATTACTTCCTGAGTTTATTAAAGTTCAGGTGGTATGCCTACCAAGCTATTTTTTTGGGATCTTCAATATCAGCCCTTTTGTTTTTGGTGCAGGCAATTCAGGGACTGCGAGAAAATGAGGTGGCATATGTCTTGCCACTGCCAGATCAGTGAGACCTACGATGAAAGCCTGTGTTGAAATGCTATGGGCAATACGTAGGGAGTTCAGGGAGACACTGCTCTCATCATCAGCCTCTGCTTCTGCTTCCACCTCAACTGCTCCTAACGTCCTCAAATGAGAAATGGAGCCACTATGTGTCTGACCGAGGACAACAAGAAAAGCAGTGAGTCCCTCTCAACTCGATAATCATTCTGATTCTACTTTTAATTAATATGATTACCAGTTCAATGTGCTGTTTTGTTGCGTATTGAGGAAAAAGAAGCTGATGAGTGCTTTGGTTTATATGGTTGGATGTTTTATAAGAGAATAGGAAAAGAAATAAATGATTTGTAAAACAAATGTAATTACTGTGTTTATCATTTTGTCTAATAAGTGATTTTTCTTTCTTATGTATTGTGATTGCTAACTTTGGTGCATTTATAAACGTAAATATATCTAATGAATTGCTTTCCATAATTCTGATTGTTAGGGCTTATCAAGTTCCTTTTAAAAATTTATTCAAACAAAAGAAGATTTTAAAACCATTGGTCGCTGTCTTGTCTTCTCTCCTCTTTTAAAAAAGTCAAAGTATACACGATTCAGTGTTCTCCAATGATTTCTCATGGTTTATTCCTGTTGACCAAGTAACTTAACAAAAATAATAAGAAAAAAACGTGGAAGACCAATCTAGTTTTTTGAATTGGTCAAAGATTGACAATATAACAAAGATATATATATATGTGTGTGTGTGTGATATGTAAGTATGTTTTGCTTGGATTTAAAATTACAGGAATGAAGGTTACATGAGGGCAACAAACTTCATTGGTTGGACTTTGGCCATAAGAAATTATCAAATTTCTTCGTAGCGATGTACTAGAAGTTTGCTGATGAGGAGAAAAGCCCCAACTCCTCTCGTCCTCTTCCCCAGTGGAAAACATCAGAATTTAGACTCTGAGTATAATTGGAGCAGTGTAGCTTCTGATCACCAGGAGAGGAAAACCTCCGTATTCAGTGTTATCAGAAGGGCTGCGAAGAAAGTAGCAGGAGTCTTTGCGTTTGTTTTCTCAGGACCAAGAAAGTCAACCTCAGAAGAATGTAGGTCTGAACCTGGAGATAGCCTCTCAGTCGACAGAGAATCTTCATGTAAGTTTCTGATGTCTGATTGATCTAAGTTTTATTGTTACGTAATCCGTAGATGTAGTGAAGAATCTTAACATCCTTTCCCCAGTTACCAACTACGCGTTTAGAATTAGATCCTTGAAAGAATTGGCGATATATCATCGTAGTGGCTCTCTTTATATTATTGAAAGCCAATGGACTAGAAGGACATAGTAGCCTCACCTTTCAGATTCATTAAACGTTTCGTTCACTCTTTGATGGCGGTATTTCTATGCATCTCTACACTGTATGACAACTGTCTTTTCTTTCCCTGTATATGCACAGTTTCAAGTTCAACAGATTATTTGTCGGACAGCTATGTCGTAAGAGCAGCAAAAAGAAACTTTTCAGGCCCATATAGATTCTCAGGTTCAAGATCAAAGTACTCTGGAAAAAGTTCTTCTAGCAAAACTTGGCACTTCGGCCCTGTCATTTTCTCCTTCGAGGAGCTTCAGAAAGCAACTGAAAATTTTTCTCCGGCTAATCAGATTGGTGAAGGTGGTTTTGGAACTGTGTACAAGGGAAGGCTCCATGATGGAACTCTTGTTGCTATCAAGCGTGCCAGAAAGGTAACACTACTCTATGTAGTTACTAGAAGTTGTGTTCTGAATGGTCTTTGCCTATAATCACAATGTTAGCTTTGAAAGTGAAAGTGAAGCTATTTTTGATAATATCGAAGTGATTGAGCCGACGCTTTTGCAAAGATGTCAAAATAACTGAAATTCTGTGTGCAGAACAACTATGGCAGAAGCTGGTTGCTAGAGTTTAAGAATGAAATATATACACTGTCAAAGATTGAGCATATGAATTTGGTAAGGCTGTATGGTTTTCTGGAACATGAAGATGAAAGAGTTATTGTTGTTGAGTATGTGGGCAACGGAAACCTGCGAGAACATCTCGATGGTAAGTTAAGCAAGATGTAATTCTTTCTTCTTCTTCTTCACCTTCTATGGTATAGACAATTGTTAGTCTCTAGTTTTCTAGGAAAATATCAGCAAATTTGGTAAAGCTAAGTATTTGGATTGGAGAGTTCTCAACTTTTGGTTCAGGCAAACAAATTATTTGTTCACAAACACGCCAATGGTTTCCATCCTAATGACTGGAAGTGAAATTTTTTTAAGCAGTGTAGTATTTATGGTTGACACAGGTTCAAAGGGGAAGCGCCTCGAAATGGCAGAACGTCTGGAGATTGCAATAGATGTAGCTCATGCAATCACCTATCTTCACACCTATACAGGTTCTCAGTTAATTTCGTATTAGATTATATTCATATGATTTACGTGTGCTTATGGTAGAAGAACTGCGTATGACTTCTATATTGATATACTGTATATCGTATACAGATACTCCAATAATACACAGAGATATAAAAGCGACGAATATACTAATCACGGAGAAACTCAGAGCGAAGGTGGCAGACTTTGGGTTTGCAAGGCTAGTGTCGGAAGATGAAGGCGCCACTCATATCTCAACACAGGTAAAAGGTTCTGCAGGTTACGTGGATCCTGATTACCTCCGGACGTTTCAACTCACCGAGAAGAGCGACATTTACTCTTTCGGTGTACTTGTTGTGGAGCTTGTCTCCGGAAGGCGCCCCATCGAGTCAAAGAGACCTCGTAAAGAAAGGCTCACTGTTAAATGGGTGGGGAGGCTTTATATTCATATTCATATGATCAATTGATGGGCTCATTCATTATTGCAAGTGAGACCCATGAGCCATGATGATGATGATGATGATGTAATGCACAGGCGATGCAAGGACTAAGAGACGATGAAGTGGTCCTAGTAATGGATCCTGTCCTGAGGAGATCACAAGCATCGATTTCAGTGGCCGAGAAGATGATGAGGCTGGCACGGCAGTGTCTGGCCTCGGCCAGATCGGACAGGCCTTCCATGAAAGAGTGCGTCGAAATGCTTTGGGCCATACGGAGGGAGTTCGGGGAGGTCTTCCGATGATCCAAGACGACGAGAATATCACTCCTTAACCACCACCTCTGTTTCTGGTAAAAGTATTTGTGTTTACTTTGGTTGGATCTGGGATACATATATACATGTATATATAAACGTTCACGAGACCGATGTATTTGTGAAGTGTAACCCTGTTCATGATATCCTGCTTTATGAACATGCGCATATAAATATACCTTCTGAGATACATACACTACACACAGAGCCTATATATAAGAGCACTCGGATCTTCACGTCACCAGAGAGCTTCATGGCTCGTTTGGACTGACGGAAAACGAAGGTTACCTGAAACACGATATATATATATATATAATTACAAACTGCAACTGATGATGAGATGTCAAGCAAACTTAGGCTTAGGCATGGAAGAGCCAGTGGAATTGGAGTGAATAGGGCCAAGTTTCTGAATCCAATGTTTCAAGCCTTTCTTAGGGTCCCTGCAGAGTTGGGTTGGCATCAGATTGAGGTTCCCATCTCGGCCGAGTGACTCTTTGAACTGTTCGAGCACTTTCACTATCTGCCAGAACTCTGGCCTCTTTTCCGGTTGCAGCCTGCCGGGCATTCCTCCGGCATTCTCGGTCTCATGTTCTAAAATTCAACACCAAATTCCTTTAAACCTTCTCGAACTATTATAAGCTCCTCAAGTACTAAACAATCATACCTTTACTTGTCTGAAGGGAGAGAGAAATTTTGCTTACCTTGTGCACCACTGCAAAAGCAGCTTGAATCGGATTCATGTCCTCATACGGGATTGACCCCGCTACCATTTCCCATAGAACAAGCCCAAAGCTGTAAACATCGGCTTTTCGCCCATATGGTTTCCGCTTTATCATTTCAGGCGCCATCCACCTATAAGTTCCCGGGTCATCAGCCAACAGATCACAGTACTCCTCCTCGCACGCTATGCCAAAGTCAGCAATCTTCAAGAGGAAGTCATCATCGATCAACACGTTTTCTGGCTTAAGATCCCGATGAACTACACGTTGTGAGTGAATGTATTCCATTCCTTTCGCAATGTCAAGTGCAAACGCGATTAACTTTTGCAAAGGAAGGCTCTTATTCTCAAGCTTGTGCAGATACGACCTCAGAGATCCTTCAGCTAAATACTCAGTGATGATACAATATACAGGCGGATCTTTGCACGCTCCAACAAACTGTAAAGGACAAGCCAAACGAACAGTGAAGAAGATGTTTTCAGGAATAAAAAAAATAAGAACTTTGCCATTTGCCAAAGGTTAACTGGTTAAGACACTGCCAAAAGATTCACAAGGATGAGGACCCTCTAACTAGACATTACAAGTATCCCTACGACACAAGGAATAAGGGGACATATTTATCACCTTAATAACATTTGGATGGCGCAACCGGGACAATAGGGTGACTTCGATGGTAAACTGTTTCTCCAAACGAGCTCTCAAGCATCCATTTTCGTCGTCATCAGGCACAGTGATGAGCTTCACAGCAACCGCCTCATCATTGTATTTCCCATGGTAAAGACGGCTATGTAAACCATGTGCAAACCTCAGGCCAAGAAACAGCTTAGACATATTGATGTTGTATTCATCGGCCGTGTCCACAGCATTAACCCTACGACCTCCATGATCGAAATATTTTGTCCATGCCATTTCCTTCTTGCTCTTAACCCTCTCTTGGATCTTCAGCGTACCTAGATCCCTAATCGGACTCGCATGCGATGGAGACCGTGAACTGAATGATTTCTTTTCAAGGGAATCTTTGTGGAACCACTTCACCTTCATTCCCTTCTCTGATTCTGTTCTTCTCGGGTGTGGAGTAGAAAACCTCTTACGATCAGACCTCGCTTTCCTAAACGTATCAGTCAGAACAGTCTGTGGCGATGGAGATACCGACCTCTGTTTATTAGTGACTGGATTAGTCTGGATAGCCGAACCAATAACGTATCTGTCAGCTTGCGAGCACGCTGGATTCTGCTGAGTCCCTGAGCCGCCAGAAAGCAACTTCAGATCCGATGACGATGTCCCAGGTCTTGTCTTCATTCCAGAAATCCTCTCTTGGTTTACGGTAAACGGGACAGAGGTTAACCTCGATGAATCCATACGGTGGCAAACCGTATGAGAGAACTTGGTCCTCCGAATCCAAGAACTAGCCTTTTCATCCATATCTACACCAAACACCTAAAACAGATGCTTGAAAGGCTAAGACTTCTCAGAGCAAAAATCAAATCAAATTCTGAGCCTCCTTCAAGTACGACAATCAGGCGAACCCATGAAGACGAATGAGATGACTCGCAATCCTCAACAATCTCATCTTGACCAAAACCATAGTTCCTTCAAACCCGTGAAAACCCATCTCTATCATCCTCAACTATCGATCGACAACCCTCGAAAACAATACTGAAACATCTCTGGAAAAGAAAACCCAAAGGCCTTTATAGCTCAAAATTTCGCTGCCTTCAAAGCCGACTCATCCGTCAAATTGTTGAAAACCCCCTGGATTACACCAAACATACGCCCGATAAACAATCAACCGAATCACGTAACAACCACCAATACAGTAAAAATTCAAAAAAGAAAAAGTCAACAGAAGCAATCGAGGATGATGATTGATGATGACGGTGGAATCCAATAGCGAATAAGAAAAAGGAAAAGTGGCTCGTTTGGACTGACGGAAAACGAAGGTTACCTGAAACACGAAATTGACAAAGACATAGCTCATGAGATTGGGGAAACAAACAGGAGCCAGGCGATCGGAATCCGGCGGAGGGATAGCTGGAGGGAGAAGGGATCGACGGAGAAAACGGGAGCTAAAGGGGGACCATTTGGCGTTTCGAGTGCTCGACCTTTGACGAACCCTGTCCTATTACGTCTTTGGAGGAAAAAAAAAATCTATGGAGAAGGGAAAAAAAATATGGGCGAATTTTCGAGGAATTGTGGCCCCGTTTGTCAACATCACCTATATGCTTGTTATATTCCCTAATGGTAAGAAAGTTTAATTGTACAAAACTTTCGGAATCCAAGAGCGTTTGTAGTCCAACGGTTAGGATAATTGCCTTCCAAGCAATAGACCCGGGTTCGACTCCCGGCAGACGCATTTTTATATTTTGCTCGTCTGTCGTTGATCGACGGAAGGGCTTTCGTTCGGTTTACTGGTAGGACATTTAGGCCCTTATAGTTCACAGATAAGCCCAATAAAGGCCCATATTGAGTTGTAGCCCAAACCCGGTTTGTATTTGGTCTAATTCGTGTCCCCTTACTAACGCACGCCTTGCTTCTAAAGCCGAGCAAATGCTCAAACCGGAGAAACTGACAAAGTTCATCTGCAGTCGTTTCCCTCTCTCCAAAACCAGACAACAAGAGCAAGCAGAGCGCTATATCACGAGGAATTTGCTTAACTTTCTCAGAAAATGCGTCACAGTGAACCAGTTGCGAGAAATTCACGCCCAGATGTCGTTAAACTCCGTCGAGAAACCCAACTTTCTGATTCCCAAGGCCATCGATGTTGGGGACTCCTCTTACGCCTTCCTTCTCTTCTCCGCCATGGAAGAACCCAACGAGTATTGCTTCAACTTCATGATCCGAGGTCTCGCGACCAAGTGGCACAACCACGGCGAGGCTCTCTCTTTGTATCGCCGGATGAGGTTTTCCGGGTTAAAGCCAGATAACTTCACGTACCCTTTTGTTTTCATCGCCTGCGGGAATCTCTCGCAGTTTGATGTCGGAAGATCGGTTCATTCCTCGGTGTTCAAAGTTGGTTTGGAAAGTGATGATCACATATATCATTCTTTGATCACAATGTATGCCAGGTGTCGACAACTGGGTTATGCGCGAAAGGTGTTCGATGAAATTGCTGACAAGGATCGAGTTTCGTGGAACTCGATGATTTCTGGGTATTCCCAGACGGGTCATGCGAATGATGCAGTGGATTTGTTTAGGAAAATGAAGGAGGAAGGATTTGAGCCTGATGAGAAGACGTTGGTTAGCGTTCTTGGTGCCTGTGCTGATGTGGGAGATTTAAGACTTGGGAGACTGGTAGAGGATATTGCTGCGGAGAAGAATATGGAGATTAGCACCTATCTCGGATCTGCGTTGATCAGTATGTATGGATCGTGCGGGGAATTGGGTTCCGCGAGGAGGGTCTTCGGTGAAATGAGGAAGAAGGATCGTGTCACTTGGAATGCTATGATCACCACGTAAGTCAGTTTATCCAATAAGTCCGAATTTTTATCCTTTTCAATGTGAAGTATCTTGTTGAGAAATCTGGAGGAAGATCATAACGTTTGGTTCACTGATTAAATCTCAGATATGGACAAAATGGAATGTCAGAAGAAGCAATAAGTCTGTTCCGTGATATGAAAGAGACCGGAGGAGTCTTCCCGGACGCAATCACATTAGCTTCTGTACTAAGTGCATGTTCTTCAATCGGATCCCTTGAGTTAGGGAAACAGATCGAGACATATGCATCGGAAAGAGGCTTCGAACACAATATCTATGTCGCAACTGGACTTATCGACATGTACGCCAAGTGTGGTAGCTTGGACGATGCCCTGAGAGTATTTGAAGCAACCCCGGCCAAAAACCAAGCATCATGGAACGCCATGATCTCTGCTCTCGCCTTTCATGGCCGAGCCCATGAAGCCATTTTGCTTTTTGAACATATGACAGTTCCCCCGGACAACGTTACCTTCATCCAAGTGCTTTCTGCCTGCGTTCACGCAGGTCTGGTCGATCAGGGCCGTCGGCTATTCCATCAGATGAGCTCTTCATTTGGGTTAGTCCCGAAAATCGAGCATTACTCAAGCATGGTCGATCTTCTCTCCCGTGCGGGGCTATTGGAAGAAGCATGGGAGTTCATAGAGAGAATGCCGGAGAAACCAGATGGGACCATGTTAGGGGCAATGCTTGGAGCATGCCAAAAGAGGAATAACATTGAGATCGGGGAGAAGGCAATGAGGATGTTGCTGGAGATTGAGCCCTCGAATTCGGGAAATTACGTAATCTCGTCGAAGGTTTACGCTGATCGAAGATGTGGGATGAGTACGCAAAGATGAGGGCTTTGATGAGAGAAAAGGGTGTCCCGAAAACCCCTGGCTGCAGCTGGATCGAAATCAGAAGTGGGGAGATAAAGGAGTTTCATGCTGGCGACGATTTGCAAGATGAAGATGTCGACTTGTTGTTCTGTGTACTGATTGAGGAGATGAAGAGGGAAGGATATGTTCCTCTTGCAACTTATTAGTCAGTGCCTTTGTCGTATCAGCTTTTGTTGTATAATCTCCTCTTAAATACTATTCTTTCTGAAACAACAAGCCAAATCCATCTCTCAGGGCTTTTTAGTCACTCTTTACTAATAATTCTTTCAGTTCACATCACTGTCTCTCTGAAGTTAATTGTGATGATCGATTTGATACTAATATTATGCCACTGAGTTAGTTCTTGATCTTGGGTTGGAGTGAAACAACAGAGAGGCTACAATATGAAATGAAAACTGCTTGTCGTCCATGGAAACTAAGGAGTTGAGAAACCGACACACATATCTATCACGGCTGAGAAGAACGGCACGCAGTCTATACTCTCGGATCTATTTGTAATTAACTAAAATTGTGTGTCATTTGTGAATAACTTCTGTTCCCTTCGTTTTCCCCAGTCGCCGAACGCGGTGGTGAGAGAGAGCGGGAGGGGGAGAGAGAGAAGCAATGGCGATGAGCCTTACAAAAGCAGCTTCTAAACTCGAAACGCTAGGTGTCTTCAGAGTCTCCTTCAATCTACTGAGGAACTTCTCTGCTTCGGCTTCTCCGTCGAGCCAAAACCCTAGTTCCGCATCGAGTAAACCCAAACGGAGAAAGAAGAAGAACCTGTTCGAAGTGGCTCAGTTCTTACCCAACTGGGGAATCGGTTATCATATGGCTAAGACTCACTGGACCGGCGTCTCATATGAGATCACTAAGATCAATCTCTACAAGGTCTTGCCTTTTTGCTTTTCTTCTCGATCGTGAATTTCTTCTCTTTCCATGAAAAACGTACGAAAGCTAAGTAGTTTATCACATGGGTTCTCGTTTTTCCTGGTATATGTTATTATATAGTCGATTGTTAGTCGAGTTTCTGATGAATTTGCTATCTTCTTATTCGATTCCTGACTATGTTAGACACTACATTTGCGCATTTCGCTTTCTACATGGTCGGCAGATGTTGACTCATGCTTTCGATGAATGTGATGCTTGTTTCCCGAGGGAATGATGCATCAGAAGGAAGGAAGCTTTTTGGCATACGGTTCTTGATTTTATTACAATATGTGCAATAAGCGAAATCCTTGTTTCTACACACAGTGGGGTTTTGTGTTTGTTATGGGGCTTTGTTTGATTTTGGTTTGAACTGCAGGATGGAAGACATGGCAAGGCTTGGGGGATCGTTCACAAGGACGGTGAGTTTTGTTAATCAGTCATCTTCTCTAGTTGAAATGTACATCATTTTTATCTGTCGTACAATGTCTACTTTCAGCTCGTTGCCGTTGAATGTTCTTTACAGCTTCTCGTACAAACAAAACACAATTTGCCCTTTTGCTATATTGATGTTGTAAAAGTTTGAAAAAGAAAAAGATTCCAAAAACATTTCCAATGAAACTTGCATACTGTTTAGGTGTATCACCCGAGAGATGAGATCTACGAAATGTGGTGGATTGGCATTAGAATTCTCACAGTTTTTAACAATGCAATTGTATCTTTTGGCGGTTTCAAGTCCACCGGTTTTCTTGTCCGTAGAATTTTGTGTGGCATATCTCCTCGCCATGAAACTTGTATAGGCAGCTCCTCCATTAGACTAACAGATGATGCTCGATGCAGGATCGCCCCCTGCAGAAGCTCCCAAGAAGATAAGCGGGGTTCACAAGCGCTGTTGGAAGTATATCCCAAATCTGTCAAAGCCTGCAAACACAATGAACTCCATTAAACCCTCGGAAAGTTCCTCAGCCCCTGATATTATCCAGGCTGCTTGATCCACCAAATCTTCAGTCATGGGTACCGATTGTTGTCATGTTTTAGTTCTTTTCTTTCCAAGATACAGTCTCTGAAACCCCCATAGTGCGGTAGTGAAAGATGATTTGATTTTGCCATTTTTCGCAATGTATCTTGGTGAGATCATTCATCCATAAACTTTAAAATCACCAGTGGTTATGTTAATCATTTGAACTTTCTCTTAAACTGGAATCGCAAAGTTTCTACATCAATCTTGGCTTCTTGTGCTGGGTGTTGAATGTACTCTTGTAGTTGCTGAAGCTTTTATAATTGTAGTAATTGTCTCTCTCTGTGTTTCGTCTTAACATGATGTGCTTAGATCCTAAAAACATTGGCAACAATGGAGGGCTTTCAAATGTTGATTTGGGTCGCAGCCAAGTCCCAAACCCTCAATAAAGCATCCGACTTTTTGTAAAGTTTCAATTTTTTTTTTTTGTTCAACTACTAATTATCCCGTGAAGACCTTATGGATTTTTATGCAAATTACGTGTATCTTTACTTTGTTTTGGCACAATTTGTATTTCTTTATATCATAGGAAAGTTTCCTTCGAATTTTCGGACATAACAAATAATAGATGAATTATTATAAAAAAATTAGGCGTTAACGCCAGCTTTTTTCCTTCTTTATATAAAGGTCGTGCCTTTCCCCATTTTTCCTATTCTTCATTCCCAAAGCACTAGGCTTTCTCCCTCCTCCCCTTTTCAAATTTCAAAATCCCGAGTCCCTTGAAACCCTAGGTTTCTCAAACCCATTCTGTGAACGAAGATGCGTGAGATTCTTCACATCCAGGGAGGCCAATGCGGTAACCAGATCGGTGCCAAGTTCTGGGAGGTTATCTGTGCCGAGCACGGGATCGATCCCACCGGTCGCTACCAAGGCGACTCCGACCTGCAGCGCGAGCGCATCAATGTCTACTACAACGAAGCTAGTTGTGGGAGGTTTGTTCCTCGCGCGGTCCTCATGGACTTGGAGCCTGGAACCATGGACAGCCTCAGATCTGGCCCTTACGGTCAGATCTTCCGCCCCGACAACTTCGTCTTCGGCCAATCCGGTGCTGGTAACAACTGGGCCAAGGGGCACTACACCGAGGGAGCGGAGCTTATCGATTCTGTCCTCGATGTTGTCCGTAAAGAGGCCGAGAACTGTGACTGCCTGCAAGGTAAATTGATTTTGTGCTTGCAGTTTTCACTTCCTTGCGGTTTTCCTCTGTATGATTGTGGTTCTCGTCTTAGATAGATTCCATTTCGGCCGCTATTCCAGTTTTAACGTTTGATTTTGCTTGAATCGCTCTGCAGGATTTCAGGTTTGTCATTCTTTGGGAGGAGGAACTGGATCTGGGATGGGAACGCTCTTGATCTCAAAGATTCGGGAAGAGTATCCAGATCGGATGATGATGACTTTCTCTGTGTTTCCGTCTCCTAAGGTGTCTGACACTGTCGTGGAGCCCTACAACGCCACCTTGTCCGTTCACCAGCTTGTTGAAAACGCAGATGAGTGCATGGTTCTCGACAATGAGGCCTTGTATGATATTTGCTTCAGGATCTTGAAGCTCACAACTCCCAGCTGTAAGTTGTCTTCGTGCTCCTGCTTTCCGTGTTAACTCCTCTTGTACTCTATACTAGTTAATATGTCCTGTGTCAAAGCTGTCATGCCTTATTGGTCTGCCTCAAATATGCTTTTGGTTTGTTGGTTGATGCTCTGATCATATTGCCAATATGCCCTTTCGTTATAACTGGCTTGCGCTTGTAGATGTTGAATCTACTTTTGTCTGCTGCATAACACTTCCCACACAAACATTGGTCTTTTTCTCTTGCTCTTATCTTGTTTGCTGTTTATTTAGGTTCCTTTACTGTATATGTAAAGCAGTAAATATGCCTTACAAAGACACTAGAGATCACTTATCTGACTCATTCCATTGTTGCAGTTGGTGACTTGAACCACTTGATATCTGCCACAATGTCTGGAGTGACATGCTGTCTGAGATTCCCGGGTCAACTCAACTCTGACCTCCGCAAACTTGCCGTGAATCTCATCCCGTTCCCTCGTCTTCACTTCTTCATGGTGGGTTTTGCTCCTCTCACCTCACGTGGGTCTCAGCAATACAGGTCCCTCACGGTTCCCGAGCTCACCCAGCAAATGTGGGATGCCAAGAACATGATGTGTGCAGCTGACCCACGACATGGCCGCTACCTGACCGCCTCAGCCATGTTTCGTGGGAAGATGAGCACAAAGGAAGTGGATGAGCAGATGCTGAACGTTCAGAACAAGAACTCGTCCTACTTTGTGGAATGGATCCCCAACAACGTGAAATCAACGGTATGTGATATCCCACCAACGGGATTGAAGATGGCTTCGACGTTCATCGGGAACTCAACGTCGATCCAAGAGATGTTCAGGCGGGTGAGCGAGCAGTTCACGGCCATGTTCAGGAGGAAGGCTTTCTTGCATTGGTACACGGGTGAGGGAATGGACGAGATGGAGTTCACAGAGGCGGAGAGCAACATGAATGATCTGGTGTCCGAGTACCAGCAGTACCAGGACGCCACTGCCGAGGAAGAAGGAGATTATGAGGATGAGGAGGGAGAGTACCAACAGGAAGAGGAGTATTAATTAAGCAGACCTTAAGAGAGGAACTCAACTCTGTTGTGTATTGTGTTTTTGCTTCTAATTTCCATCCTCTGTCTGAAACAAACAACCGGCAATTCTATTTTCCTGCGTTTCTGATTTCTGTCGTTTATCAGATAGATATTTGATTATAAAAATTCAAAATATACTGTAAAAATCAAAATCCTAAAATATGATGGGCCTGAAGGCCATCGCCCCAGAGGCCCAAATTATGATTAAAGTCCATCTCCATTTCTGGGCTACGGCCCACAATAAAATATACATTCGGAGTCTCGACTGACAAGAAGGTTTCACGTGCAATGATCATTTCTCTATTTTTGTGTGTTTTATGCAATTTTATTAGCGTTTTACTAAAATTAATCTAAACAATTTACTACTACTATCTTTATATTATTATATAGATTACCGTAATTAATTTTTCAAAAAAAAAATAATTATATATAGAGATACAAGATGAAGATACTATAACCAACAGACAACAAAAGATGACGTCAAGTAAATTTATGTTAATTAAAAAATGAATACCAATGGTTGGTAGATATATTTGTACTTGAGTACCGTTTTCTAAATAGAAGAATTCTCCATTTGAAAAAAATACATGAAAATTTTTCCAACTCATAATTTGATATAATATTAATTCATAAATTTATAGATATATTTTTTTATTCTCGAATTTGTATTTTTTAATACAGTAATTAATGAATATGTATTTTTTAATATAGAAATTCCTAAACTTATATTTTTGAATATAGTAATTTTTAAATTTTGCTTTGATCAACTAGTAATATGGATATATTTTTTCATAAATTAATATATACCAAATTATAAGTTTAAGAATTTTCAGTTATTTTTTTCTCCTACATTTACACTCATAAATGAATTATATTATTCCTTTTTTTATTTCCAAATAATATATCTTTTTCATTTATCGAAGGGTCCATACCAAACGCAATTCACCTTCCAGACATTTTTTACGCCACGCGCGTGTTCGAGTCCCTGCTTTTCGTTTTACGGATTTTGGCCAATTTTCGTTGGCAAAATAGGGCGCGTTTGAAATACGCGCAGATGGTGCGTGTGGTTGTTTGTATTACTATTTCTATGAATTTGTAACCAAACTGGGTCTATATTAAGAGCCCACCTGGTCGTATTTCAAAACTTTAATGCTAGGCCCACTTGTACCACAAATTAGGCCCTTTTTTTCATTTTTAATATATATATATTTCTGTTTTTAAGATATTTAAATTAGTTTTTGATTGTCTAATTAAAAAACCAATTATAATTTTGACATTAGTATCTACGTCAAAATTCTATATATACATATCCATATATATATATATGTAAATCATTTTTCTATTTTTTGGTTTTCGTATTCTCATCCCTTTTGAACCATCCACCGTCGCATGAAATTTAATTAATAAAATAAACACCACTAAAAATTGAGAATTTAGTCTTTTCATGCCATGATGTTTAAGTTAATTCAACAAGTGTAAGATTTGTGAAAAGAAAATAATTTCTTTTGCTTCCAATTAATGAATTTAAATAGTTAGAGTTTCATATTTATTGTAGAATGGTTAAAAAAATTTGTTTTCCAACTTTATGTTTCATATATTTTATCAGTTATATTATAATAATTCGTAAAACCTTTTAATTTTATCATGAAAATAGTTTTGAAAGGTTCAAATGCCATAAAAGTCGCAAATTAATGAATAGCTTAACCAACGGTTGGTAGATATTTTTTTTACTTAAAATTTTCAATTGCCATGAATTATTTATTTATGATACTGTTTTCTAGATAGAAGATGCTGCATTTACACTCATAAGTGAATTTATTATTCATATTTTTTTTTATTTCCAAATAATATATTTTACGCATTTATCGAGGGGTCCAAACCAAACCATAATAATTTATACTTTTCAGACATTTTTTTTCGTCACGCGCGTTTTCGAGCCCCTCCTCTCCAGCAAAATCGGGCGCGTTTGTAATACGCGCCAATGGTGCGCGTGGGTCTTCGTATTATTTCTCTGTGGGTCTATATTGGAGCCCACCGTAGTCGTATTTAAGAACTTTAGGCCCAATGGTACTGCAAATTTGGCCCAAAATTTTGCCCACCATTTTTTCTTGCTTGGATTTTTAAGATCTTTAAATTAGTTTCTGATTGGTGGCATGAAAAAAATAATCGTAATTTTGACCTTACTATCTACGTCAAGATTATGTACACATATACATACATATATATATATATATATATATTATTTTCCATTTACTTTCTATTTTTACGTTTTCGAATTCTCATCCCTTTCTAACCATCCACTGTCGCATGAGATTTAATTAATTAAATAAACCGCACGAAAATTTGAAAACGTAAGTCTTTTCATATTCAAAAGCCATGATGCGGTTGGTCCAATATTATCGCATTTATGTATAGTATTCAACCCCCCCTCTCCTCTCTCCCTCGGTTAATTAAGGGGCACAATGCTTAAATTAATTCGACAAATGTAAGCTTTGTGAAAAGAAAATAATTTTGATTGTTTCCTAATAATGAATTTAAATCGTTAAAAGTTTCATATTTATTGTCGCATGCTAAAGGTCCCATTAGTTAGTAATAGCCGAATCAAGATAATAAATGCATAGTTTTGAGTTTAATACTAAACTAATCAGCGTTTTATATCATTCATTGATCTTTATTTTTTCCAACTTTATCATAAGCTAAATTTTTTTGTCATCGCACGCATATTTAATTTAATTTTTTTGCAATTTTAATAATATATATATATATATATATATTCTCTAAAAAAGGGTAAGTTTCCGCTAAGCCAACGTTGTTAAATTCTGACACCACCCCTGACATTGACAGAGATATGAATTCTACTCTCTTTCTCCGGACACTTTCGTTATGGCCTCGTAATTTTTCCATATTTTCAATTTCAACTCATCTTTCTGTATTTGTCAGTTAAACCCATATATCGGAGTTTTCTTACCGACATTGGGGTGCTCGAGTTTAGCATTTTCCGTTAATTGAAGAACGAACAGCATTCGGGTTTATTTAATTTTCTAATTGTAAGATATTGACAAATAACATTATCATTCAGCAAAAAACAATTGAATCTTCGACATTTATGACAAAATTAAGGGTTATAACAAGTGCAAATTGAAACTAGAATCTGAATTTGGAATCCGTACCACGGGATCTCACAATGTTGAGGAACTTGGTTGAGATATATATTCCAAACTCGAGGGAGACAAAAACAAGAAAAAGGAACAGAAGCTGCTCTCTTGTCCAAAGGCTCAGCCATCTCTTTCTCTTTCCCCCAACATCTGTCTGCTAAAAATGCATTAAACCCTCGAAGACTCCTCTTTGAAACAACTCAAACCTGAGCTTTCTTCTCCTTCTTCTTCTTTTTTTTTTTTTTGGTTTTTCAGTGAAGTTCTTTTTTTTTTTTCTACTTTTCTTCTCGCAAACCCCATGACCCTTTGTTCCTCCTGCTTTAATCCTCAAGAAAAATGCCTGCTTTCAGATCTCACCACGGGGACTTGCCGTACTCCGGCGAAATCGGCGCCGCTGGAGACTTCTCTGACATCGATTCCTTGTCGGATTTGGACCTGGAGAGCGGCGGCGTATCGCCAGTAAAGCTGCATTCAAGTGGTAAGAAGAAGAGGAGGAGGAAAAAGAAGAGCAAAGGCGGGAGAGATTGCAGGATCTGTCATCTGTCTCTGGGGGATAGCAATGGATGTAGTGAAGAAGTTGATGACGGGGAAGAGGAAGAAGAAGAGGAAGAAGATGAAGAGGAAGAAGGAGAAGAAGAGTGCTATGGGTTGCCTTTACAGTTGGGTTGCGCTTGCAAAGGTGATTTGGGTATTGCTCACAGGAAGTGTGCTGAAACTTGGTTCAAGATCAAAGGAAACTTGTAAGTACTCATCAAAATCTGACAATTTCCTAGCTCTTGTCATGTTCCTGGAAATTGTACAACACTGGATGATTGTTTTCGAGTGATGATGCTTTGTGAATTACAAGGTCTTGTTCTGAATCATAGAGCGTGGAACTTTTATGAAAAAAATCTTGGCTTTATAATTGCGAGTCTTTTCGTTTTGCTTTCCTCTCTTTTTTCTCTTGAAAACCAGGAGATGATTTTACCCAAGTGATGGCCTCTTTTGAAGTTGGAACCTGTTGGTTGAATCCTTCAATTAACTTGTGTTCCATGTCTTGTCTTGTCGATTTATATCATGTTCTTGTTCCCTTACAATCCTGTTCATCAGATGGTTGTGTTGTGTGTTGAATATTGATGCGTTTCAAACCCATTTCAGGGATTTCTGCAACAACTTAAAACTGGCTTATTAGTTGATTTATTCAATTAGCTCATGTTTTGTTTCTTAGGTTCCACCCTTTTTCCCTTGGAAATCTGATTTGTCGTCTGAGAAATGATATGTTTCGGTGCCCGTTTCTGCAGTTGTGCTAAGAGATCTGTAGTTCTATGCATATGTTATTTTGGTCTCTTGATTCGACGCTTAAGACTTGCTATTCATAGACAGCAGTTATCATATATAGAAATGCAATTATGATTGTTCAGTACTCAATGGTCAAAGAAACTCCAGAATCAGTTGGACTTAGAACAGAAGTAACCTTTTACTTAATCTAGTTTCAGTTTAGATAAACTCCTGTTTGTCTGTTATTCCTGTTGCATGACACATTTATCTCTGCATTAACTGTGATGCCATTGATGCATTCTTGTTCATAACCCCTCGTGAACCAACTCAGAACATGCGAGATATGCGGTGAAATGGCTCTAAACATGGCTGGTGAACAGTCGAACCAGGGGGACTCGGCCATTTCTGATGCACAAACAGGAGTCGGAGCACAGCCTCTGATTCAGACGGAGTCGCAGGGAATCTGGCATGGTCGCCGTGTTATGAACTTCTTACTTGCGGGTATGGTCTTCGCCTTCATAGTCTCTTGGCTTTTCCACTTCAAAGTCCTTAGGTGAACCGATTTTTGTTCATTGGATTGTCCAGCTTCAATGTTACGGCAACCCCGAACGTTCACATGTTTTGTCACTGTAAAACTGGTACCCTTTTGTGAGCTCACATCTTGTATAATATCTGCTCTGTCCTGTTGTCAATGAAGATTACATCTGTCTGTCTCTTGTGATCAAAGTGTGAAGCTTTTGTGTTTATTATTTATTACACTCTGGTTTTAAACTTATGATGTTCAGTTCAGAGAAGAAAAGACAAGATAAGATGTTCACCGCAACAAACATGCACCAAATATAAATGTGATTCCATTCATTCATTGCCGTGAATTGCAATCACAGTTGAATTGATCTATTCAACTTGCAAACCTAAAGTTCAAACGAGCTCTCAGCTCAAATGCCAAAAAACCGAAACAAAGCTGAAGAAAAGTTCAAAGTGAGAAAGACAAAATCAGCAACAGAGGATCAAAGATGAAGCCTATACAGTTTGAGGTTTCAGGTTCTGCTATGTTTCTTAGCTTCCAAGAAAGTTCCGTCTTTTAGGGTTTCGCGGGCGTCGTTGTCCATTCCGAGGCTGAAGAGAGCGGCAGCCTGAAGATAGAAAGCAGTTGGCCACTCAGGCGACACTACTTGTGCCTGCATTGCATCTCCAAGAGCTTCTTGTGGCATTTCACACATCAGATAACACAAACACCGCCTTCCAAATACAGTCGGTGATACCATTGTACCACCCTCGATGAACTACAGATTCAATCGAAACAGGCAAATCCCACATTCAGTTTCGTGATTTTGTTCCTCGGATTGGTGAAACAAACCAACTTTTTTTTATGGGTCTGTCACAATATTTAGTTAGTTACCTGTGTGTAAGATTCTATGGCTGTAACAAAGTCCTTGTTTCTGAAAGCAGCATCTCCATGTTTTTTGGAGTTCAGTGTCTCCTGTATCTGGTCTGTCCACACTTGGAACGAGAGCTGCATTGCAAATGAAACCGTTTTTATTTTTTTATGAATTCATCAAAGAAGAAATATTAATCACGACAAAGAAAAAAGAGGGATTGAAGATAAATCTCGTTATTTCTGCATGCCTCGTTTGCTATGCCCTCGTCGTCTTCATAGCCAATCTTCTCGAGAATTTCGTGTATAGCAGTGAGATCAAGTCTTGAACAAGCATCACCAAGAGGTGTCAATGCCGTTTCCTTGGGAGAAGTAGTTCCATGTGGAATGCCCATCAGCACATATGATGGAACCTGAGAGAATGGCCAAGTCTCATAAAGAAAGAACTGAAATGAAAAGTTCTACAGAGGGGTTGCTGAGGGGTGTGTCTCAGAATACATCGGTTTCTTTCTGAAGAGGAGCGAGTGAAGTCACAAGAGATTTCACATTCGGCCTTTCTCGAGGTTCATATTGTAAACAACGTGAAGCCAACCGGACTAAGTCAGTCCCATCATCATTCGAGAAATGACCCGCAAGACAAGAATCCATCAGCATAAGAAAATTCTTGCCACGGATAAGATCAAGTGCCTGTATAACAGAGACAGAACATCGAAAACATTAATCTGTCACCTCATTTGGTGAAGAAAGATCTATAATGTCAAGAACTTCATCCAGATCATGTTCAGTTGCGCCAAGAAGCATAGATTCTGTTTTGGTTCATGTGTTTGTTTGTGTATGTGTAGCTTACATGGCTAGGTGGTATGTGTTTGCCGCTGAGAAGATCTAGCAGCAGGGTCCCAAAGCTGTAGACTACACTCTCTGCTATAACTCTCCCTGCAAAGAAATGCATTATACACACAGCTATATCAGCTAAATTCAAGAGACCGTCATTCACAGGATATCTCAGATATACCCGAAATCCCATGCCAATCAAACTTTCTTGATATCCCAAAAGATATAAACTTTTTCTAAATTAGTTATGTATCATTAAATATAACCTGTTCTTAGATACTCGGGAGGGGTGAAAGCCAAATTTGTACTATAACTCTTGCCATCCCTACTATTCTTCATAAGGCCGAAGCAAGATAGTCTTGGGTTACCATCCTGTAAGCAACAAATAGACCATTACATAAGGAAAGAAGGATTCATGGACTTTGATTATATGTTATAGAGTACATGCCCACCTGGTCAAACAAGACCCTGTAAGCATTAAGATCATGGTACAAGGCCCGGCCTTTGCTGCTGCAATACTCGAGTGCTTGTGCGAGATGCAGAGCCACTCTCAGTCTCATAGTCCACTTCATTGGCTGGTTCTCCCCTGTACCCGATCAGAACCACAACTATTTCAACTGCCAAGCTCTATCATTTCTGTTTACTTTACAAACTCTTATCGTTTCCTGCAATATGCTCTTTCAAATGCTGGCCGCAAAGATGTATCAAGACAGGCAAACAACCACATGGATCATGGGTTTATGGTTATTCTTGAGTAAGCATATATAAGCATGTTTGTATTTGAGTAAATTGCTTTCTTTCAGTATACACGGGCAGCTCGGTGCACAAAGCATCCCCGTTGATCCGGGGTCAAAAAGGGGACTTTTAATAAGATTGAAAAACCTAAACAAAACAAACTTTCAGTGAGATCGAACTTCTCAATCAAAGCACAGACAAGACATGATAATCAAGCAGATGTCAAGCAGCTTGCGCTTTCAAAATCATGAAACTTACAGTGGAAGAGATGCTTAGACAGAGTTTCGTTAGGCATAAACTCTGCAACGAGCAATCTCTCATCTCCATCGCAGCAACATCCTATCAAGTTCGCCAACCTCTCATTCCTTAACTGCCCCACAGCCTTTGCTTCATCCTAAACGAACAAACAGACAAAAGAACAAGCCTAAACTCAGACCATAGATGGTAGAAATACAGTGCTGAATGAATACATGGTGAAAATCTTCGTGTCGGTAAGATCATAATGTTCCTACCATGACATTCTGTGAGAACCGGAGGAACAAAAAACAGATAATTTTCAGGATGCAATGCACGAATTAGCTGAATGAACGGTGATTGAACTGAAAATGCAAGATCCTTCAATGGAAATGGACAAAGGAACATAATTTCTCGGGAGTACTGACGAGAAATTGACGAGGGTCGGGCCAAGCGGATCTGTTGAATCGTTTAACGGCGATCAACCTGTCGTCTTGGAGCCTGCCTCTGTACACAACATTGGGAGCTTTAACACCGTGCTCAGATACGATGCAGTCTGTCGAGAATCCTGATGTGGCAGCTCGTAGTTGGTCGAGGCTGAACTCCGTGAACGCGGGCAAGTCCTCCGTCCCATTCTCTGTGGAACCCGGAAAACAGAAATTAGCAGGAAGGAGGAAAATGCAGGAAAGTTGGGAACTTTCTCGGGAAAGTGATGGCAAGATGGAAAGTACCTAGATCAGAAGCATCGTTGAGATTGGATTTCAGATGGGTCGACCACAAACACAGAGAGAGCTTGGAGCAGCGAGCTCCCATTGGCTTCAGGCTCAATCAAAACCTTTTGAAAGATGGAAGCTTTTTCACTGAACAGAAAAGCAAAAACCCTCGCTTTCAGAGAGCTCGAGAGAACTGCACGGAAAAAAGGGGGGTTTTCCGGGGGGAGGAATCTACGGGAAAATGTGGGAGAAAATTTATATAGAGATGTTGCAGAGAGGAGGAGAACCTTTGTTTGGTTACCGAGAAAACGCCAGACAGACAGTGGGGAAAAAGGTATTTTTGGATCCAAAGTTTCCATCTTTTTTTTTTTTAATTTATCTCTTGCGATCCATCATGACAATGCCACATCCCTCACCGCCCCATCTGTGTTCATCGTTCTCTCATTCTCGTTCCTCCAATCCATTTTTTTTCTCCCGCTTTTACAGAGACAACATCTATCCAACGGCAAATTACAAGTACTTTATCACATCAAATTACACCTACCTTTTTATTTCTAATGTCTGCGTGGTCATTACATCATGTTCATCTCTTTGAATATGTTCTTTTTAATTCATGCATGAACCAATATTAAATTTGTTAATCTCAGACAAGTTTTCGGAAATTTTATATCCTGAGATAATAAATGCTATATCGTTTATGTTAAAAAAAATGAAATAAAATAATAATCGCTTAGAGATGCATACACAACTAAAAAAATCTCAACGCAGGTGGTCAAAGGATCAATAAATTCTGTCGTATAATATAAAGAAGAAGAAAAATATAAATTGGTATTAGGGGCAAAATCGGAAAATCAATCGGTGGTCAAAGTCAAAGACACGTGTGTGGAGGGAGTCTTAGTGATAGTAGTAGGAGTTTAGGTGAAGCTGCATTTAAGTGATGTTTTTAATATGCAAGGAGAAGTTATATCCAAATATTTATATATGTGTGTATATATATAAGAAGAAGTTGCTACGTACGCATAACATTTTGACCAATATTTATATGGTAAAGAAATTCTGTGTAACTAAACATGTTTTTAAAATGTTGTATAGAATTAAAATAAAAGTGAGTTTTATGTTATAAAAAACATTAATAGATAAATAAAATTTTACTGTAGTTAAATTCATTGTGTCTATGTTAAAATACACTTATATAAGGAGGATATGAATAAAATAAAACATGACAGATCTAACTTGCTTGAATCTTTGTGGAGATGCTCCCTTGTTGGTCTAAGTTATTGGATTATGCCCTATATAAAACTAAGGATCCTTTTTTTTTAATAAAACTAAATTATATATATATATAAAAGGTACGGGTTTTTTAGGAATTTTTTTTTATCATTTTCAAATTATATACATGGTTCAGAAAAATCAGTTTTCTATATACTATTTGAACAATTTCGAATATACGTCAATTTATAATATCAATTATCACACCATCCATATACAAATGCAACCTTTAAAATTAAATTATTCAGAAAATCTGAAAGAGTTTTGAACTTTAAGATAAATTAATAACAACAAAAGCTCACTAGAAAAATTTTAGAGATATATACGAATCCACCATGATAAAATATGAGAGATTAGTATATATCTCTAATAAAAAAAATATTAATGATATGAGAGAGTTGATTTAGCTATAATAAGATTAAAAGATGGACACCAAATCCATCATATATAATACTCAAATCGAATATACATATATCGGAAAGATGAATAATATTTAAATTTTCCATACTCAAACTCATACAATATATATATATATATAGAATTATAAGTATCTAAACCATTCAAATTTTGGCCTTTTTTTTTCAGATTTGGGAATCATGGGGTCCAAAGATACTTGTTTTAAAATATAATTGAGAAGCCGTAGTTCATGTGTGCAAAAGGAAGAGCTTTCCAGCTAAAATCGTGCAGAGGCGACCCATCAAAAGCTTTCGATATCATGAAGATTAATTAATTTTTCTCATTACAATGAAACCTCACTTGAAACCCTTTTGACATGTATAAATTGTCTCAATTTTATGGGACAAGAGATAAGATTCTACAGTGTGTTGTTTTAGTGATAGAGATGTCTCGATTTTCGGACAAACACAAAAAAATGCCAATAATCTCATCCTTAATTAATACAATTAAAAAAAACGTTGATGGTAGTGTGAGTTTTTTTTTTTCCAAAGTATAAAAGTTAAAAAGGGAGAAGCACACATACACGCAATTAATATTTCTATTACGTCATAATTCAGAAGATAAAATCTCTCTTTACATAACAGATATAAACAAATCACGTGCCATACCTGTACGGATCTGATTACATAGAGTACGGAAGATAAGATCGAGTGTAGAATTGATCCACGCGTTTTTTCTTGATAGATCCTTAGCTTAACGGCTTTAACACTTGGGGTGATCTTTCCTTTTTTGTTTTTCCAACGTAAGTGAACTCTCACTTAACTCAGTATGTCGGCAGCATTTCCTATAAATAGATCGAGGGCTTTAGTTGCACAGGAAAGCCAAACACATTCATCTTTAACGATCTGCAGTACATCTGAATCCGTTCTGATCGACGTTCTTAGTTCCTTCTACCGTGTTCTTCGTTACGAACACTCCTCTCTTGCCGCCGATTCTCGTTACCTCAGGGAGATGTCGAACAACCCATCATCTTCTAGGCGTCCGCCACTTGGGCTTCGGTTCTGCCCCACGGACGTGGAGCTCGTCACTCGTTATCTACCGAGGAGGATCATTAGCGGACCCTGCGGTGACGGTGTAATCCGAGACATGGACGTGTACAGCAAAGAGCCATGGCTGCTTCCTCACAGGAGACATCCACTTTTGGAAGAGGGCCATTGGTACTATTACACTGAACTCGTCCCCCTTTCAGGCAAGACCACTGCCGGAAAGAGGGCGAAGAGAAAGGTTGAGGAAGACCCTGATGGCAGATCTTGGAACTCCACGGCCAGGGAGTCAGATATCTTGTTGAACGGTCAAGTCGTGGGGAGAAAGATGGTCCTCAAGTTCGGTGATAACAAGAAGAAGAAGAAGAACGAGAAAGGGGAGAGCAGTAAGGCGAGAAACTGGATCATGACTCAGTACCGGCTACTTTCAGCGTCTTTCCAAAAACATGTGATCTGCTGGATTCGTGACTTGTCCAAAGAGGGTTCATCTTCCAATGAAGCTTCTTCCTCGGCCTGGGCCCAGACAACTGAAGATCGTGCTCTCGTACCTTATATGGCATCGTCAAATGGGTTGAATGTCCAACATCATTCGCCGGCGGTTCCGTCTGAGTTGGAGCAAACAGCACAAATCCCGGTTGAATATAGTTTAGCAGCACTACCAGCGGTTGAGTCGGTTCCTTCACAACACTGGGATTATCTGTACCCTCCCATCCAAAACCCCGACATGCAACCTCTTCTTATCCAACATCCCAACACGCCATCATTTCAGATCGAAGATCGGAACATGCCATCTCTGATCCAAGAGCTCAACATGCCGTCTCTTATCAACCATCCAATCAGGCCATCTCGGATCCAAGAACCCAACATGCCATCATTTTGGATCGAAGAACCCGACATGCCATCTCTTCTTATCCAGCATCCGAACATGCCATCTCAGATCCAAGATCCCGACGTGTCATATCTGGTTGAAGATCCAAGCATGTTGTGGACAGAAAATCTGTCGCTTGTTCCTCACGCTACTGGTTTCACGGAAGTGCCTTCGACCGGGGAGCAACCATTGGTTCCTTATGCTTCAAACACTGTGGTTGCGGCTTCTCCAAGTGAGTTAGACACAATCCCTCGTGAAGCCGAAACTGAGCAGCAAGACACGAACAGAGGAGGAATAGCTGTGTCTGAAGAAAAAGGAATCTGGTTGTCACGGTTGGTGGAGCACATGACAGGAGAGATGGAAACCCCTTTAGAGACAGTGAACGAGGAAAGCCCTTTGATTGAAGTCCCCATGTTTTCATGGGAGTATCCATCTCCGTTCCAACAACGGTGATCAAGTCAGGAAGATGAGGATTAATTCATGTAGTTACGAGAATATCAGTTATAAAAAACTCGTGTTTTGCATTTTTTTTATATTGTTTGAGAGAAAATGTCGATCTTAAATAAAATTGGGCAATATTCATTTGTAAAAAAAAAACCTTCGTTTTAATTGTTTGATTTTCTGGATTGGTTTTCTGGGTTATAATTTAGGTATTACATGTAATATCTATGTAAATTTGGGTGTTTTTGCATTACTCATAATTCTCTCCGTTAAGTTACAACAGTGTAGCGTGACTTATATGTGTATTATTTGATAAATTTTTTTTTATGTTCATCCTTTCAATATTGTTTTAAAATAATAAAATTTTGCTCCCATTCACAATGTTGTGGATTATACATGTATCGTGTATATTTCACCCTCTTCATATTTTTCCTAATTTTCTTTGGCTATATATTCTTCAATTTATTTTTCTTATATATCTTTTACATTTGTCTTTATATGAAATACTTTTCTTGAATTTGTTTTTTTAAAAAAAGTATCGCCCAATATCTAGCCGAATTAAAATGAAACATTAATAATAAATGACACGTATCATTATCATTAGCCGTCCATTCATATACTCACAATAGGGAGAAAAAGGTCAATAGCGACCCTCAAAATTTCGAACGAAATCTTCGATATTTATCGTATTTTTTTGTTAGAAAATACACTGAAAGTTATTCAATCTTTGTATCCGTGTAAAAAAAAAAAAAGAAAAAAATATTTGTCTTTTCCAAGCGCGTAGAATTTAATGTGTTGTTATCATTGTTCCACGTTGTATATTATTGTTAGGATCAATCAATATAATATAATACGCCTTTTACAAAAACAAAAAAAAAACAATTCAGACAAGAATATTCGCATATATAAATATATCTAAAATATTCACCTCAAATTTTTAGAACCAAAAACCTTTTATCATATGAACCAAAAATTTCATGTATAGAGAAATCAAAATGAATTTAAGAAAACTTATCTTGTGTAAAGAACTAATTTTTTATATAATTTTTAATATATCTAATCAAATATTAAATCATATCCAATCGAGCCAAAGAGACAAACTATGTACATATCCGGGTTTAAGCTTGTAAACCCATTTACACCTTATAACATTCTTGTCTTTTGGTCGATCAATCAGAATCCAAGTTTTGTTCTTATGTAGGGAATCCATTTCTTCAGTCATTACTTGTTCCCATAGCTTCCTGTTCTTGTGTGCCTTAGCTTCTCCATATGATTGTGGCTCTTCTATCTCTATGGTCTGTGATACAGACAAGGCAAAAGTTGCGGTCTCGTTCTCCCTATACCTTAGTGGAGGCCTAATATCCCTCTTAGCTCTATCTCGTCCGAGAACATAGTCAATAAGCTTCTGAATTACTTCTTCAGGTGGGCTTCCATCTAATGTTTCAAATATCTCCGAACTTGTCCCCGTAGTTGTTTTGTTCTTCTCAGTCTGTACTGAGGATTCATTTGCACAGATTGTTCAGTAGCTCCACCTTGTCTTCCAAATTTTTCTGTTGTCACCTCATCTGATATTAATGGAAGTTGTATGACTTTCAGTTCAGATTTCTCGACACCTTTTTCAGTTCTTTGATCGTTTTCTTTCTGAGTTTGCAGGTCCTTGTAGATAGTTTCTTCATCAAACTTTACGTGTCTACTGATGACAACTTTATCTTCGCTGAAAATCCAGATCTTGTAGCCCTTTGTTCCTGCAAGGTAACCTATGAAGATCCTTTTTTTTGCCCTTGGCAGTAGCTTCCCTTGGTCTTCATGCACATATGCAACACAACCACATCTTCTGAGATGATGATAGCTTGTTTCTTTTCCTTACCAGATTTCATTTGGGACTTTGAAGTTTATAGATGTGGATGGCGATCGATTAATAACACTACAAAAAAATGGTCATTTCCAACGGGTAAATCCGTTGGAAATGGCCAAATTTGCGTTGGAAATTAACGTTTCCAACGGATTTCCAACGGATTTATCTGTTGGAATTTCGTCGTTAGAAATCGGTGTCCGTTGGAAAACCGTTGGAATTTTCAACGGAATTTCAACGAATTTTTCTATTCCAACGGATTTCCAACCGGCATCCGTTGAAATTTTCCAACGGATTTCCAACCGCAATTTCGGTTGGAAAATTCCAACGGAATTTTAAAGCTAGAACTGTACCTGGAAAGTCAATTAGCTATTGATTTTAAATCAACTATAAATATGTTAATTGATATATAAAATGCATATCAATTGCTTACCCACACGCATATATATACAAGTTCCACCATTATCTCATGTTCAATTCTCTAGTTTACTTTCTAAATCAATATAATAATTTGTGGGTGAAAACTAAAAAAAATGAAAATTTGAGTTCAAACCAAACATACTTTGCATCATTCCATATATGCGATCTTTACCGGACTACAAACCTTTTATCATAAAAGCCAAAAATTTCATGTATATAATCAAACTCAAGAGAAATCAAAATGAATCAATAAGAAAACTTATCTTATATAAAGAACTAATTTTTATATAATTTTCAATATCTAATCAAATATTAAATCATATCCAATCGAATCAAATAAAAAAATAAACCTTATATATATAAAATAAGAAATCAAATTTAACTCTAATTTAAACTGAAAAGAGGACAATACTAATAATTATCGTTTCTTTATCAAAGAAGAAGAAGAAGAAGAGACGGCAGTATTATGTTCCAGCTTTCACACACATGAAAATGATCCCTCGAGAACAAACAACACACGCCATGTCAGAGAAAAGCCCTAAATCTCAGAAACCAAAACCAGTACATATAAAACTATATATCATCTTCAGCAAGCGCAACGGGAGAGAGGGAGATCGGCGGTTTTCATGTCTCCGGAACCCCGGAAAACCCTGCTCCCGAAAACCAGAAACCCAACGGCGTGGCCGGCGATGACGGCGATGAAGACGCCGCCATTGAATGACATGAGAGCCAACATGACGAGGTAAGACAAACCTGTCCGGAGGGTGTAGACGACGGTCTGGAGGATCCAGCCGCCGCGGAGAAGGACGGCGGAGTGGGAGAGCCACTCCGTCAAGACGGCGGTGAAGAAGAGGACGAGGATGCAGAGTGCGTACATGGCAGAGCTGGTGCCGGGCCATCCGGAGAAGACGACCTCCGTGTTCTTGCCCCAGAAGAAGGTCATGTGCATCATCATGTGGCGTGTATGGTTCATCATGGATCCATTGGTGTTGTTGATCATCGATGATGATGGTGATGTCATTCCAGGCATGTGATCATCGTATTATGAGACGAAGAGTCTG